CGACCAAGCAACGGCAACAACCACAGCAAGGATGTTGGTGAGTAAGTTGTTCCAGAATCCAACTTCTCCAGGGCTGCTATACTTAGACTAGTACGGGATCTGAAGCATAGGGTTAAGATCCTCTCCTGTATCCATGGATGGGAATTTTAATTAAAGACAATTTAAAAGCCCTCGGGATCTCTTTCGTGCAGTCCGTCCGCCCATGGATGGACAAGGGGTCCTTGCATCAAAGCGCATGTATCATCTTATCGATAGGGATATAGACCAGGGAATCAAGAAGTCAGCATGCTCGCACGTTGATCGTTCATGTTTCTTCTTTCGTCGGCCAGCCTCCTTGCCTTCCTCCTTGCCCGAATGCTGGGGACCGAGATCATGGGGGAAGGGTAGGTTGGCTGTTGCGCGATTGTCCCCTTCCCGTTGTGGAGTTTCTACCAGGAAGTGCGGGAATATGGAGGAAAGCAGCAGCTAGACACGCTATCACTGGCCCCAGCATTGCTTTGTTGGAGTTTCCGACCGCATGTACAGCATGTACTGTGTGCATGGATTCTTGATACGTACGATCCTGTTGGAGATAGGCTTGACCACCCCCGGAAGAATGGAAGCAGGTGATTGGCGTGGAACGGGCAGGAAAAAGGAAACATACCACGGCATGGGCATATCTATTCGTAGGAAGGACTTGCAGACAAGATAGAAAGTTTGTCTGCAGATCATGATGGGGACATGATGGGGAGAGTAGGCCAGGTTCGAAATGAATATCGCGGGAGGTTGGTGATTCAGCTGTCTGCTCCGTCTGGCCTTGAGATAAAAAAAAAAAAAACGTCTCCTAAGAGAAACCATGTGTTAGCTATCAGCCACGGACATATTAACAATTGTCAACTATTTTGATTGTTTCACTTCCACATCAATATACCCAGCCCCACGACTCGTCATCTACATCCCACCATCCGATCTCCTCCTCCGGGATCAAGAAGTTGTATACATTCAATACCCAGAGTCAGGCAACCTTAAAGCCACCCGTTCGACTGAGACAGGCAGGAGTATTTTCCAAGGAACTCCTCCATGCCCCTGAGCATGTTTACGTTTTGGCCCTTCCCTTCATCCAAGGGGCGAAGGGTTACTTTGGATTGACAAAATTCAAGCTCTCGTCGTAAGGGAGACACGGCAGACGTGTTTACATCTGATGCATGAATTTTCTGCATGCTGAACGTGAAGTTACGGTTGTCCGCTTGATTGGACATTCCCAATTCCAGGCCTGGCAGTGCATCTGACATGCTTCCTGGTGATGGTGCACAGCTTCGGTTTCGCCCGTGTTCCTGGAAGAAGGCACACTCTTTGATATCCAATATACCAACTGCTATTCTTGGGACTGTAAAACTTATTTCTCGCACACGAACGGAATTGATTTCCTTTTTTTTGCCTGTTGTTTCGTTTTTTGTCTAGAAGCGAGCTTTCTGGTTGTAGTTGCTTTTTTATCGATATTCCCAAACCCAAGGGAGTAGTCTCAGCTCGGACTTCTCCTGCGCGCAAATTCCGTCAAACTGGCTCCCCAATGGGGACACCACCATCGGGTTGAGCTGCCTTAGGCCGTGAATCCAGGCAGGTCTTCTCCTGCGCCTGATTAACACCAAAGTATGGTTCTCAGAGCAGAGATTTATCTGTGCGACATCCTGTTAACCCTATCTGTTGAAGCGTAACTTGCAGCAAGTTTCTCTACTTGCGGGCTTCGGTGTGTAGGTCCAGTCCGAATTGTATCTGTATGTGCCCTAAAGAAAGATCCGAGCTGATAGACCCTTCCTTCTCATGCATCTCCTGATCAACTATATCACCGCATAGTTAAGATTGCGCTATTCAAACGGTGACACGTCAGTCCAATGATATCGCGTGCTGGGACTACTGGTCCTCCCGCCCACTGGAAGTCCTTCCAGCCACGATTCTGCAGTGACACAAACCTTAAAGCACAACAATAGATTTGATACGTATATTAACTCTGCCCTTCGGCCGCCGAAGTATGGCGATTGCGTGTAGTCGTCCATTATCGTGGCCCTCCCCCTGAAGCGGACGCCATTGGACAGCCTGTCCTAGGAAATGCAAGGCAGTAAGGCAATCAATCCGCGGAAGCGGCTTGCAACCTTTCCCCTCCCATCGATCTCGCTTGTATTCGACATCCGTTCAACCTTCATTCTTTGGCCACAGTGCACGGGCTGTCCAACTTCACTCAAAAGAGTGTGTTCATGGTGTATTTCCGCACTTGGGTCTTTTTTACCTCTTCATCAAAGATGTCTATCACTCTTTTCCTGGCGAAGATCATGATTTACATGTCATGTGCTGTAACTCCATACAGACGAGAAAAAGAAAAGCAGAGGCTGGTTGCTCCTGAGAAATCGTCAGTAAACGCAACTCTTGTAAGACATGGGCAAAAAGGAAAGGCAGCGCAGCAAGGAGGCAGTGGATAGCCATTTCGCGTCGAACAGGGTGCGCCCGTTGTCCACTAACCAGCACAGCGAGATAGATGAATGATCTGCCCTCAGCCTGTATCACCTCAGCGTTGCTCTGGTTATTTTCCGACTGGCCTGCCTTTGAGATAGGACGGAAGTAGTACCGTAGTCGACGTCCTTGGAGTCCTACCCAACGCCGATAGATGTTGCAATGTTGTACAAGCGGGCGATGTCTCTACCAGTCTTCCTTTGCAAAAAAAAGCCTTAACAAGACGAAGCTCAGAGCATCACCTTAAAACCGCCAAGCTTTTGTTAGTTTGCATGACGGTGCGAGGTCAGGATGCGTTGATATTGGTTCTCGCTGAGCAGGCCGGCTGTTGTACAGAACGGCTTTTTACAATGCACCATGGGTATCTGCACACCGCAGCATGCGACGGAGTACGGAGTACGGGGTATCACGCTGTAGAGAGGCTTCCCACGGACACAGCATGTCTTCATTGCCTTGGCCTGGCCTTGCGGGTTTGTTATGCGACATCCTGCGAAGTGGCAAACAACTGCATTCTCGTCCTTTGAACATACGGAGTACAGAGTACACGATAGCCGTTACTTGCCATTGTATGTCCGCTTGAGTAACCGAGTGACACTATTAGTATTTGCATATGACGCTATTTGCGATGGCTTGGGTCGTTTCTTGCCTCTTCTTCGGCCTCATCAAGTACTTTTGACCATGATATGCGCGAACAAACACCGCGTCGGGTTCATTCCGTCTCTACATGGACTCGACCTTGCTGATTGTGTTCTGAACCCGATACTCATTGGCTCTGGGTAGACGAGAGTTAGTTTCGCTACTTGGAACATATCATATCCCGTCTCAGACTACAGGTCGGCTTTGACATCAAAGCCCGCCCGCTGGATATACCCCAGAAAGCTGCTAATATAGGCATGGCTGGCACTGGCTGTGCTTCGATGTAAGAACGTGCGGGGGCGGGATAGACTCGTCTCTTCCCCGTGGAAGAGCAGCACGGTAAGAGGGCCAAAGATGTCAACTATCGCCATGCTATTGACATGTTATTACCTAGGAATAAGGGGTCGAGCGGGTTGCCATTGGGGCAAGCGTGCCGCTCCTCCGTGGCCTCAGCTCAGCTCATCTTATCTCTGAGCTTCATACTTCATGCTTCATCCTTTATGCTTCATGCTGCATGCTGGGTTCAATCTTGTATATCATGAAGCAGCTCTCCATAACCCCTGCAGCACGGCTTTGGGCCTCTGGCAACGCCCCTACATCCGCGTGGTTGTCTTTGAAATTGATCTCCACAGCTTAAATTTGATATCCTCTCTCCTCTCGAGCGGGAAGCGTTGGGGACCGTTGTGAGCTCACGATCTCAGTAAAATGATTGATCATAATCCTGCTCTCTATATGATTTTCGATCCCGGTCAATATAAGGCATAAGGCAAGCAGCGTACCCCGTACACTTGAAACGTACTATTGCCCTGGCCTCCCGGGCGCCTGGCCTTCTATCTTCAGGCAACCTAATTTCCCAACCTGGCTGGCTAATCTTTTGTCGTTTCACGCCTGGGATATCGTCCTTTGACCCCCTTCCTCCCGCTGCCGCCGATGCAAAATGCTCTTAAGCGAAGGAGAAAACAAAAGGCGAACAGACGGATGCCGAGGGGGCCACAACGAGGGAATTTCGCACATATGACCTGCAAGGCTAACTGAAACGCCTTTATTCTCGACGACGCCCGATTGTGACGTGGAGCCTGGCTTCACGTATCGCTCTTCCTGCGCTCTACCCGCATTCCTTCGTTCCATGTGTTTGGGAAGCGGATGGGGCTGGATGACGGAATCGTTTTATGGGAATTATTGTGCCAATTTTTCATTTAGATCTCCAGCATGCATCGTATCTAGTCCGGTATCAACAAAGCCATGCAAGCGGGCTCCGTACTCTGGTCTGTCCTAGCTTTAGCCAACTTGTAAAAGCGAGGGCGGGTTGACTTCTCCTTCGGGCTACTTGGTACGTACCATGTGTTCAATAATGACATTGCGGCTGGTGTTTCGGCCGTTGGATAGTTTCTAAGATCCTACACTAATGACTCTATACAGGAAAGTGATCAGTCAGGTGATGCCCCGTCGTTTTCTTTCGCCCGTTACAAGTTGACGCTGGAGGGCGCGAGGCGAAGATGCCCGTATCAGAGGCCTGGCTACGCCACAAACCTTCCCGAAGGCCACGAAACAGGCAGAGGAAGCAGGAGACTGAAGCTGTGGCGCATGTTCGTACACATGACGTCTCCCCTTATCGACGGCCATAGCCTGGCAAAAGCATTTTAACCATTCGGCCTTCGGCAGATCGGGTATTATATAGATTTGGTATTATATAGATTTGTAAATAACAAGGTAGTTTATATATAGGCTTCTATCTTATACTATAGACATGGAGTGTTGCGTGTCGCGGCCATTATCTTGTCGGAATGTACATCGCCATCTCGGCCTATTCAAGCTCGAAAGGCTTAGGCGGCCTGGAGCACACATAATTCAACCACCGCCGGATATCGATCGCAGCCGGCTCAAACTTTGCTGTTCCTCGCGATAAACGGATGCCGAAGTGCTTCTGAAGGGGTGCATCGTTTTTCTGGGTTAAGATTCAAACACCGGTCTAGGAGGTCAATGAACATCGTTATCTCCTTAGACTCCGCGTCATCAAGTCTTGCGCCTTTCCCAATTAACCGAGACTTCAGGTCTCGCGTCGACTTTTTAAAGTCAAGAACCTTCGTCACCATGCGCCCCGTAATTTTATCTTCCTCCAAGCTGCGGAAATTAAGTAGGTCGTCAAAGTGAAGATGGGCCAGGGTCCCACGCCGGAGGAACTTCGGCGGGAATTTACCACGGCATTCCATGATAGACCGCAGCATCTGGTTGTTATTGCGCCCCGTAAAGAGAATTTTGCCAGAGTATAGCTCGAATAGCGTGCAGCCTATCGACCATACGTCCAGGCTATAGTCATAGGGAATTCCGAGTATGATTTCAGGGGCACGATAGAACCGACTAACGAGGTAAGGGGTGATCTCATTCTCTGAAGCTAGGGAGGCGGAACCCAAATCACATATCTTCAGAAGGTTTCTATTCTCGTTGACGAGGAGGTTATCGGGCTTGATATCGGCATGAAGGATATTGCATTTGCGTAGAAGGCTTAATCCAAGGAACATCTGTTGAGCGTATGCCCGGATGGCACGTAGGTTGATGCCGACGTCCCGGCCGAACTTTTTGAGGACCTCGCGAAGGTTCATGCTGAGATTCTCAAAGACCATACACAGGTGATTCTTGTGGTCGAAATGCCTCTCGAACCTGATAATGTGTTTCTTGTCGTCTGGGTCTGCGTTTTGCAACAGTTGTAGAATATCTATCTCCGTCATGCCTGCTTTCCGCATCGTATCGTTGTTTCGAACAATCTTCACTGCTACTAGTTTCCCAGTCTTCGAGTCTGTAGCACGTACAACAGAGGAGAACATGCCCTTGCCTAGGATTTGCTGAACGTGATACCGACCGTTGATCAACTCACCCAGCATGACATTATAGTAACCCTCAGGGTCATCCCAATTGTCTAACAAGCTCATATCAAGTTCCTGAGGCTTTGCACTGCTTGGTTGAAGACCCGCCGGGCCATCCAGTCTCATTGACAAGGGCGGTTCTTCCGCAAACATATCGTCATCGTCTTCGGCGAACATGTCAAACGCATCTCGAGCTTTCGTCGAAGTAGGCTTTTCTTCAGCTTGTGGAACTAAGGCTGCAGCAGGTTGACCGGTCTTCGTTTCGTCATAAGAGGCGGCAGAGAGGTCATCTCCAAAGTGTCGCTTGTCATGCCTCTTTTTATCTTCCCTCATATCAGATGTCGGGTCGTAATCGGCAGCACAGGGTTCTTCCTTATTAATTCCGCTCCTGTCGCGTAAGTCTGTATTGGCAAGATCTTCATCATTTGCAACTTGGAAGTCAGCAGGAGACTGGGAACCTGGTGTGTCAACAGGAGTGGCCGTCGGGGATGCAACGCAGGAGCCTATCAGTAGCTGGTTAGTTACATTGTAAAGAAGCATTGAAGGACTAGAAATTACCTGTTTCATCCACATTCGGTGTGGTTTTTGCGGAATCGTTCGTAGACTCGGATGGGTTTCCAAGCTTCAAAGCTTGAACTATGAGGGGCTTTGATGTGTCACGATACTTAGCCTTAATTGCTTCACGACGTTTCCGCCGCTGTTCAATCAGAGTAGCTTCATCAACTGGTTCTACCGACATTTCACTGTCTTCAGTTGTGCCTTGAGTGGACGGACTAAGGAAAATATATTAGTAACGAGGTTAACGGAAAGGCAGGGAGGTCTCGATAGCATGAGTCCACTTACTTAGTATCTGTATTGGGTCCACGGCCGGAACGATTCTGCTGCATCTGAGATTCTCGATTTTCAGCCTCTTGTCTCCAAGTTTGAGCGTTAACTGAGGGATTTCCTCGTTCGCTCACTGACTGTTCTGTAGACAACTTGCTCTCCTCCTGTCTGCGGCCTGTAGCCCTGCCATCTGATACTTTGATGTTCCTACTAAAGCCTTCATCGCCAGAATATTGTCTCTGCTTCCTGGGATCGCGGTACGGAGAACGACTCCGAGTTCTCGGTCGTTTGTCCGGTCGCCGGTCATAATCGTCACTATACTGCAAGTCTCGACTATCCCGATCGTAGCTATCGTTCTTATCGTGGTCGTAGTACGAGCGTTGATTTTGTCGGCGAGAGTTTCCACGGCCATAATAGCCATCATCATATGTACCGGTTGAAAATTTCATGCGTCCTCCGCGGCCGCCTCTGTCGTAGTCATAGTATTCATCTCGTCGCCGCTTTTCGCCTCTGGAAGATCTGTAGTACGGAGAGCGGGATCTTGAGCGTTCAGGGTGATACGGCCTGCTAGAAACAGGGGACTTTGGCGTCAAAACATCGTTTCTGGGGTTACGGTCAACGTTGGTGTCATTATTAAAAGAGGTTTGCGACGTAGTTGCCTTCGTGTCTGAGCCTGACTCGATGATCTCACCCTCTGATGGGGTCGAAGGAGACCTTGACCGCCGTGTTGCCATTACCAAAGACTCCGTCCCGTGCAAAGCTGGCTCAGACGGGAGATCGAAACGAGCTTACAAAGAAACAGAAAGTGATTCGGTTAGTCAAACGAATCTCCAAGTTCTCCTTGTCTTTTCTTGACTGGAAATGCTAAATGACGATGGCTTTGGGTGAATGGAGATAGCATCCAACCCAGGCAAAACTTGATTTCCAACCAGCTTACTTTGCAAGAGGCATTTCTTGAACGAAAAGGAATTTATCTTGACTTGAGGGGCGTATAGGTTCTAATCCTAGCAGGTAAAGGTAAATAGAGGAAAGATATCGCTATGTTCAAAGGGAGTGTGAACTTGCTCATGGACGTTCGTTGTCGAAGTTGAAGCCAAAGAACGGAGTTGAGGCGAAAGGTTTTTCCACTAGCCCAACGTGGATTAGCCGCCCTCCCTCCGCGCCCGAAGAGCTTATCAGTTACTTTCGACGGTTTGAAGATATCCAGAAATTTCTCCTCCTCGCCCAAACCCGCGACACTTCCTGCAAATAACCCCTATAAAACACAGTACAACTAACCTAGCCATGGGTGGTGCATCTCGAGAAGGTAAGACTCTTGCTTCTGGTGTCTTTTTTTCACTACAACTTTTCACTAACGAGGAGTTTCACCCCACCAGGCGGCAAGGCCAAACCCCTCAAGGCCCCAAAGAAGGAGAAGAAAGAGCTTGATGACGAGGATCTCGCTTTCAAGGAGAAGCAAAAAGCTGGTATGCGATAAATATAGTACCCTCCGCCGTTGATATCCTATTTATCTGGCCCTAACCCACCACTATAGATGCCAAAGCCAAAAAAGATCTCGCGGACATGGCCAAGGGAAAGAAGGGCCCCATGAACACCGGCCAACAGGGAATCAAGAAGTCTGGAAAGAAATAAACGGTCCTCTACTCGAAGTTTTCTTCTACTACCCAGCTTTGATCGCCTTTCGCACCCAGGAGGATAGTGCACCAGCCGCGGGGCCTTCGCCGAATCACGCGATATCACGAACATATGAGTTGACGCTTTTTTCATTCCAAGGGGCCTGGGAAAGGCCGACAGAGCTCTCTTTTTCCGTTTCAGCCATTAGCCAGCGGCGTTAGATCAATTGTCGAATCCCAGTTTCGTATCCTTTCTATGCTATCGGACACACTCCGAGATTGCTATATGGTGCATATCAACAAGAGAATATGGTGATAGACGTTGAAATATACATTACCCCGATTGGTGCTATGGAAGGTTGTTTTAGATAATGTACATATTCTTAACTCGTAACCCGTTTAACCCATAACGTGGGCTCACTGGCATATATGTCCCCCTGGTCTCTCTTCTTGTACGCACGGAGTAGCTTCAACCCAAGTTCGTGCTCCTCCTTCTTGATATCTGCCAGCTCGTTGTTCAAGCTTGTGACCGTTTTACTCACTTCGCTTCTAGTGGCCATATCATACGCGATAGAGCTAGGCTGGATGACCTGTGTCAACTCATGGATCATCGTATCGATATTCACCTTTCGACGAGCAAGGTCTGCAAGCTTAGCTTTGACTTCATCGATTCGAGCAGAAATATTTGTCTCCGGCTGGGTCTGAGGTAGCGTTTCCGCTTCAGAAACAGTAGTCATTTGAGAGGGGGTAGGCTTCCGTGTGGTGTTTTTGAGGGAGAACTGGTGCATCCTAGAAGAAATAGCTGGGAGCGGGTGGTCAAACGCATCTGAGGTCGGTGGAGGGCTGCCAGGTTCTGTCGGCGCGTACGTTGTCACACTGAAGCGACTACAAGGCTCCTGTGAGAGTCCCACGCCCTGTAATTTTTTCGTCAAAGTGTCACTTAGAACGTCGCTTTCTTCTGTGGAGTCTCGCGTCGTGCTATGTTTGGCTGAGTCCACGCCGAACCGCCCAACTCCCCACACTGATGCTGGGGTTGGCTGTGGTGTTTCCTCAAAGAGGCTCGAATAAGTTGACGTTGGTATGGTTAATGGCGCGGGAGTTGCTTTCGTGGACGTAGAATCTTTCTGTGGAACTGCTGGTCTCGGCTTAGGCGCTTCTGGAAGTTCCTTGTTACTCCTAGCCTTATTGCCGCTTGGTTGTGTACTAGACTGGCTCCGATATCCTCCATCCTTTGATGGCGGTGGAGGAGGATTGCCGTAGGCTGAGGTATCAGAGTCCGTTCGGCCTCTAGTCTTGGGGACATTCATATGACCTAGTCTCGGATCTATATGTCTTAAGTCAAATTGCGATCTTTGAGAAGAGCTAACCCCAGAATAGTCTTCAAGCGGCAAGCTTCCCGGAGTAACCTGGGCATATTTACCCTTGTCATTTGCTAGTGGTTCACCAGCATACTCATCCAATTTCGTGAACAACTGTTTGCTCCCCGATGACGACCTCATATCTGAATTTCCAGTCCTGATGTCAGGCGCATATCCAGTCCGGCGGGGTAGACGGCTTTCTTTCCCGTATTTGCCTGTAATAGGGCTACCAATAGGTTCTTCGATCGGAGATACATTCTGGCTTCCCTTTGACGAAGAGTAATGTTCACGGATGGGAGAGACAGGCGGAGACACATCACGATCGCCGTATCCCGAATGATATGCAGAGGAGTAACGCTGAGGGTAGCCGTCACCTCGACTCTGTGGCGCCGTTGACTCTCGCGAGTATACCGACGAAGGGTTCCGTGCATGTGCCGCTGCGTATGAAGGGCTCGGTAGAGGTTCAGGTACTATAATTTTTCTTTTTTTCCTCAATTAGCAGCTTGATATACAAAGCAAGGCGGTTTCACTCACGGCTGGGTCGCTGATGACCCCAGCGCATAACCCCCATGGCCAAATCCAGATATGGCGTGTATCTTGTCACTTGCGGAGACAGAGACAGTCTGGCCCTGGGGCTTTGCCCAATCTCGAGGTTTATGAATCTTCTTCCACATCTTCCCGCCGTCTTGGAAAGTGTATGTATTTCTCTAATGCTAGTGAATGGTATCGTTTCGTAGCTGAGCACGGCTCAGGCAAGGATGTGATTGCTCGGGGGTCTTCGAACGTGAACTTATAAACAAATAGACAAATATGTTCAAGAATGCTTCTGAAATCTAGCGGCTCTCAGCCTTATAAAGAGAAGGTGGCTGTGCTGTAAAGTGTTACTCCCCGTCGAACACGACCGAGTTTGGAAAGAGAGGTAGTAGAATGAATGAAGGTGAATAGCTCTGGCGAGCAAACAGGTGTTCTAGTCACAGACTAGGCATGAATAAAAATCGAAGGGATGTCAGACATGAAACTCAGCCTCTCTCTGCCTGCAGAGTAACCAACATCGGGCTGGCGACAGGGCTTTGTCAGATCATGCTTCGCGATCACGATCCTGAAGTCCGATCTAGTTCGGTATACACAGCCCAAGTAAAACCCGCGCTAGGCCCAGGCTAAGCGCTGGCTCTGGCCGCTTTAGCGGGACGTTTGTGTCAGCGTGAGGAAACAGCGCCAGTAAGTGGCTGCTTATGTGAGATTTCAGTGGAAGCGGCGGGGAGATTCGCCTAATGAGGACGAAGTAAGGAGATTACTCGCGTTTCAGCCTAAAAAGGCAGGCGGTGGAGGACGGCAGAAAAACGACCGCTGACATCATCATTTCGCTGACATAAGCTGTACTTAAAAGTGGACAGGCATGATGTTGTTTTGTTGGATCCGAGTAGATATATCAGCCTTGCACTTTACAAATCTTCGCTGACGGGACAGTGTGCATTCTAACGCTCTGCTGCAGCTTCAAGATGGCGTCTGGTAAGCATACCCTTCCCTTCCGGTGCGCCGGATAGACAGCCAACTGACCAGATGGAACAGAAGATACCTCTCCGCCCGCCGAAGTGTAAGCTGACCTGAGCTACTCCAAGCTGTCTACCTGCTCCGACACTTACCAATTCTTTTGATACCAGGGCCTCTATCGCCTCGCCGATTAACCTCATCCTCTTCTCCCTCTTCCTCGCCCTAATCTATATGCAATTCCGACCTAAAAAGCCCGTTACACTCCCAAAGGCCCCCGCTCCCACCGTTTTCCGTACTTTTTCTCCAACCGACCTTCTACCATTCAACGGCAAGGACGGAGCTCCTGTCTATCTAGCAGTCCGAGGACGTGTATTCGACGTCACCTCTGGCAGAAACTTCTACGGGCCTGTATGTCTCCCCGAAACCTGATTAATATGTGGCAGCGATCTAAATAACCCCTCCCCCCACCTATCTAGGGCGGACCATATGAAAACTTCGCTGGCCGTGATGCCACTCGCGGACTAGCTTGTCAGAGTTTCGATGAGGAAATGCTCACCAAGGATCTCAAGGGACCGCTGGATGACTTGAAGGGATTAGACGAGGAGCAGTTGGAGAACCTAAGAGGGTGGGAAGAGAGGTTTTTGGAGAAGTATCTCGTTGTTGGCAAGCTTGTTGCTGAAGGTGATCCAGCTCTCAAGGAGTGAGAATAAGGCGAGGATCGTGGTGATATATATGTGCGATTTAAGTATTTATCCATACTTTCGGGATCTACCCGGTGTTGCCGCTAAGGATTGGATGTAATTGGCGGTGAATTTTTATGATAGTGATGACAGGTCCAAAATCCTTTTTGTACGCGTTTATGATAACAACCATCACCGTATTTTGGTTCTATTTCAGGCTCTACGACTTGTTTGAGGGATGAAAGAATTAGTAAAACACTGACATTTTAACCATTTAAGAACAGAACATGGGTATCAGCATATTATCATGATTGATTTATACACGCCCGCCTCTTCCAACAAACTTGACCACCAGGCTAACCTAAACCCATAAAGCGTTTGACTGTTATTAACTAATAGAAAAATAGCCAGGTTAGGCATAAACGGCATCCCGCTCATTAAACATTTTAACATCGACTTCTGCCTCCATATTCCCCAGCCCGTCACCGAAAAGTCAACATCTTCGACAACCACGAACCATATGTCCGACTCAAGCTTGACAATCCTAATCTAAAGCTCATCAGCGGCCTTCGATACCTTCTCCTTCACGTCCTGTGCCGCCTTCTGCCCTTCAGCTCTACCACTAAGAGCTCCGATCTTCAATTGATCCCAGGCCCACTGTCCCATATCCTGTAGTCGAGTAAAGATAGAAGACTCCTGTTTCGTTACTCCATAGCGGAAGTAATCAGCGTTCGCTTGAGCCTGCTTTCGCAGCTCTTCAATGCTTGACCCGCGAGTTGGTTTGATACCATAGGAGGCAAGGTACTTCTCGACATCATCCTTGGACCATGAGTTGAAGTTGTCTTTTACAGAATCGGTGGTTTGGGCAAGGTAGTTTGTGATGGAGGCATAAGTAGGGCCACCGGCCTTGGAGGCACGATTGTATGCGTCTTGAGCCTGCTTTAACAGTTCATCGCGGCTATACTCAACGCCCTCTAAGGCCTTCTTGTGCTGGGAGGACAAGTATTTCCTATATTTTCAACAGTCAGTACATTTTTACTCAGGCGGTTTGGTGACAAAAAGGGTTAATTACCCTAGATTCTCTCGGTTCCAGGTGTCGAAGGTCCATGCAGAATATCCACTGGCAGCTTTGTGTCCGTGGAGTCGCACTTTGGCAAGAAGTTCATCCCTCTTAGTGTTCTGTGGTACTGGAACGCCACGAGCATCTAGATATCCCTTAAGACGGGAGTCAGACCATCCGTTAATAACTTGGTTGAAGACGTCGTTCATCTTCAGCTGCGCATCATCCGTGGCACGAGCATATTCGTTGCCGGCCTTAGAGGTAGCAGCTCCAAATCCAGAGACGAGAGACGCAGATGACTTTTCCAGTAGAGCATTACGATTCTTGCGTGCCAAGGCCAGCATTTCATTCCGTCTAGAGCCCTGGGGTACCTTGATGCCATGTTCATCGAAGAACTTTTTAAAGTCAGACTCAGACCAAGCATTGAACAGTGCCTCTGCAAGTGTTTCCTGAGCAGCCGCCATCGACGCCGACGCGGCTGAAGCAGTCTTTCGGCTTTCTATTCCGGCACGGCGCGAGTTACGACGCACGGCGGCAATAAGCTTGTCACGGGATGTTGGCTGAGGAACCGGGTAGCCATGGCTATCAAGATACTCCTTGAGGTCGGATTCGGTCCAATGCTCATACAGCCAGTTTCCTGGATAGTTAACCGATTGACCGAGCTTCTGGGCGATTGTTTCATAGTTGTTGCGGGCCGCTGACAGGAGGGTATCCCTCTTCTTTGGTTGAGGGCAGGGGACTCCATGGCGGTCCAAAAAGGCTTTTAATTGGGAGTCACTCCATCTAAAGTGGAATAGTCAGCATCATATTCTGTTCACTTCCACTAGATCCAAAACCTACGAATCAAATATCCACTCCTTGACATCGTTGAGGGACCCTGAGACCTCCTCTGCTGTCTTCGAAGCCGGCGCCGTGACATACGACTCCCAGTTGGACTTTACCAATTCCTCAAGATCCTTGCGATCTGCAGGAGAAGGATATGGAACGTCTATAGATAGTTAGACTTGCAGATTCGACAATTGGGCTGCAGACACCTTCTCTCAACTTACCATGGTCCGAAAGCCAGCGTTCGAGTTCGGTTTCGTGCCATTGGTTGTAGACTGCGGGCACCGTGACGTGTTAGCCATAATGCCTTCTCTAGTATACATCGTTGGGCTGCAACAGCAGCAGCATGCAGCTTGGTCCAAGGGGAGGGGGATACTCCGTACCAGCTTTGCTGAACCAGTCTTTAGCGCCCACGGCTTCAGACACGGTGAGAGCTACGATTAGCCCGGTAAATAGCCACTTCATGATGGCGATGGCTCCAGCGTCAACAAGTCTCACGCGAATGGGGAGCAGCCAAGTGTTGTAAATAGCACGACTTCTTCGGTTCCAAAGAAGGCCACTTGCATGAGAACAGAGCAGAAATCAAACAAACGGCCCGACCGGTGTTCAATTATATACTCCCTGGAAAGAAGACCATAACAAGGTCCAAGGGAAGAGCAGCTTTTCCCATCGCCCTTGTTATGACGTGTTGTGTGACGTAGTGGGAGGGAAGGCAAGAGTCAAGCCCACCACTGAGGGGCAACACGCTTCACCTTCCAAGCCCTATTCCAAGGCCGGCGAGACCAGCTTTATCCTCCCCCAGCATCGCTGTCTGCCTGCACGTATGTATAGCAAGCCTGTATATATGTAAACAGAAATGATGCTGGTGCTTATCTTCTTCTTTTCTTCCCACTTTCTACGGTGGTTAAGATGACGTAAGCAGGTAAGATGAAGTAACGTGACGCTGACTAAAATGATCTAGCCCGATATGGGTACTCAATACGCTTACATAAGGATTTCCCAACTTTCCTGGCCTCTGATTGGCTGGAGTTTGCCCCGCACATGACACTAATCCCGAAAAGGCTAGCCCTGCCGTAGTTTGTGTGAAGAACGCGTCCTGATTGGTCGATTGTGCAGCACAGACCAGCGACCAGGTGCCTCATTGGGCGAACAAGGCGCATCAAGAACATCGCAAAGTTGCAGTTTCTCCGTCTTACACGGCGTTGTTCAAGGGATCAAGAGGAGAGCGGAAGTCTCTGCGCGAACAACCCTCCGATAGACCACGTCTCTCCAATGACCGTACCTGCGTGTTGACGGAACTCTTCTCTCTTCTCCCCTTTTCCTCCCCCCTTCTATATATCACCCATGTGCCATCCTCGTCGTCGGCTCCATACCCCCCTGTCCATCCGTCCGACGACTCCAGTTCTATAGACACCATGGCGAACATGAGCGAAGAGTGCAAGCAGCTCGCCTCTCCCGGTGCTGTTAGCGTTACCTTCTCCATGTAAGTGATGGGCCTGATGGCCTCGGTGTCGTTGGGAGGAACTGCGGCTGACTCGATCTGACACGGCCTCCAGACTGATATTCCTCGGCATCCTGCTCTCATATCTGCCCCAGCACTACCGTATCATCTCACGGAAGACCTCGTTCGGTATATCTCCATACTTTATACTGCTGGGAACGACATCGGGGACGTCAGGGTTTGCGAATATCCTCGTTCTCCCAAAGAGTGCTCGTGATATCGCCTGCTGCAGTGATATCAGCGGATTTGCCTGTTTTGCTGGCCTCTTAGGCATCCTCCAGGTCGGCGTCCAGACGCTATGTTTTGCTATATGGTAAGGACGGCCGCTACGATATTACACCTGGGGCTCGTGACTGACTCTGACGGACTCTTACAGCCTCATTCTTTTCGTTGTATACTTTCCTCGCAACCCCCCAACTCCAGTATCAGCATCTGGAGACGTCGGCAAATCACATAGTTTCCGAACTGCTCTCGCAGTAGGCGCCATATGCCTCATCCACGCGATCGCCGTGATCATTCTAGCCTTGACAGTGGTCCTTGCCTACCCTTCCAGTCGTCAACTATGGGCCAACATCCTAGGCGTCATGGCCACGATCCTCTCTTCCATCCAGTACTTCCCACAGATATACACCACCTGGCGTCTCCGTGGAGTTGGCAGCCTGAGCATCCAGATGATGTGCATCCAGACTCCCGGGGCCATAGTCTGGGCTGCAAGCCTGGCTGAGAGACTGGGTATGGAAGGATGGAGCACCTGGGGTGTCTATGTGGTGACCTCTATGCTACAGGGGACTTTACTGGTAATGGGTGTTTACTTCGAATACGTGAACCCTCAGAAACCAGAGCTCGAGGCCGGAGCGAACAAGGCAACAGACCCCAACGGCCGTTCCTACGGTACCGTCAACGGCGCGGACAACCACGCCCAGGACGACGCCATATCCGAGGACACACCCCTTCTACAAGGCTGACCAAACCGCCTTCCCAAAGAAAAAATTTTATTACATATCCACTCATTAGCAAACCTAACCTCACACTTTGCCTTTTTCTCTTCTAGCAAGCTCTTCAAGATCTGATTTTTAAAAACATTCCTTCTGGATATATTGTCTCATTACTCTGATGTCAGCGGTGGCGTTCATTGTACCTGTTCCCCTTTTGTACTCCCCACCTTTATAACGACCCCTCATACCAAGCCAAAAAGAAACAAAAAAAGAAAGAAAGAAAGACAGGATGTGATATCTGGTTCCTATATTGTGCAACCGACTGGACTTGGTTTGGGGAACATGTCACATTTTAGCCATACATGCCTGAAACACCCGTGCTAGGACACGGGGGAAGCATGCTATCGATGATACCCGGAATGAAACAACTCATTCTAATCCTTGTAAGATATCAGATACCACAAGATTCACTAGGCACCCCCATATCACCTTTCCTTTTACAGTTCGGTTTAGCTATTGCTATGGGTTTTATATTTTGAATTTACATGTATACCAATGGCGAAGATGTACGAATTTGGCCTACTATTTCTATTAAGAATATCCTCGAAATACCCTTAGATGTTCATCTTCACGTTCTTGTATTGTTGAATACACGCGCGTTGATAAAAATAAATATGATACAACTTGGCTTGCTAATCTATGCATGGAATTTTGCTTGATATCGTCAATATTCAACCAACATTGTCAATTTCCGCCCCCAAAAAGCACGCACATATATTTTAAAGCGCATATGTATATTTCAGTTAGAACCGGCGGCAAGTCTCACGTTCAACCGCATGGTCTTCCTTTTGGTTTCGTTCTTTCTTCCATCCGAGTAACACCGCAGCTTGCGGCACCACGCATCCTCCTGCAGGCATCCGGCTCTCTCCATTGTCAAGCAAACAATGCACACTAATCCTCGCCCTTGAACCTTACCTCTTCCATCTCATCCAGCGTTTCAAGCTCTCCTTCCTGTGTGATCTGGCTAGATGCCCGGCCATGTCTCCCCTCCATATCCCGGTTATGTCGTTCGACTTCCTCCTCTTTTTCTTCGATCTTATGCCGGTCGTCCTCGCTTAGTTCTTCCCTTGATGGCCGCTTGGGGTGCTTTGCATCCGCTCCGCTGTGCTGGTATGCGTCACTAAGTGCAGGTTTGGCTTTGTTGGACGGGATCCGGGAGTCGAATTCTTTGGCAAACGAGTCTGATTCCTCCATGTCCGGTTCGGGTTTGTGGTGTTGATGGTGATGTGGCGCTATATTCACACGGCTTTATTAGTTCTATTTATTACTTTTGACGGCTGCATGAAGTATGTACCTTGTTCCTTGCCACTTGATACATATTCTTCCCGCAGTCCACCAGCTGGACTAGAATGAATGAATCTGGCCCAACTAGGCCTCTCGAAACGCAGCTCTCCCTGGACACCGCATCCTCCCGAGAGTTTCTTAGGGCCGTTTCTTCCAAATGAAATCGGTAGTCGGGTAGATGTGATTCGTAGTGTCTGTATGAGTGTCGACGGCCTGCTCATTGTTTACAGTCGAGGCGGTGTGTAGATGAAACGTGGAGGATGTGATATTGAATATATGCCGAATCGGTCAAATTTGAACACCTTGAAATAAGTAGTACTGGTCAAAGAAATGCTCAGATGTTCTCTCTTTTATACTATCTTTGCCTCATAGTAGATACTTCCTACCCCAGTTTATTATGTCATAGCTGCCAGCTTTAAGAAGTTCCGCCAATGACCTGCTCCATCGGCAACCAGTCTTTGCTACTCCATATCCAGGACAAGGGTCGATGTAAATAGATTCCCATGTCCAACGCTCATCTCCACTACCTGTAGATCGTGGCCATAACTTCTCGGCTACATCCCTGTTGCCTCCTTATTATCGATTTCGTCCTAACGAAGAATGTGAATGCTTAGCTAGAAGTTGAAAAGGGGGTAGCACGGTACGTACACCGTCTGTTTACACATTGATATCAAAGCCTCCTTAAGTATATAATTCAGGGCAGGGAAGAGATAAAGATATCTAGGTTAGACGTATAACTGAAATAATTATAGACAAGAATTAAAACCAAGGGTCACCGTTGATATTTATAGATACCAGATACATGCCTGAGCACATATACATGGAGACATGGCCAAAAGGAAAGCTAGCTGTTGCTGAAAAGCAGTCGTAGAAGCGACAGCGCGAGGTAAAGAGCAGGCCCTTGTCAATGTGACAAAGAAGAGCAACGGGAAGAATGCATACGCTGTAGCAACGAGGTTGGGTCTCAAGGGGTTCAAGCACGATAGCATCCGCTGACAATTCCGAGAATAGAAAACTGCAGCTGAACAGAGGGGGAAAGGGAGGGGTAGGAGGTTAATTGACGGGCGAAGAGGACGAGGATATAGTCCGAAACCACGGATATAGTTAGGAGTGGTACGTATGTGCATAGAAGAAATGGCTAACAGATAGAAAGATGCTTTTCCCCCCCTGTGTACTCGTCCCATCCAATCGAGAATGAGTCTGGACAGAAAACTCGGTTAAGAAGAAAAAGCGACAAGAAGTCCGCGGAGACATGTTGATATGTGAGCATGAGAGAGAAAATCGTTGCTATATATATGATGACAGGATATATGGGAAATGATAACAAGACCGATCAAAAGATGGATGTCCAAGCCTAGTATGAACGCCAGCCCCGAAAAGAAAAGCTACTGCCTGGAACGCCTGGATAAATACTATATATGAAGTGTAACTGTACTGAGAAGAGGAGAAGATTCGTCCGAAAAAGAAAACAATTCAGTTACCATATATCCATTCGCAATAGCACTGATCGGATCCGACTTCGCGCGACTTTATCACTTTAGTGCTTCTAGCCGAGATATCGCCAATATCGGTGTCGTCGTCAGATCTTGGTCCGGCTTCTGAGTCTTTTTCTTGAATGATCGTCGAGTTTTTCAACATCGATAAACTCCAGTCATCCAGGACCTGCATCTGTTGGCAGTATGGTGGAGATGGACTGGCGTCGGAGAATCGAAGTTCTTTGATCTTAACAACTCGAGCGTAGGATTGCGGTAGATTACCATCGCCGGCTGTTGAGATGGGCATTGATGTAGCGGATTCGGGTGACATTGTAGGAGTAGCTTGACGGGGGCTGGCTGTCCCTGTTGGGTATATTTCGATATCGGGATCTTCGCCGTTGGTCCTCATGTCGTCTTCTGACGCATCTTTGTTGGCGTAAATAAATGTCTCAATATGAGTAGTGTTCCACCAGCAAAACCATGGCTTATCGCCAGGGACGGATTGGACCTTTGACCGATTGGTGGAACGTGGGATCACGTTCGATTCATCCACTTGCCCACCAGCGACGTTAGGCGGGAATTCATCATCAGGAATAATAACAAGCTTGTCGAACGTAGTATAGAAAAAGTAGGCGGGCCCTTCCTCCACGGATGTTGAGTCGACAACAGTCTCAAGCGGATATTCCTTATCCGCTAGTGCTGGCACTTGGTCTCCGTATATGAACTTGCCAGTCAGAGGGGTTTGGGTGAATTTGATCGATCTAGTGTCATTGGCACCGCCATAGATGGAGCCTTTAAAGTGACCGTATGGTATACAGCCCCAAGCAGGCTTGAGGCTGGTAGAATTAACACAGCTTTGTGACTCGGAATTTAATGTTCTTCCTGAAATCGAAATATCTCCAGTGGGGATGGGACTGAAAGAAATGCTGGTTGCGGTTGGTAATGGTATAGCATCCAAGGTACCGCTAGTCGTTGCCGTTGCCGTTGCGGTACTATGAAACTATCATTAGCTTGAATGTTTTGCATTTATTGTATGATTCAGGAAGGAATTAGTTGAACGTGAAAGGGGACATACACTGTGGACTGATGGTCTGGGTCTGGACCAGGTTTATTACTGTCTTTCTGTCCTTGACGAGCTCCTACAATCCCGCCAAGGACACCTCCGATAAGAGTGCCAGTGACCAAGCCGATGGCAATGAGGCCAATGATCCATAGCGGTAGACCACAACAAATCTTCTTGTTCCTTCTCCTGTCCTTTTCGTCGACCTTCTCGGATGATATATTCCCCGACTCGGCCGACGACGAGTCTGGCGGTGGAGGGACAATTGTTGGAGGGGTGGCTATTGTAGGGGCATTTTCTGTAAGTAGTGTGCGGGATGAGACTTGTGACATTGGGGAGACGGGCGTCTCGAGAGGCTGAGGGGAAGTATTGGCCGCGGTGACAACCCCAAGAGGTGTAGCGGGGGCGTAGTATGATTTTTCTGGGATGCCATCTGGATAGCGGGAGTAAGGGGGAAGTTGTTCTCTATATCCATCCGTGCCTAAGATGTCGCCAACTTCGTCTGCAACGGGAGATTGAGTGGTTTGAGTAAATGTCTGAGGGTGACCAGGTAATATAAGGGGGACAGTAGTGTTGAGAGGCTCGTCTGGGACGTGTTCGGGGACAGTATTTTGAGAATATAGCGCGTATGGGTGTTGTGGTGGGGCTGCTGCCACAAAATTGCGCTCAACAGGTCTTGTCGTCGAATTTGATGAAATAGAGGACGTCCTGTTGACTGAAATTCCCTGGGAGTACATAGCATACGGGTGGCTAGGCCCTGTCTGGCCGGTGTAGGGGCTCAGGGCACGAGGAGGGATGGAAAACCTGGAGATGGTGCTGACACTTCGGTGGCCGGCAGAGGTGGTGCTTTGAGCGATAGAGGCTGTAGGAGAAGACGTCCGAGGAACAGGACATACGTCTGAAGGAAAGTGTATCTTATCAGGCATCTGCGGTAGGACTGTTTGTTGTTGCTGTTGCTGCTGCTGTAATATCTGTGAAGCGCGTCTTTCCAGCGACTCAGAGCGACCTTGAAAGGGGCTCATGGGGGGAACATGTCCATCTCTCTCCGTCTCCGTCTTATCCGAACTCGAGGACGACTGGCTTGAGATGCTGTTAAGGGACCGTCTCTGGCTGTTGGACGGATTTTCTAGTCGTTCGAGGGAGAATTCATCGCTGAATACGTTCAGGACCGGGGACGGTTGGGCGTCGCGAGAGGACTGACTGAGCTGCTGCTGCGAGTCACTACTCGACCGATCGTGCGAGGACAACGCTCCATGGCCTTCGTCTGCACCCGGGCACGGTGATACTGGACGTTCGCTCATTGTAGACGGGGGCAATCGACACACTGCCCGCCTGGGGGCAGCGATCCCTTTTGGCGCTTCAGCCTTTCAGACACCAAACTGCAGCGGCTGAGGAAACCGACGACCAGTCCAAGAAGGCAGCGAGAGAACGTAGAACGACCGGACGGGCTTGTCAGAGCAGCGCCTCGAGCGAGCAGAGAGCGTTGCAGGGTGATGGACTGGGCGAGCTGGGCGTTGAGGTCGGCTGGCAGAGATGGACGTGAAGTTGTTTGGTCGGAGAGAGCGAAGGGAAGATCTGAAACTCAAGCCACCGCGCGCCAAGACTTCCTGTCAAACCCTTCTCTCTCAGATAATCAGATACTTATACTTAGATACTTGATACCTGAGATACTACTCAGGCTCCAGGTACGAGGTACGAGGTACTCCATACTCAGGTGAGTGCTAGATATACAGCACGGCGACGGCGTCTGGTCGGTCGGTCTGTCTGTCTACACCAGCTGGCGGCCACTGTCCGGCATCGATATCGACACAGCAACGCCGAATGCCCCATACCTACGGAGCATACAGATATCTCGCTGCTGGCGGACGAGCGATGTTACATGGGACATGGGAGAGAGGGTACCCCCAACTTAAACTCTGGCCCTGGCTTCCGGACAAAACCACTGAGTCAAGGGGGACTTCAGGACTCGAGGGAACCGTCGGCATTCTACCAGACTTGGTAAAGAGGACTGACTCCGTCCATGCATCCGGAGTATACAACTCGAACTAAACCTCGCTCTTCCCAAGGCCATGCCATGATGGGTGACTTTTCGCGCGCTGCTGCTGTGTGGCCTAACCCTGGTCAGACCCCGGCTCTCTAGCCTGCGATCCGCCTGCGCGCACTTAGCCACAACCATGTCCTCCCAAGACGGAAGATATTTGTGAGCCCTCTTTCATTCATCTCCTGGCCCGGGGGAGGGTTCTGTCTCCTGGGTTGCTGCCAGCTGAGAGTGACTCCTGATGAATTCTGTGCCCAATGGCGGTCCCCCGGTGCGTTCAAGGTTCGTTCAGAAATGGCCACTTAGTTTCTTCCAAAGGCACGGAATGGAGTCAGGGTGGACACGGCTTTCCCGTGTACAACCACACCGGTGAGACCTTCGGATGACATCAGAGGGCATGAGTGTTGAAAGTTGGCTTTACTGCAGGCGGCTCCCTGCCTGCGTGCTGTCTGTCGCCCGGGTTTCTCCTCTCTCCTCGCTCTTTAACTGTGCGCCCTTTCTTTCGTATTTAACCCACAACACCCGGGCTTTATTTTGTACTCAGTGTGTGGAGTTCGTCAGGCACTGGTTGTAGGTAAGTATGGAGCCACTGAGAGTCGTTACACCTGGTCGTTAAAGGAAGTTCTGAATACACCAAACCGATTGGCCCAGCAGCATTAACTGATCGAATAATCTCAAGCGTAAAATCGCCGTAGTTTCCACCTTTCGGTCATATTATTCCAATTAGACGATGGAAATTGTTCACCAACATCACCTTGCTACGCCCAAGTCAAGGATTGCGGATAAACGGACCGTTCCTTTCTGGCCCCATCCTGCAATGCCATTTTCCACCTCTGGTCGAACGGCCACATACCAACACCAGGCTCGCCTGTCTAATTCGTCCTTACTCAGCTTCGACGCCCACGACTGACAAACATGATCGATTGCGCCAAGTAGCAGGCCAAGAGTCATCTCCTTGGCGGGCATAGAGTCGCTGTCTTTCTTCGTGCCGGGATTATGGGTGCTGAACGCTCGCAGTAGGTAATCTCGAGCTGACTCGGCCCTGTATACAGGGAGGTGCGCGTTACGGCTTCTCTGGCTGTCGTACCCACCACCATGTCTACCGTAACGGCCATCACTCGATTTCCGGAGGCTTTCCAAGTCCAGGCCCCATAGGGCTGGGAGATTGTCGTCGTCACTGTTTTGTTTCCGTGACAGCACATTGGCCCTGGGTACAGGGTAGCCTTTCTCGGCATGCGGGGAATCGCTACTCTCTATATTCTTGCTATCAAACTCTTCGCATGATTTAGCTCTGTCGCCTTTCCAGTCGTACCCTATTCGTCGAAGGACGCTGATACTTCTCCCCAAGACCCTGACCGTAGGTTGGCCTTTGGCCCATCCTTCGTCCTCGGCGCTTGGAGTAGAGTCGATCCCGATACTGCTAGCTTTCGTACGACTGTTCGCGCTCACCACGGCCTGGGCGAGGCTCAGCCTGCTAGATAAGGGCTGCTCGGGCATTGTATACTTCAACGATATGACTGCAAATGCCAACACAAGCGGGGCTCGGTTAATGATAATTGCCGTTTCGGAAATTTTGTCTAGATCAGTGCTCATAGGGAGTGCCAATGATGCTTCGATCTGCTGGGGAGTGAGATCAAGTTCCGCTGCTGATGCTTTCCGTTTCTTCGACGGCGATGGAGCAGACGGCATTTGCGGGTCATTCTCAGCTGCCAATCGCTTCTTGACTACCCTCTTTGCCGCATTCCAAACTTGTTTTGCAGTTTTATCCTCTGTGAAAACTAATTGAACTGTTGCCAACTTGGCTTTGGAGATATCGTCTGGGCTACTGAGCCGTCAGCTAGGATTCGCCCCTGTGCGTGCGGGATGGAAGGGTATAAATAGCAATCATGGTCCTAATTGCATCTTTCATACTTGAGTAATTTGGCCTTCTGGAGGTCCTTGATCTTGCCCATGGCAGCGGCGAGAGGAAGCCTAGCATCTTGAGTCAGGAAGCGAAGGAGTGACTGCACATCCTTTGCCGTAGCCATATTTGATCGACCGTCAGCTTGTGCGTTCGCTCCTGTGGTCGAGCATTAAAGGAATGAGGATTCTTGTCGTCGTATTTACTCTTGATATGCCGTTCTTGGACAGCACAGATATCACGTGGTGGACCAGCAACTGAAGTATTTTAGTGTAATAACGACGCCAGATCCTATAAATTTCATATTTATGATCAACCATATGATATAACGGCTTGTATAGGCTCAATACTTCTAAAATGATTGCATCTGCTGGACGACGAGATGGTTATTATGGGCAAAGCAGGCTTCGACCTTGAGCTTTCCCCCTTTATACCCCAGATCAGTGAGAAGGCTCGCCATGCTATATAGACCTTGGAATACTTGGAGAGTTCCTACCACGAGAGATCTCTATAAACAAACTCCACCAAAGGAAGGAATGGATAATGGTTGATTCTACCATGTTTTCCTGCTCTCCTTCATATGCATTTTTACATACAAGCTCACCAAAGGCAAACAGCCGCTACTCTGGCCGCATCTCTGATTTCTCTTTACTAGCAAAGAACTATCCACGTTTATGCTTTAACTTGTGCAATACACCATGTTATCGCTTGTCTTTGCGTTGGTTCTGCCTATTCTCGGCTCGTTCGTTCTGGGGTTGTCCCTCGACGACGTGAGAAGCGAACTCGGACCTCAGCTATCTGGTTCAGCCGTGGTCTCCGAAAACGGGCGAGATTTTGCGAGATGGAGTGACTATCATGCTCCTACCGCTGGAGTAGTTGTTACCGTGGCTTGTGAGCAGGACGTGGCCGTGACGGTATATATAATTTTCTACTCCAATATCTCTCCTTTTCAGAATGATAAGCTGATGGCATGAACTGCAAATAGGTGCAATATTGCATTGAACATGAAATTCAGTTCTTAGCCCAAGCTGGAACCCATGGGTTTACTACTACGATTGATCTAGATGATGACGGGATTCTTATCAATCTTAGGCAGTTAAACTCGGTCACGTTCAATGACGATAAAACAGAGGTCACCGTTGGAGGTGGTGCTCTGATCTCTGAAGTAATCGAGGCTGCCTCATCTAACAATACCCTGGTTGCAACTGGCAACTGCAACTGTGTTGGTGCTGTCGGTGCCATCCTTGGTGGCGGCTACGGCAGCCTAATGGGCCTATATGGCTTTGGTGTTGACAATGTTCTATCACTTAACGTCGTCTCTGGGGACGGTGTTCTTAAGACGGTCACATTTGGGGACGACCTCTTTTGGGCTCTCCGAGGTGCTGGCCCTAATTTTGGCATTGTCACCTCCGCAAGAATGAAATCGTACCCGAGAGAGCCATCTAAACAATATGCCTGGGTAGGCGCGCTTACGTTCACGGGAGATAAGATTGAAGCAGTCGCCAAGGCAATTAGTGAGATTACCCTAACAGCAGAGATGAACATTTATATGTTTTTTTTGGACGCTCGTGCTCCTGACAAAAAGCCAACTATAATACTCACTCCCTGGTACTATGGCACTGAGGCTGAAGGACGAGCTGCTTTTGCCTCCGTTATTGATATTGGTCCTACACTCAATACAATGGCTGAAACCCATTATACTCACTGGAATGATGGCTCTGAGAGCGCCTGTATCAAGGGCGGCCGCAAACCGTCATATGCTGCCGGTCTTGCCGAAATTGTGCCCGAGACGTGGAAACAGGTCTGGGATGAATATGTATCATGGGTTTCATCAAATGACGGAAGAGCCCGCAATAGCACTGTTATACTGGAAGCCTACTCCATGGCCAAAGCTGGGTCAATTGCAGATAGCTCTTCATCGTTTCCATGGAGAAGCCGTCTCAAGTTCAACGCTCTCATATTTCCCTGGTATGTCGACAAAAGCTTAGATGCCCCGGCTGAATCCTATAGCAAACGCACCCGCAGTCTGCTGCAATCGACCAGTGGTCTTTATCCTCCAGCTACGTACGTACCTCTACCCTAACGAAAAGCAACATCATCATCGAATGAGACAATGGTGTAAACCATACTAACATATGGTAACGCCCTTCTAGGTATGTAAATTTTGCCCATGGTGATGAAGATCTCTCAGAGATATATGGCCATAACCTTCCCCGGTTACGGGAGATCAAAGCAAAGGAAGACGAGTACAATATCTTCGACCAGTCGTTTTACCTCGGGCCTAGCTATTGAGAAAAACATCGCAAAATGTCACCGCCAAAAGACACGACAAATGTATAATATTCCCAGTATTGATAATCAAAATTGAAACCACCAAGTGGTCTATAATTCTTTCAGTACGTCCTAGAGTAACCAGCAGTTCACTCGAACGTAGATTTCCGAGCTGTCTATGATGGCATTATCTTTTATGGTAGAGTATTTTTTTATAGATAAAATTCGTGGTCTGCAACTAGATGTTATTAGGAGAGAATGGGGTAAACACCCTTCTGCCTTCTTCCCATCCACTTTTCCTCCGAAAAAGCCCATCCAAGAGCAATAGAGTAGTATATATAAAATCACTATGTATATTCCAAATAAATACAATGGTTAGAATGAAGGTATTAGGTAATTATTGTTTCTCGCTGTTGCTTGGGGCCTCAGCTTCAGCCTTAGACTCAATCTTTGAAGAGGGCATTTCACTGGATTCCAAGGGGTGAGGAATTGGCTCCTCCTCTGCTAATGGTAGTATCTCTTTGGCTTCGGCTACTGGAACGCCGGGTTCACCCACGGTAGCTTCTTTGTCTGTGATACCAGCAGCATTCGGGGCAGCTTCTGCTGCCTTTAATCCAGAACAAGACTGGAGTTTGGCGTCGTCTTCCTCTAGCTCTTTGATATCTGGTACCTGGGGTTCACTGGGTTGCATGAGAGAAGTAGTTGGTTTATCCTCTGCTGACGATGGTAAAGGAGGCACCTCTTCAGACGAGACTTGATCATCACGTTTGTCCTCATCCCTTGGGATCACGGTAGCATCGGTAGCTTTGGTTGATGCCTCTGATTCAAGGCTTTCCAGATTGTTAGGAGGGGAGGCGGTTACCTTGGTCGGCGGAGGGTCGCGAGGTGATTCTGATTGAACATCACTGGGTTCAGAAGGGGTTTTGCTCGGTTGCTCACTGGGAACATTGACCTCCCCGTTTGGGCCGATGGACCAAACATTCCATGGGTCAGCAAGTTTTATTTCTGGTGTTTGTGGCTTCTCGGTCTTCTCTACTACGGCAGGCTTGGAAACGGCAGGCTTTCTCCTTGGTGGTCCCTTAGCTCTCCCCTTACGTGCATCACTGAGTGGTCCTCTTTCCACTGCACTCTCTGCATCTTCCTTCTCTTTCTCTTTGGGCTTAGGGGCCTGTGGGCCAAGCTTTAGACGGTTATCCAAATCAGACAAAAATCCCGCTTTCAAGGCAGCAATTTTCGAGCCAACAGCCCGCGGCGGGACGGCTGGCTTGGCTTTCGGGACTGGGCGAGCTGCTTCGTCCGTTGACCCTCCAGATATCGTTTTCGTCAAAGTTTCACCTGAATCATGGCTCTTCTTTCTGGTAGGCCGCTGAGGAATTTGTGGTTTAGGCCTATCCGGTATTGACGGTCGTTTCTTTAATTCTGTAGGGCTGACAGGCTGAGATTTTGTGGGCGACACGCTTGGTTGCTCTTCTGAAGATCGACCTTCCTGCCTTTGGGGTCGAGGAGGAAGCGACGGTAAGGAAGGTTTCTCTGGCTTCTCTGGCTTTTCGGGAATTTCTACAGAAGTAGTGAGTTGTTGACTCTCGGGGGCTTCTTCCCAGATATCCCTGCTTGGAAAACGTTGGTTTGGGTCATGTTCTTGGGATTTGAGATCGTCCGAAGTGCCTGGAGTTTCTTCCAAGCCCGACTGCACCTTAAGCTTGTCTGCTTCCCTCACTCGTTCCTGCTCCTGTTCTGGAGTCTCAAACACGGATTCTGATTCGGATTCGCCTCTTTTAGGACGTCTGGGTATGTCCGGCGTCGATACTGTAGCATGTAGCTGTGCACTACTCGGAGCATCTTCCCATATATCTTTACTTGGAAATCTCTGTGTCTGGCTGGTTGGTGACTTGAAGCGCTGTTCAGGAGACAGGCGATCTTTGTTGTCATCGTCAGGAAATAGGGGTTCGTATTTCCTGACATGCTCGGTAGGTTCAGCTACATCTTCACCCTCCTGGCCCTCAGTTTGCTTATTAGATGCTTTGCTTGTAGCGCTCGTAGATCGAATAGGCTGTTTACGCCGAGAAGATTCAGCTTCATGCCCAAAAGAATCGTTTTTCCGGTGTTCAAGCGGGGGAGACACCGCGGGCTGTAATCCCACAGAGTTCGGGTCAACCTCGTCAGATGCAAGCACGGGGACATCTTCCTCCTCATCATCGTGAATACCATCCCTGTTCGCGTCATTAAAGTCCGGCGCTGGTGCAAAGCCATCAGGGTGATGTTGGTGATGTAAAGGTTCGTCAATATGAATCTTCACTCCATGATGTTCATCCTTATCCTCCCTTGCCTCCTTTGCAGCGTCTACCAGCTTCTGGCTTTCGGATAACGACTTGGCAGTGGGCTGTTCGCTAGACACTTCATTCTGCAGCGGGGACTCTGCTGGGGGGGACTTGAAGCGAGAGGCGAGCTCTTCAGCCATGATATTCCCGATTTCTTCGTCAGGTGTGCACACGGAATCGTTAGATGTGCCTAGATTCGTTAGACTAAGCCTGATGAGATATGGAGTAAGGGTTTATCAGAACAGTACCTTTAGAAATGGATGATTTGACAATCTTATTCAGGTCATCGGTGCTCATGGCCCATTCTGGGCGTGGACTACCCACACCTGACCCATGTAGTACTTTCTCCTCATGGGCAAGTTCCTGGGGGTGTTTTTGGTACCAAGACTTTTCAAATGGGTCATCCGGGGTTACCCCGTGGCCATGGAGGCCATAACTTCCAGGAGGAATAGAGGCTTCCTGCCTACTCCGAGTTCTACCGTGCCCATCTTTTTGGGAGTTATTACCACGGGAGCTGGTTGGCCCAGGGGATGGTGATGGCGCCTGTACATCTCCTGCATTAGGGTACATAGGTACCCGTTGGCCGATTTCGGGAATACCGGTCTCTTCATCATTGGCAAAGGATTTCCGATCAGCCGATGCACTAGACAACTCAAGTTGAATATGTGGAACGTCAGCTTTAGAATGTAACGATCGGCGGCTAACATCCTCCTCTGAGCCTGTTTCGTGTCCATGTGAAGCATCAGTCCTAGTTACGGCCTGGACCTGTGCTGTCGCGCTCGAGGTTGGTAAGGACGGCCGGGGTGCATGCAAATGAAGGTCGTGGTGGACATTTCTCGTTTCTGCTGGCTGTTCCACCCCATCACCTGCTACTTTAGCATCTAGAGAACCCGAGTTATCGTCTTCAACATGTTTTTGTTCGATTGACGAGAGAATCCCGTTATCGGGACGGAAAGAATGGTCAATTGGCGAATCCGCACTCAATAATCCAGAAGCAGGCGGAGCATTGAGCGGAGAGGGAGAAGGGTTATCCAATTTTGGCGGCGAGCTTCTATCTGGACGGCTTGTTGGGCGTGGGGGTATCTTGGGTGGGTTTGCGTTGGAAGTTGGGGCGTTATTTGGTGAGCGAGTAGGCCGTGGAGGGATTGGAGGGGCCCCTTTCGTTGACATGGTGATTTCAAGTACCTTCTACGGTACTATGAGCTGCCAATGTAATGTAAATCAGACGGCGAGAAATGCAGAGAAAGCTTCTAGATAGGTCAGTACTTCTGCACCAGTTTCCAGGAACCAACGCTGCGTCTTAGGTAGATGCTTTGAATGTCAATGTTGGAATTATAAACGGGTCCATTGCACTTCCGTAACGGTACTCAATTCTGTGAGCTCTCTGGAGAAACGAGATTGCCGTCTCCCTGGAGGTTCATGTACAGAACAACCCCAGAACCGAGTACCGAGAACGTAGTTCAGCACTTGGATTTGGGTGGCGAGAGTCCGGGATAGTGCATTGAATCAAAACCAACAGGCTGAGACTTTGAGAAAGAGGATAAATTTGTCTTGCTGTAAACGAAAATGCTTACCGTTCTTCTAGTCGTAGTTGATGTCAAGGAAGATGGCCAATGAAGCTATAAGCAAACAACGCCGGGGGACGATGGCCAACAATCGTCATATATAACATAAATCAGGCTCTATACGACGTCACTGCCATTGGCACTCGGGAGATCATAGCATGTTTGCTGCCCGATGCGGTGGATGGTGTAGCTGCGAGCTGCGAGCTGGCCTTGTTTAGTTCGAGATGTCGTAGTTCTTGCTCTTACGTAGCTCCAGAAGAAGCCAAAGGCCAGAGCACAGCCACATGACGCGCTGAACACGTGGACAGTCACGTGGATATCAGGACAGATGGATGAGGATAGATAGATATGAGGATAATAGATATGGAGGATGAGGATAGGAGGATAGATAGATATGAGGATAATAGATATGGAAGATGATGATATGAGGATAGATGAATATGGAGGAGATATGGAGAGAAAGGAGTGGCCGGTATTAGTTATATTGATAAATATCACGCAGTCTCGTAATAGCCTACAGTATACAAGGAAACGCAAAGCTAGAAGTTACAAGAGGATATGGAATAGAACGATGAATGAAGTGCCCAGTTCCAGATCGGTATCCGGCCATGGCGTTCAAAACAGGTAAAAGAGGCCCAAGGAAAAGACGAAAAGCAAGAGCAAACTGGTATCTATGGGTAGTAGTAGGTATGGGAATGGAAACTGGCAACTCATCAGACAATATCATCACCATTATGGAACCTCCTTTAAAAAGCTGGTGTATCGTGTGCATCGTGGGATTGTACTTCAAGTAAAAATTTTCTCGTCGGGGGAAAAGTGCAGCTTTGCTAGCCGTAGACGAAAAAAAAAATATATGGCGCCTTTCAATCGGCAGACACATTCCCATTCAAACCATCATCTGCGCAACACCTTGTCCGCCAAGGGTCTTGCTCCCGGTGAATTCCTGACCTTTAACTGCGGCGAGAGCATAGAAGATGGCTGCGATGATAAGGAGGACGGCGGCGGCGATAAGGCTGGTGGCTTCCTTTACAAGACTGATCCACTGGATAGCGCTCATAGCAAGGTAGATAACCGCGCGCATCGTGTTGGATGCGAAGCGGCGGATGAAAGAATCGAACTTCGACGACGTAGGGCAGATGCGCATAAGTAGCGGGACCTCAATGAATAGGATGATAAATGACGAAGCTCTTTTTATAGGTATTATCGTGTTAGCGGGAGGTATAAACTTGGTAGTTGGTATCGACAAATAGTCACTTACAGACATATCGCACTGAAGAGGATAATGATTCCGGGTATGCGAATGAGGTTGGAAAGGCCGACTGCAAAGCAAAGGAGCATGGAGATAATTCCGGTCCTAAATTATTAACATTGTAAGCCTCTAGAGAGCGATATCCATGACGAGGTCACTGGTCGGACTCGACTGTATCGAAGAGCTAGATAATATAAGCAACTAACCATTGTCCATAGATGCCTAGTTAATCAACGTTAGCATGTCTGCCGAACCTGTATGGATGCCGGGACCAGGCGTGGCCATGAAGGCCTCCAGTAAACTTACTGAAATTTCTCGACTTGAATTCCTCGGCGAGCGTCATCGTGAAGCTTGTGGGATGGTTCTTAGACGATTAGACGGACGTTGGAGGTGGTTGTATCGTTTTCGTTGAAATGGCGGTCGCCTAGAGCTGTATGCGAAGCCGGAGCTGAACTAAACGGAGGATAAACAACGCTGGCGGCAACTATCGTCAGCTCCCGCACTTTGATAAAAAAGAAGGCGAATAAACTGGATATGGTAGAGACATCCGAGCAGCATCAAAGAGGACAGAGAAATAAATAAAGACCCATACTTACAGCACTGCTCCCGATTTTCCACTGGAAATAAGGCCGAAGAAGCTAGCTAGCTGGCAACGCGCGGTCAAGCCACAACGACAGGGTGTGTGAAGCTGGAGTGAATTTGGCAAACAGATACCTGCAAGCAGGTCGGCGGAAAATATTAGTTATTGTCCAGCAAGGGATCACTGCTCAACAGGTCAAGGCGGCAGAAGAAGAGCTTTTGAGGGAGGTGGTTTGGTGACAAGATGGCCTGACGGAGCAAAGAAACAACACCTTGCCTGGAAGTCAAGCCTCTGCCAAGCGTGCTGATTCACCGCGGCAACAGCCACAGTTTTTATGCATGTTTACTTACAAGCTGGAAAGCGCAGGTTTACTTCAGCTAAAAGTTGAAGGACCAGGCGGGAGAATGATGTTTGATCTGACTGCTTCTTCTTTGAATGTGCTGCCTTTTGGCTATATTTAAACTCGATGAAAATAACGTTGGTGCCTGAATATTCCTATAGAGCCCTGCCACACCAAGTACGTGGACACACCCAACGTACGTTGCTAACTTTTAGTAGGTAACATTTACTTCGTACTCGAGTTGCTTATGTCGAGAGCCGGTCTGTCTCTTCTTATCTATGAGGCTTCGATACGTTTGGATGACTCTCAATGAAGGTTAATACGTCAAGTTTCACTATCCACCCAATCGCGACTGGTCGGAAGAAATGTATCATAACACTGTGTGAAATACAACTGTGGTGTCTTTTCTTTGGTCCACTGTTGGTTATAGATTCTTCTTCCCAGCCCGTTTAGGAACTGTAGACAAGACGGAAAACATCGTTGTAAACAAAGTAGCTTCCACCACCATCAGGGAGGAGCTGGAAACACTGGCTGTAGCTCATGGGCGCTTGTTGATCATCAACCTGTATAAAGGGCAAATGTAAGCATATGCATGGACAATATTGATGGTTCCAGAATAAGGTATTGGGTTTAAAGGACGGAGGAAGCCATACCAATAGAGCACCGGTAACCATAACCAATATTCCACCACTCTCGTTTGATGGCTGTGCGTCCAAGGTAGATACCTGGTGGACAACCTTCTGGAATGGCAAGCTCTGTTTAAACCATGTGTCAGAAATGGATCATGACCAGGGCAAAGTGTCCGAATGCCCCATAATCGGCAATCAGCCCCCGGTATATAGTACTCACAGTCAGCTTCTCCAAAATAGGGGCAGCTCCTTGAATGGATGAGGTTTCGAATGTCAACATCGACTGGCCGCGCTACAGGTGGACAAATATTCATCAGCTCCTTGTTCTTGTATGGTTATAATAGCCCGTTGTACCGGCTAGAGAGAAGTCGCGTTCTGGCTTACGTAGAGGGCTCCGAGTGCACTTCGGTTCTCATCGAATGTCTTGTAGTAGAATTCGACGAATTGCTCTATTCCATAGACGCGATTGCTGTTAGGGCCTCGGCTTCACCATAGTTCTCTGCGTTGTGTATATGCATATACTCCTCTTGCCGCAGCCGCGTTGCGACGGGAGGGTAAATTCACGGTCAACGGTGGATATAGGGACGTACTAGCAACTGATGCGAAGTCTAGTAAATAACATTGTCAGCCTTTCAAATTCTGATAACATCGACTTGTTCATCCAGGGGCATGGAGGGGAATGAGTAGTTCAGGAAACGTTGACATGGACATCATGGAGACCCAAGCGCCCCAAAATAAACTTACCGGCCATCTTGTCTAAATTGTATCTTCGTGACTGCTCTATATCTTTTGTAAACGAACTTGTCTGCGTTGATGCGGTGAGCTCGAGAAAAGGGTGGAGGGGTTTAAATATGGTGGGGGTTTGGCGATGATGCCTAAAGAGGAAGTTTTCTTGGCATTTACTCAAGTCACTATCAGGCTTCAACGGCGTATTAATAATGAGGCCGTTGACTTGGATATAAAGGCGGTAATTATAATTTACATATATGATGATGGGCGGATTTATAAGCCCACTGGTATCCCCTAGTAAGAACGCTCAAGAGGACCGCTTGAACACTGACAAAGATGAAAAGAACCATGTATATCAACCCTCCGAGTCCGAGTCAGCAAACATATCTTCAGCCTTAGGTCGACGGCGTTTTAAGGTGGACTGAGCTGGCTCAGAGGGTTGTGAAGGAGCCTTGCCGGGGACCGGATCTTCTTTTAGGGGCAACTCTTGAGCCTGTTTGCTGCCTAACTCGTCTTGACCCCGAAGAGCCTCCTCAGCCTCTTCCAAGTCGCTGTCTTCCATAGGGACCCCGTCAATGTCAGACATGGGCTCGCCATATAGATCATCATCATTAGGAATCGGAGCACCGTCGACGTCCAAATCCATGGGATCCCCATCACCCGTGGAGTCAGCTGGGTTAAACTGCGCGGCATCACCATTGTCTTCAACGGCCTTCCACTTGTTTTTGCCCTTCCCACCAAACACTCCGGCTTCCTTTTCTTCAGCCACACGCGCCTTTTCTTCGGCTTGTTCCCTTTCAGTAGGCGGTGGGTGGTCAAAGGATTTGACAAAGGCTTCATGACTGGCCTGTGGGAAAACACACCAGCCTTCCCATAGGTTGAGTAGGATGCCGATACTGCGTCTCCATTTCTCAATTTTCAGCCTGCCCCATCCAAGCTCCTTTTCAATCCGGCCTAGCTTTTCAAAGGTTTTGTGTTGCTTCAGGGAATTTTCAAAAAGTTGTCGATAGCGCCAGGCGTGCCGTACACCGCTTGTAGATGACGAGGAGAGGATATCTGATATGATGTAGAGGCCCACAAGGCTGGCCGATGACATATCTAGTTTCTCGCCCAAGTTCGACTTTTTGCTCCGCTCCGCAGAACCACCAGTATCGACATTCGTAGATTCGTCAGCATCGTCCTGGCCTATTATTCCACGAGCTTCATTCTCATCCTTTTGTCGTTCAGGGTTTGCAGAAGTGTAAGCAAACGGTTTATTGACGTTCGTTACAATCATATCAACGACTTCATCCCCTCCGCCCCCAGCATGTTTAATAGCAAATGCGGTGACGCGAGCCACGTCGCCTCGTCGAAGCTTTGAGTGTGATGTAGGAAGCCTCGCCAACAAATGCGTGAGTTTTGCCTTTTGCAAGGGATTTAAATGACCTGCTCCGTCATTAGCTGTATCATTTGTGGCTTCACTCAACCTTTTTTCCTCCTCCCGGTCCGAGTCATCTTCATCAGAAGAGTCGTAGTCTTCATCGGAAACAAATTCATCAAGCTTAGTGGTAAACTCGAACTGTAAGTTTCTTTCTGGCTCTGCCCAGCTAGGGCCATTTTCGAATATCACAGTCGATGGCGCGCGGCCTCGTCCTCTTCCATTCCGTTTTTCAGGATTCGTTAATATATCCCATAGCCTCCATCGATACCACACTCCTCCTGTACTTTTCGGGTTCCAGATCCACGCCCATTTTTCCTCCTTTTGAACCTCTGCCCTACTCATCAATAAGGCCTCAAACTCGGGCCCAAATGTCAATAGGTTCTCTATCATTTTATGGATCAGCTTTAGCTGCCTCAAGTCTGATGGCGGTTTAACGTCGACCTGAAGCCCCTGGTTACTTCGACTCCCGTATCCGGCGCCGTATGACAACGGCGGCGCAATTCCAGAGCGATGAGGCCCGCCACGTCCAAAATGGCTATCACGGGTCATAACGCGAGCACCAAAAGGCTGGTTTGTGAGTGAAGTTATGCCGGGTGTAATTGGGGTGGTCGAATGGATAGCTGCAGAGGACAGATGGCGAGAAATCGACAGATAGAACCCCCAGCCTAAATACTTGTTCTGTAACGAGCTCACTACTGTATCCATATCCGTGGCAGCAGTATCGTGCGCCAGCGTAACGATAGCAGACCATATTCTCCGCTCATTACCCCCATGAACGGACGGTGGTGGCGGTGGTAAAATCTTCACGTTATCCACGACCAAGACCGGTGGAATCAGCGACTTTATAACAGCCGGTGACGTCCCCGGAGGCAGAGAAGATACATGCAATGTAGGCTTAGCAGCCGCCTTCTCCGCCTCCTTCTTATCGGCTACCCTGTCTTCCTCGTCATCTGATGCTTGAAATGCATTTATCGAATCCGCCCCAGGGCGCGAACCCTCAAACGCAAATATTCCACGAGGTTTATCCCGGTCCCGTTGAGACTCTCTTAGTGTATCGTATGGCCGTTTTTTGGAGAAAGAGGGAGGCGGTCTTCCGAGGGTTTCTGATGCTGAGCTCCGCATCAACGGGCCGGTGAAATGTCGTTTGGATGGACCACCACTCGCGTGGCCCGCGCCGGAACCTACATGATGGTGGGTAGGCCGTCCGGTAGAGATATTAAAAGGGGGGGATGAACTGGTATCTTGGTCAAAGGACTTGACGAAGTCCTTGTAAACAGCTGCTGTCTCGGCCTTATCTCTTTGCCGTTTTGCTTCGGCTTCGGCTTTTTGGCGTTCAAACTGTGACTTTTTCGGAGCAGTGGATGGTTTAACTGGTGTATCGAAGATAGACTTGATTGGTGTATCGTCAGACATGATTCCTTACCATCTAGCGCCCTATGGCAGAGCAGCGTAGCTCATTCAGGCACTGTCGTAATATCATCATCACGAAGTCCTAGTTTGGAGCTTCCCTGCGGCACGTAATTTGAACGATCACGTGACCTTATATCTAGCCTCCAAGCTCTATAAAAGAACGTTGGAAGAACTTTGACCCCCTAATTCATAATTCATTTATATATTTGTCAAGAAATGCATTCTTATAGCAGTAATTAGTACCATTTCATAAATACAATATAGATAATTATGGGCTTGATTATTGTATCCCATGTTATTGAAGGTATCCCACCGTCATCGTCAGTTGAACAATCAAGACTCCAAAAGGAATGAAAGAGAATAAAGAATAATGCAGAGCGCCCAGTTACTCCTAGCTTTACATGCCAATAATGCGAGCGGCCTTAGTAAGTTGCAGACCAGACAGGGACGTCAAGTAAATTAAAGTCAAAAAAAAAATGCATAGCCAAATGAATCTATACACGAAAAGGAGCGAGAAAAAAAAAAGAAAATCTCGACGTAACAAATACTACAATGCAATGCGTGATGCGGGTGTGATGCGATGCGATGCGAGTCTTGATGGGACCTGGAATGGCAGGGGTATTAAACAAGAATGAGGGTTGTTTTGGGCGATCAAGGTGAGAAAGTGAATGGTGTAGTCTTTTGGTGATTAGTAGAAATTATATGATGGGCGGGTTCCGAAAGTAGGCCCATGGCGAGAGGATGTCATTTATCATGTTCAATTTTTGTTTTTTTTATTTCCGGAAGCTGTCGGCACCCAGAGTTGGGACCTCGACCAATCGGTCACAAGGGACGCCTTCGTCGCGCCGTCGTTCGAAGAAGTTATCACACTCTGATACAACCATGGCCCATTCGGCAAGTGCTCGACCAACGTACTTGTTCATGGGACTGGGTCCATTGTCTGGTGGTTGAATGGGGGCGGCAAATAGGGTCTTTGATACGTTGTTGTTGGTCAACGGAGCAGCCGAGTCGACACTCAGTGTTTCGTTGGTGATGTGCGATTCAGTTTCTTCTGCAGAATCTGTTTCAGATCCATCGTCGGATCCAGTGCCTGAGCGTGAATGGGACATAGAGCCCGAACTTGAGTCAGAGGTATTTATTGGTGGTTTCCGAAGGGTGTGAAGGAATAGACGGGCTGGTGCGGGCAGTGAAGGTGGGTAGAGCTGTCTGTTTCTACTAGGCCACCTCTGGCGATCAATCCATTCAAGACAGAACCGGAAGGTATAGGCCTGGCGCTGTGTTGTGGTTGAGCCAGAGCCGGGAGGCGAGTTTGTTCCATCTTCGGGCTGAGGCTTCGTGTCTTCAGTTGCCTTGCGACCTTCGCTAGGAGGTGTAGAGCTAGTTTCTGGACTAGAGCTGCCGGGGGGAGTTACTTCTCCAGGTTTGGGATTCGTATTGCCCTTGAACATAGTTCTTAGCATTTTCCAAGTTTTCTTTATCTGAGGCGATGAAGTGTCCGGTTCCGCTGTGGACGCTTGGGATTGTTTCGGAGATTCTCCATTAAGAGGAGCACGGGCTGCCATCGAAGGCGGGAGAATGTTATCTAGGCACACGAACATGCTTGGAGCTGGTGGGAAATAGTCGTTTCGAATAATTATAATACGTCGGCCTGGAGCTGGTGTACAGGGAGCGGTTGATACGGGTGCTACTAAGCCTTTCTCTGCGATCGATTGGTGTGCAACGAACTGATCCCAAACTTGTCCCAGTCTATCGAACAACGTTTGGTAGATACGACTATACGGTAGTCAGCAGGGGAATGGCCATTGGTATTCGGGTGCAATATGGAAAACACTTACGTATCAAGATCCGACTGTGGGCCGCCATCATGTCGTGCTAACCTCCAGCAGATCAGTCGATGGTAGTACCCGCGAACCATTGGGCTCCAATGGCCAAAATACCGCTTGAAAAGATCTTTGCCAAGGAGCATATCTAGACATAACCGTTCTTTTCTCCTGGGATCGTAGTTAATCTCTCCCCAACCTGCAAATATGAAAGCAAAAGTCCTGACTTCTGTAAGTGAATTATTGCTCTTCAACATTTCAAGGCAAACATCAAGCCAGAAGTCCCAGTCAAGAGGGTCGGCTAGGCCATTCGTACGACAGTAAGGAGGTAATATTGGGATAAGTTCCTCGACAAAGTCGCATAGCGCAAAGCATGCATTATGGTCGTATAAAGACGTCTTCCGCGCGCCAAGCTTCAAGATATTGCAAAATGATTCGACGAATAGCTGTTTAGTTAGCTGTTGCATTGACGAATCAGCAAGGAAGTCTCGCAAAGTCATGATCAATCTGCTCTCGGACATTAATATTAAAGAGTTTGTCTGTCTCAGGGGTAGGCTGGCAGATGTATCCGCCCCATCTAGTAAATCATCGAAAGTGGCTGATCCTGTACTGTGCAGCGCGTCTGTCGGCTGCAGCCCTGTGTGTTTGCTGAGTGTATTTTGCAGGACAATTAACATTTGCGCGTGTACGGGAATGAAACCGGGAACGTATATTCGTTTCGACATGTCGCTAATGGAGGGTAACAAGTCCGTTATGAGAAGGTAGAAATGCTTCAGGAAAACAAAGAAAAGGTCGGTATCACGACCTGCCCAGCGAGGTGCCCAGGGGCCAAACCAGTTAATTTGAGCAGCAGCAAGTGGAACTGGAGTATTACGCCGTAAAGACCGCACAAAGGACGAATGGCCGGAAAATGAAAGGGACCGTACAGCCAGGGGAAACTGCGCCGAGATCTCCTCTGACATGACGCCTCTGACGACTAGGTTATGGTTGACATCGAACTCATTTATCACATTTCGGAGTATGGAGGGGGGTATATTCCAGAGTCGGACAAGTACATCGGCCACGTCAGGGCAGAAGAAAAAGGCGTAGGCACAGGTTTTCCCACAAAAGGAAACCAAGCTAGCTGGGGTATGTCTTACAGACATTCGGTCAATGGAGTAGGCAATTTGGGAGAGCAAGTTTTGGTTGAATGTATTACGGATATTATGGTGGATTGATTCGGCAAGGAAGTCCGACCCGGTTGACTCGAGGGATGTGTTAGATCTAGCGGCTAGGTCTACTCTCGAGGTAGACGTTGACGTCGAGCTCGAGGTGTTTGACTGAAAAGGGACTCGCCATTCGGGTCGAGTCATGATAGCAACGATCGATTCAAGGTAGACAGGTCGGTCTGTCCCCGTGATGGACTGGCCGTTTCGCCCGTTCAGTAATTCCAGTAACCCGGTCCACCATTTATTAAGTATGTTTGTACGCCTGTCTAGATCTTCTGGCCGGAGTCGATGGTTGGAGGTATGGTTTAAGATGCGGGATAGGACGGGTAAGAGCGAAGAACGGAGGACATTGACTTTGAGGGATGTAGATTTTGCGGTAAATCTGTCATTGTTAGTTGCCAGGAGAATGTAGTGGGAGCACAGAACTCATACTTTTGGTAGTCCACATCGAGTGCCCTGAAAACATGCCACAGTTCGTCCTTCTTTTTCGGGGACTCGGGTTTTAGTCGGGATGTCTGTGATGTAGGAACTTGTGGAACTGGAGGGACATCCTGTTTACTACTAGACAGGCTAACAGAAGCCACCATTCTGTCCCACGACGGCCTCCGGCGTAGAGATTGTGATGAAGACTCCCTTGTACCCTTGGATTCGAACTGAGCCTTGCTTTTAAGAGAGATTATGCTGGCAGGTCTTCGGCCTCGCTTTGGAGTGGTAGCCCCGGTAGATTCCACTGGCGAGGTAGCCGCCGATTCCGTGGTAGCAGTAGACGCCGAATCCGCTGTTTTGACAGACAGGGTACCTGTCGTACTCGAAGACCCGCCTGTCAATGTCTTTTCCAGGGCGTCATTCGCTGATTTAGCGTCGGGCGAGGGTTGGGGTGCCGGAGAGGGCGATCGTGAGGTCTTCCACGGCTTGAGAGTCAAGTTTGCAAACGACTGCTTCGAGAAGCCCTTGCGGGGTCGTTCTGTAGATGCCCTGGGCACGGTAGTCACCTCGACACTCGGGTTGGCACTCGGGTTGGCGTTCGGAGAAGGTGAAGGGGTATTATTAGTATTATTGCTGTCCGTAGAGGTAGCCGCCGGCGGGTTTCGAGCAGGTCGTCTCTGGCCCGCTTTCTCTCTCAGCGAGGCCTGCCGTAGAATACTTTTCCCAGTCTCAACGTCGAGCTGGTGCGTAGGCGATTGCGCATCAGCCGCAAGCTGCGAGAGGTTCACTTCAGATATCGTTCTCTTGATATTGCTCGCTTCGGGGTCGGCGAGCAGCTGGGGGATGTGATTGTAGCTGGCAGAGCGGCCAAGCTCAGACGACCTCGACCCATCCTGCACCATCGGCCGCGGATCGGGCATAATTCGAGGTAGGGAGCCCTCGAGGGCTATAATTCAGACAGCGGAGAGGGAGGGAGACGCTGGCGGACCTGGCGGACCTGGCGGACTAGGCCCAAGGGCCGGGAGAGACCAGCTCTCCGTCGATAACTAGATGCTGGCGACCTGGTAAAACCATGAGCTGTAGCGGAGGACGAAGACGAGAGCGGCCGCGGTGAGTATAGAGGTACTTCGAAGGAATCACTCGCGGTTCTGGCGGGAAGAGGCGAGGATGTTGGAATATGGGAAGTGTTCGGATCGGGAAATCTGGTATGGCCCAGGGAGCAACAACGGCTTTTGATTTTAAGGAAACTTAGTAATAAGCATAGCAAAAGCAGATATACAAGATAGATATCAAGCCGGTCTCTATCTCTTCCGCCTCGTCGTCGCCGGTCTTCACTCTTCCGCGCTCGACTTCCGGCGGTGTCTGAGACGCTGACGATGTCTACTAGGTCACCAGGCAGCGGCAACGGGTGTATCCATTGATTGACTCAAGTGACAGGGTGACAGCAATACAAAAGCCAGACATGCGCTGTATCACACTGCGTCCACGAGATGCGCAGTTCTACGTCAAAAGGGAAAAAAAAAAGAAAAAGAAAGAAAACCATCCCATCGCCCTTTAGCCTCATCGCACATCGCGTTCCCGCAAACCTCGCTCGTCTTACATCGCACATCCCTCAGTCCCATCCAGCAGATCGGCGCCATCTCACTGGCGGACTGCGAAGCTATCCAGCCACACCTAAAGCATGCTAACTAGCTAAATTTCTAACCAACGGGATGTCTCTTTGCGAACCTATATCGAGAAAAGCTTACGACAGGGCACGGCGAAGACAAATATAGAGCCAAGGGTTGCTGCTGGCATAAGACAGGTTTTTGTCCAGCTTTTACGAAGCAAGGACAGCAGATCAGACGGCACAGGGAGGTTTAGCTATCTCTGCATGCGTGAGACAGGTGCGTATTTGACGTTTTTGTTATTGCTGATGTCTCATCTTTTGCCCCCTTGCCTCTGCGTGGCGGGGGGGCTTGCTTAATATATCCACCTGGATGGTGATAATGCCTGTAGAGCGCCCACATGGGAGAGATCTCCTACACACGGTTTGTAAGGCCCCTTTACTCTATTCCAGACTACGGAGTGCTAACTCGTTAAATGTTTTAGTCAAATGGCTGGCCTGATAACGTCATTACACTGGCTCACGGTCGACGCAGAGAGACCAACAAAAATATACGGAGTAGGACCTGCATATACCCTCAGGGCTATGCTAGGCCTGTACGGAGCATTCCTGATGGGTTCTGCTGTCTGGCAGTCTGGCAGTCTGGCTTGCACCTTGGCGGGCATTGCGTGTCGTGCAGGCCTAGCTGCAGCTCGGCGCGGAAGACACAATACGAGGGATAAATATATCAACGTGTCTCCACGGAGGACAATTGAACAGACCTGGGGAGATGTCAATTACCGGCTCCAGGTTCACTGGATATGCAGAGCGGTGGTAGAGTACGGAGGGCAACCTGTACATCGCTATTTGCGGTGTTATTCCAGCTGCTATCGATCAAGTCGGTGAACACTGGCCCCCAACCATTCCACTCATACGTATACCGCTATTGTTGTATAGCTAGGGATTCTCTCGACTAACACTCTTACGGAGTATGTTAATGGATATTTGAAGTGCGCATATCTGGGCTCAGTTATTGCCCATGTCGAGGATTGGACCGTCTATCGCGCGATAATTGATACCTACTAAAATACCTTACACGGGGAGGTCTGGTACTGACATACACGGATTATAAAAGTCATGCATAGCGAATCCTTCCCCAGGTTCTGCAAGGGACGCAGAACGGTGCCTCCACGGCTCCATGGAAGCGTTCAAGCTGTGGTCACTCGTGACATCATGCTCAACAGGATAGACACTCGTACCTAGGTATGGTTGGCTGGAAGAGGATCTCACCCAGAATATGTCTACGAGCTAGATGCCTGGGTACTCGAAACGTGTGAGTTCAGAGTGGTATGCACAGGACGAAAATCAGGGTATCAGGAATGGAAGAGGCAAGTGATGGATGTGCTACATGACTATTTTGAAGGCACCCACCGCCTTTGGTTTACACCAGGTGAGATAATGGTAAGATGTGGTAATGAGACATTGATTATGTTGATGTTGACAACTGGTATCTCTGATATGGCTAAAGGGTTGGCTGGGTAGGTACAGAAAGGTGTCCAAATGTTTGATACTATTGCCATTGAGCAATGCTATCCACATACATGCTACATGTATAATTTATGGAAAGGTACAAGTTCTAGTTGGAGAGTAGTGTCTACACCATCCACAAACCCAACTCGCAATGGGATAACACCAACAATCTCACCTGGCCAACCAACAATGTAGCCTTAGAGGAGACCAATCGAAAGCCCAACTAAACAGTAGAAATATCACAGCTGTATGAGTATCACAATTATACATGCATGTAATGAGAAATGGCGAACAAGACAAGAAAGAGTTCAAATTTCTGTGTAACTATACATGATATCCCATCCTATCTTCTATTCTATCGACATATCGGCCATCGGATGGTAGTTTAATGGGCGGCAGGATTCTCCTCGTCCATCTCGAGCCAGTCCTCCTCGACAGGAGTGGGTTCGCCCGCGGCCTCGCCTTGGCCTTCAACTTCAACAGCCTGGGTCTCGTAGGCCTTCAAATCGGCGGAGATGTTGCTCTCCTCGGGAGATGGGGGAGGGCTGGGAGCGACGAACTTTTGGACATGGGCGTCGGCGTCGTTGGCCTTGCGTGGAGTGGGCTTGTAGGCAGCGAGCTCACGGATGTAGAGGTCCTGCACGGGGTCGGCTAAGGTGGCAAGAAGAGACCCGGTAAGTAATTGGCAGAGAACAGCAATTGAGGTATCTGAACCCGACTAACCTCGTCTGATGGCGGTGGAAGCAAAGCTTCGACGAACGATCGGGCTCTGTAGGCGGACTGCTCGGCTCAAAAGCGAGGCCTGGAGGTGGTTAGCGGGCCGCAAGACAGCGTTTCAATGGGCGAATTGGGTCTGCCTACCGATGATCTGAGGGATTGAGACATCATCGCGGCGGAGTTGATGGCAAGGCTTGTCTCTGGAGGGTGAATACGCGGTTTAACTTGGTGCTCTTCGTCCGTCTTTCCACTTGTGAGGTTGAAGTTGTCGCGGAAAAACGTAGTGGTTGATGAGTCAGCATATCTTGGCGGATGACCACCAAGGCAAACCCCGAAAGGGAAAGAAAAGCGCAGCCTTGGTTCGATATCATTATCAGCAACCGCCAACCTGCCCCAGCCCTCAGTCTCTCGCACACCACACGAGTTACTGGCCCAGGACACCCTGCAGCGCTCAAGTCCTTCGAGATAGCTTGTGCAGACGAGCTCTCACCCTTCATCGCAGCTGAACGACGGCGTCTACCAAGTGTCGCATTTGCCACTCGCAGCGGAAGCCTTGTGGACGCCCGCCCTCGTCAGGCCAGCCCGGCTGGGGCATCTTGCGGCATCGCATCTCTTGAGGATTTAGATATCCTGTTTGTCTGTGGAAGTCGAGGATTCTTCTCTAGAAAGGTAAAGCTGAGATGATTCTGCTGCCTTCAGGGTCATAATACGCACCCAAGAAACAAACCAGTTTGGGCCTTGAAGAAGCTGTCATTCTCATCCGTTACCTTCTGCAGGGCCTTATATACAGGGTTAAAACATCATATTCAATATAAAAAAATTCATGATCTCTTTTTCTGGCTTAGTATCTTTTGAACTAACATGGTGTTAAAAGAGGTAGTGGCTATACGCATACCCTCTTGACCTGGGCCCAAGCGAATCTCTCACGTTCACCTCTTTCCGGCACCGACCGCCAAACTGTATTCGCCGCTCTTTATCCGTGTGTGCGCATCTCAGTATAACCTTACCGTTAGCTACAACAAGATAAAACGTCGTCACACCAGCCGACTGAAGCCTACCAGGAAGGTTCATAAAATGGCGGCAGTAGGAACAGGTCTCCGGGGTGAACCCGCTCAGACGCCATGGAAGGAGAATCTCGCTGAACGCCTGATATGTCCCGAGTGCAAGGAGAATCCTCCTAATCTTGTCCCAGAAAGTCATGAAACGATATGTGGCTCGTGTGGGCTCGTTTTGGCCGATAGAGAAATAGACCCCCATTCGGAATGGCGTACGTTCTCGAACGACGACCAGAACAATGACGACCCTTCTCGAGTTGGTGATGCTTCAAATCCTCTGCTAAATGGCAACCAACTTGAAACGCAAATTTCGTTCGGCACAGGCGGTGCGCGGAGCAGGGAGCTGCATCGTGCCCAAAGCAAGATGTCAAATGAGAAAACAAACAAGGCTCTGCTTGCGGCATATAAAGAAATAGGGTCCCTATGTGATGGATTTAACATCCAAAAGAACGTCGCGGACACCGCAAAGTACCTTTTTAAGATCGTCGATGATGCAAAAGCATTCAAGGGGAAATCTCAAGATGTTATTATTGCTGGTTGTATTTTCATTGCTTGTCGGCAGTGTAAAGTTCCCCGAACATTTACAGAGATCTTTGCGGTCACGAGAGTTTCCAAGAAGGAAATTGGCAGGATCTACAAGGCACTGGAGAAATTCTTCACGGCCCAGAACCTTGAACGCATTAATTCCGTGGTATCAAGTGGAGGTATGAGGATCTCTGCACTCATTTTGAATCATCATGCTGGTAATCTGTTTATTAACATAATACCGTAATTAGGTGTTCCTGACCCCAACGATGCATACACCGGAACAACATCTACTAAACCAAGTGATCTCTGCAACCGATTCTGCAACCTTCTCGACCTGCCCTTCCAGGTCACAAACGTCTCATCCATGCTTGCGGACCGAGTCACTTCGATGGGTGATCTCGCTGGCCGCTCCCCACTTTCCATCGTTGCGGCTTCCATATACATGGCCTCCTTTTTAATGGGCCACGGGAAGTCAGCCAAGGAAATTTCTGGTGTCGCCCATGTTAGCGACGGCACGATTCGCGGTGCCTACAAACAGCTATACGCTGAGAGAGAACGATTGATTGACCCTGCTTGGATTAAGGATGGTAAGGGTGACATGAACAAGCTTCCTATTAGCTGAAAATGCAATCGGGAGTGTCATCTAATTACTCGGGTTACACCCACTTCACGCAATGGCCTGCATCTGCGGTTGTACCGGATAGCCCACTTAATCTTAAAATTGGTTTTTTTTTTTAATATCAAATCACGTTCTTACGGCCTCAAATCGATAAGCCTCTTTTAATTATTTGCAGAAGCCCTCCGTTTTTTTGTTCGCCCCTTTCAATTGCATTTTCTAAAATTCTTTTTCCTTTGTGACAGATTGTAAACCATCCCTTTTGCATTCTTTTTTTTGCGCCATATTTGCACTTTGCACGGTTTTTTTTTTTTGGGGTCATACATTTTATTCGATTCCCCTTAAACCTGGAGCCAGCTTAACAAGGACGGTGGATTGGAGATTTCTTTTTGCCAAAGGGTGGCTTGTGTACTTTTTCAATTCTTGCAACTAATTACCATAGATAGACTCAATGGATTCAGTTCCCTAAACATTCACCTTACAAGCAAGAGTGTTAGAATTGACCTGTTCTAGAGTCCCCAACTAAGAAGGTATGGTACTTGATAAGTAGAGAAATTATATACAGCTGTTTAGTGCTATGTCCCAGGTTATAGACTGTTTCTTCAGCAGGATGGAAAGGAAAATTGGGACAGAGGCATTGTCCATGTGGGTTAGTAATAGTAACACTGGTCTTAGGAGAAAAAAAAATGAGTACCTAGTAGCATCATAAAGCACACGCTGGGTGAAGAACGACGATTTCAATATCATAATAATACGGGTGTTTCGGAAAGAGAAGAAGGAAGTTGAACTTGGACGGAAAAAAAGGGGAACGAAAAACCGAGCATGATGCCAATGCAATATAGTATAACAAGCGCCATAATCAAAACACGAAAGGAGCGAGGAAGGAAGGGCCAAGGGTTTGGCCGCGTGATTGAATCGCTGCAGCGACGATTCCGGTGTCACTGCGCTGAACAGGTGATCGCAGAGAGCATAAATTAGAGGTTTAACCTGATTGCTGCGTTGTTGATTATTTTCGAGACCTTCTCGATCCATACTTGTGTCTGTGTCCAGTCTCCTGAATCCATCGCATCTCTGATGGCGGGGAAGTAAGTTGCATCCTCGGGCTTTTCCGGCCATAGTTGAGGAGAGTATATCATATGTTTATATTGGGTGCGGTTGGGGACCTGTGTCGTTAGGTTAGATGAGGAGCGGAAAAAGTATGTAGGGAAATAGGTAGCTGGGATAACTCACGCCTCCGTCATCGTCGAGGTCCAAAAGGTTAGTCTCGAAATATGTCATGTGGCTGTTATGGCTCATGCGTCGGAGAGCCGTTACGTCGTCCTCGAACCCGTTTTGGTCATACAGGGTTGCGTTCCAGTTAGCTTCCCACCGGTGGAATTTGATGGCCTCAAAGTTGAGTGCCTTTGTCGCATCATATAAAGGCGTGAGGTCAACGACGCCGTTAGGGGATTGCTTGTTATCGTCTCCGCTTTGGCCTTGGACCGGTTTCAGGGGTACAGATATCTTTTTGGCGTAATTGTGTAAGTCGAGTACGTATTTAGCGAGAGATTTTGAAAAGACATTCACATCGAAGGGGAAGATGGGTCGACTGGATAGTTCTAAAGCGAGTAGACCCCATATCTGGCCCATGGCCCGATGATATAAGAAGTCGTGGTCGCCAGCTTTGTGCATCCAATCAAAGTTGCTGTAGCAACTATGGGCAGGATAAGGGTCACCACTGAATCTCAGGTTTATACTAGATGTCCCAGCGATGGTCTGGAATGGCAGAGCATCGCTATCTGCCGCGGGCCCTTCAAGCTTGGATCCAGCCTGATCCCATAAAGACCGTATACTGGCCCTTGTCTTTGGGTCTGCTACCCGGTTCAATATGTGAAGGAGGATCGGCTCAAACAAGGGGGATCCCGTTGCACCGAATTTATCACCGGAGACAGCAACACCCACGTTAAGATAGGCGAAAGCATTAGCCCTTAGAAGTTCGACCCTGTCCTCAACGTGTTCCGTTGAACCGGTAAAGCTGTATTCGGCAGCATCCCAGCTGATGAATTCGATGGTCCGCAGTGGTCTCCACCCACGAGCTCTGAGCTCACCGAACACACGAGCGACTTCTAGGAGGACCGCAGTTCCGCTGCCAGGGTCTATCGCTCCAAAACACCAAGCATCGCGATGATTGCCGAGAATGATGCTGCTCTTGGACTGCTCGACGCCCGCTATCCTTCCAATGACGTTGTAAATAGGCTGTCGCTCTACCTCGTCTTGTAGGTTCACTAGGTTAACCTTGGGAGCATCCGCGTTTCCAGTCCACCACTCATCAATGTCTGGAACACCTCCTACCCAGTCGTTGGGTACCTTTTTGCCATGGCCCTTGAGAGCCTGTAAGAGATGTTGCGCATCACCCCAGGAGAGGGGAATACTTGGAATCTGCGGGAGACCTGGAGCACCGGAAATATCTAGTCGTTTCTTTTCGTCTGCCCGAGAAGCAAATCCTGGACTTAGTGCATCACCCGCAGCCAAAGAGATATGTCCCACAGCACCCCGTTGAACCCCATCCTTTGGCATATATCTTCCTTTTGGCCAGGGATCCCCTTTCCGGAAGCCATCCTGAGCTGGATCGGAATAGACGATACATCCAACGGCACCGGCCAACTCGGCGGCCTTTACCTTCAAGGCCACGTCTGGCTGTGTTCCGTAGTGCCTGACCAGAACGATCGATCCTTTGACGTTGATGCCCATTTCCGTGAGCTTTTTAAACTCATCCCTAGAGCCGTAGTTTGCGTAGACAAGCGGTCCTGTTACGTTTCCAGCCTTGGAGAGTCCGTGAAACACCATAGTCTGCTCCCTCGGTGGATCCGTGTATACTTTATCCTCTTCTATTTGTGCCTCCCAGTGTTTGCCCGGAGGATCAACGATGGCAACTCTCCGTCCAGCTTTCTTGGGGTAGTTGAGATAGACGTTGAACTGTTCCAGCTCCACGCTCTCCAGCCCGAACGACTTGAAGCTGTCTTCCACCCATTTGGCGAGCACATAATTTCCTTCCGTTCCTGCAATATGTGGAAAGTTGGTAGCCCGCTCGAGGTTCTGTCTGATGGTGGTTTCGTTTATGTTATTCTCGAGGAACACGCGGACAGATTCCGGCTGATATATCTGGCCCTGGTTTATCCTGTTGCTGAACGAGAAGAAATTTGAGACGAATAGCAGGTAGACTAGAGACCCGACCAGGCACACGGCAAAGACCCTGAGTAAGATGATGCATCTCTGCTGATGCCCTATGCCAGCACATATATCTATCCGGAAGTTGAAGGTCGGTAAATTGAAGGAGGGAATGTACTTCCGTAGCGGCAGGTTTATAGATGACAGCGTCCGTTTGAAGTTTGTAAACCGTTTTGAGAAGAGAGACCGAGACGAGGAGGCGGCAGGAGGATCCTCAACTTCCATCTCCTCTAGCTCTCTCCGCAGCTGCTCCGTCGACCCACGGGCCGAGCTCCCATTCTCCGAGAGGAAGTCGAGGCTCGATCTCTCCGACTCGACAGTCGGGGGCCGGTACCCTCTAAACGGCTGGCTGCGTTCACCTGCCGCGTCATGATGTAGGAGGCCCTGCCTTTCGGCGTCGTCGCTCGTCTCGTGAGGGCCGAGTCTGGACTGGGAGGAGGAAGGGCGGGAGGAGGTTGCTTCTTCATATGTAGGGATAGGGAGGTGCTCGTATGCGACTTTCTGGTCGCCCATCGCCGTGGATGGGACCGTAAAGCTCCCCAAGGGAGAGCCTCTCACCTTGCGGAGAGGACGATCTGAAGCGCGAAACAGGGGGACGTCACCGCTCCACCGTCGAGGGGTTACTGGTCATGTTATACCAGCCAAAAAAAGAATGTTAAAATGAGCGTAATTTGGCTGAATATTTAGAGGCAAAGGGCTGGGTTTCAGGTTGGGTTGTCTTCCGTATCGTCGTAGCTGAATTCCTCGCGATGTTCGATGTTCCCCTTAGCACAGCCATCACGTGGCTGGTGATTAGTTGCCGGTCTCGCCCTACACTTTTTACTTACTTACTACGACTAGATATTGACGGTTACTCCGTGCTCGCTGAATCTCGTTATAGTGAAGATGTTATATTCAGCTAGCTCGACGTCCATCACTATGTGTCAACTGCACGATTGGTCTACTGGATCAAGACGTACTCTGGAGTCTCTCGCGTGCCCGATAACGCTGGCGCCTGGAGAGCTATCGATAAGGGCTGTGTGGCTGAGAACAAGGGGTTGCCCTCAGACGTCCAGCAGAGCAGTGCATCCATCCTGTAGCCTGTCATCCGTAGTCTCTGCCTATATCTCTGCATATCTCTGCATATATATGCATCTATACTCGTATCTCTGCCTATATATGTATCTATACGCCGTATATGACTGCCACGTATTTTCCTCTTTGGGCGATCTTGCAGTTCGCGGTGATGGCGCTAGGCCGCATCGGGTAAGACGAGATTACGTGCGCATAAGTATCTTAGTCAGCAGAACTTTCGATAGTCGCTCTTTAAGGGAAGGCCGTTTTGGGTAGTTGAGAGAGACGAAAAAAAGGGAGACTCTCTTCCTCTTCTTCTCTCTCTCTTCTCTTCTTCTTCTTCCTCCCCTTCACCTTCTTCCCCCTTTCTTCACAAGAACAGACACACGAGCAGCATCCAATTGCACATATACCAGCGTGAGTTGATCTTCCCCCACTACAGAGCCAGCGCATGCCTGTTCACCGCTTCCCCAGGCAGCATTGAAACCCCACCACCATCGAGGAATTGACAACCCCTTTGTATGGTGGCGCCCCTGCTCGGCTTCATTTGAAGTCCATGGCATCGTCTCTACGGAGTACTCCAACTGACACTTTCAAGATATACACCGAAGCAGCTTAACCGCAGTCATGTCTTCCCGGCCCCAGAACATCGGCATCAAGGCCATGGAAATTTATTTCCCTAGCCAGGTGGGTGCTATATACACTGGCTCATGCTGTTAAAACCCGCCTACTAACAGCTGCTCCAGTGTGTCGATCAGAAAGAGCTTGAGAAGTTCGATGGAGTCTCCGAGGGCAAATACACCATTGGCCTTGGCCAGACCAAGATGAGCTTCTGTGACGATAGGGAAGGTAAGCTGGGCTCTCTCTGGGTGTTGTTCAAGAAGCAGTCGTGCTGACGAGACCCTAGATATCTACTCTATGTGCCTGACCACTCTTGCCTCGCTCCTCCGCAAATACTCCATCGACCCCAAGTCGATTGGACGGCTGGAGGTGGGCACGGAGACCATGCTCGACAAGTCCAAGTCGGTCAAGTCAGTGCTGATGCAGCTCTTTGCTTCGTCAGGCAACACCAACGTCGAGGGCGTCGATACCGTCAACGCCTGCTACGGTGGCACCAACGCTGTCTTCAACACTGTCAACTGGGTGGAATCGTCCGGCTGGGATGGCAGAGATGCTATCGTGGTTGCTGGCGACATTGCTCTGTACAATAAGGGCAATGCTCGTCCAACCGGTGGTGCTGGCTGTGTTGCCATGCTCATTGGACCTGACGCTCCCATCGTCTTTGAGCCAGGTCTCAGGGGATCCCACATCACCCATGCTTACGACTTCTACAAGCCTGACCTGACCAGCGAATACCCCTATGTTGACGGCCACTACTCTATAAGGTGCTACACCGAAGCAGTGGATGCCTGCTACAAGGCCTACAACGCCAGGGAGAAGGTACTCAAGGCACAGAACGGTGACTCAAACGGTATCGTTGCTGAGACCGACACTCCCATTGACCGCTTTGACCACATCCTTTTCCATGCTCCTACCTGCAAGCTTGTCGCCAAGTCTTATGGTCGCATGCTATACAATGACTACCTAGCCCACCCAGAACACCCTAGCTTCGCCGAAGTTGCCCCAGAGGTCCGCACCGTCGACTACGAGAAGTCCGTCACCGACAAGACCATCGAAAAGACCTTCATGGCCCTGTCCAAGAAGCGATTCAACAGCCGTGTTCTTCCCTCCATCGAAGTGGCCACTCAGTGCGGAAACATGTACTGCGCCAGTGTCTACGGAGGACTCGTCAGCTTACTCAGCAATGTTACTTTCAGCGCTTCTCAGCCCAAGCGCGTCGGTATCTTCAGCTATGGAAGTGGCTTGGCCAGCTCCATGTTCAGCGTTAAGATTGTCGGCGACGTCTCGAACATCGTCAAGCAGTTGGATCTAGCAAAGCGTCTTGATGCCAGACGTGTTGTTGAGCCCCAAGTTTTCGACGACGTAAGTCACTAACCCCATTTTCATATACAGTTACAAGACACTAATGCCGAACAATACAGATGTGCCAGCTACGTGAAAAGGCTCACTTGCAGAAGAACTTTACCCCTGTCGGTAGCACTGACACTCTTACCTCAGGAACTTACTACCTCACCAAGGTCGACGACATGTTCCGAAGGGAGTATGAGGTCAAGGCGTAAAATCAGGTATCTTCCCAGCATAGCGAACCGAGGCGCAAAATCCGCAAAATCCGCAAAATCCAAAATCCGCATAACCCGCATAACCCGTTAGAGCTGAGATCTAAAAGCACATCTACCACATTTTTTTCTTCTACTTCTCTTGCTTAGAAGGAGGATCACAATTCTTGACGCAATTATACGATTTTTTAGCATGAGCTATCAATGATGCCAATGAACGGAATGGAGGGGAGGCGAAGGGGGAGGGCATATACATCGATCACATGGCCGTGACTGAAGGCACCTCAACCTCGCTCCCCATATACGTTTTTCTTTTTCACGGTTATATTTTCTTTTCTATCTAGGGCATAGAATAGATATATGCTCAGTTTTAATTATGGAATTTTATCTAATTTTTTCTTTCATAAAAATAAATTACTTCTGCATCTTCTGTGGGAACTGCAGAAAGCCACTGCAGTTTCAGTCGCTGTACTTTGTATAACGAGGGGAACGCGGGCGTACGCGCTCGACCAGCGGTAAAAAGTCCGTGCCAGCATCGCGCGTTGAATGAACGGGTGGATGTTTGTTTGCGATTTCCCCCTTCGGGCCATCGGGTGGTCACTGCAGGCGATAAAACTCGGTTAAAGCCAGAGCGTCACGGAGAGATGAAACGCATTTCAAGCGTACAGTCCCAGCTGAGGCCCAATCAGAGGGGGAAGAAAGCCCGTTAACGCCAGGAGCTGGAACGGTGGATCGCCAGGGGTTTACCTCTTGTCTTCTCTTTTCTCTCTTCCCTCCCCTTCTCTCTCTTCCCTCTCTCTCTTCCCTCTTCTTCCCTCCCTTTTCTCATGAAGAAAGAAGCAAAAGCATACATGTCATGTGACCATCATGTGACCTTGAAGGGACGTGCACAGGGCTATAAGCACGTGATACGGGCCCATTCCCGATTAGGATAAATATGGGTCGATGGTTAGCGCCTTCTTTCCCGATACGGCTTAGTATGGATTAGTCAGAGCATGGCATGGGCCAATAAGAGGCCTCAGCACACCCGCCGAGCCCGAACGCGCCCACGGCGGCGCGTAAAATGCACGTCGCATCACGAACTTCACCTCTTAGTCCATGGTTGTTTATATTTACCTTCTCTGCGGGCGCCAACTGATGCTGGGTGTCCAGGACCCCCCTCCTGGCTCTGAAACAGTCGCATCTACCCATTTTCCCCCGGCGCCATCGCTCCCTTGTCCGACTAGCCTTGTTCCAACCCGGCATATCTATCTTTGTCTGCAAAGCGGCAAAATTATTTCATGCGATGGATCTCTCTTTGGCGCCCGGGAGTTGAGGCATCCTCACTGCCCTGAAACAAACTATGCATAGCGCCTACGCTCCGCTAGAAATAGCTGCAGCGTAACGCAGTGCCGGACCAAATATAGCTCTCATTCAGGGACACAAACCCGGAGGTTTATGCCAGATCATCGTGGGAACGATGGCCCAGACGTGGAGACATGGTATAGCTCGCTGAGCTACGACTGGCTCCCGCCGGCGCGAAACTCGGACCACCTCCCCCATATTCTACGGAGTATCTGTATCAGATTATATTTTGGCGCTCCCTGCAGACACCCAGGCCAGGCCCGCTCTAGGGACCAGGCGGCTCGGGTTGAGGGTTCGACTTTAGCGTTTTGAAGAACGTTTTTTTTTATGCCAATGGGCGCGTGTTTCCTTTTTGGTTTTTTTATTTTTGATTCATTGCGCGTTTCAGATATCTTCACGTCGATGAGCTTCGTTTGGTTCCGGCCCTGCGATTCCTGCTAGACCTTGCTTTGCTTGTTGAAGATTTAATGTCCACAATGCCCGTCCCGGATTCTCTCTGGCTTGCTCATTTTATTTCCCATACTCAACTTCTCCCTTAACTTTTCCTTTTCCTGTTTCTCTATTTCCTTTGCATTCCCTACTCTTTGGTTCATATGTTTTCATTTCCAAGGATCCTGGTCGACTACTATTCTCTTTTGTATACCTATTGAATACGGTGCATTTCATTGGAAGCTGGCCTTCCTCCTTTTCTTTACTATCTCATTTACATTTTCTGTCTATTGTCCATTTGAGCATCAGCATCACGGGTTCATAAAAATTTCTACTTTCTATACCCCTTCATTGTTCTACTATACATCCCCCTTTCTCCGATTGGTATGTTGACTACCCTGTCCAAGCCTGGCCTATTGCAACGTCGATTCTAACAACAGTTTTAGAGGCTTCCAAATGGCGTCGGAATTGTATTACTACAAGCCATCGACTCCACCTCGGGCTCTCATGTCCGATGCGGAGTTACTTGCATCTGTTCATAGCCGAACAACCTCAGGCTCATCTACATATACCCATGATTCGTCACCAGAGTCTCTCATCACCAACATCACTACGCCAAGTAGGTCTCCGGCAGGCCGCCCACATGGACCTATTCTTTTGCCAAAGATCAGACCACAGGATATCGTAGTTGAGCCGCAATCGCACTATAGCCCACAGCGAACCCGAAAGGCCTTGTCAGCGACCCAGAATCCCCCCGGGTTTGCCCCTTATCCTGCTTCGCGCCCATCCGTTGCGCGTAGGGCAGTTGACACTGTCGATTGTTCCTTGGTTTCTCCTATCTGCACCACCCCAACCTCATATAGCACGTATCTTGGGGCGACTGCCATGTCTCCGGTGTCCGCTGCTCCAACCAACTCACGGAAAAGAGCCTCCCATTCACGAAACCCATCTGCTTCTAGCATTGACGATGCCACCCTGAGCCGTTATGGGTACCCTACCTACCGCCAAATGCCCAAATATCTTTCGCAGTACAGCCCGACGACCCCTGTTTCTGCTTCATCCTTTACATACCCAACACCTACCTATCCAACGAGCTCTTATGCAGCGGCAGGTGATCCATCAGTGACTTACCCAGCATCTGGCTATCCAATTTCCACTTACCCAAGCACCTACCCTGCCCCCACCTACCCAACAACCTCCTACTCGACTGCCTCAGAATCATATGCTCCTACCTCCGAGGTAGCGGTTACACAGGAAAACTTCTATGGCTTTTCAGATGTCACCGCAAGGCTTCTGGGAGTCTCTGCTACTGACGCTTCTATTCCTCCCCCTGTTTCCGTTGCTCCAGCCCCCCTTGCCCCGCCAATGGAGTATTCCTCCTCATCCTCCTCTGCATCTACCACTCTTCTCGAGTACTTGAATGCTCCAACCCAGGCTATCAATCTAGTCGAAAATCTATCCTACTCCTCCAATCGAGTGAACCAGGCACACTTTTGGTGGGATGTTAGAAATCTACGACAGTGGTCTTCTTTTTCTCTTGATGAAATGAGCTCCATTCCTCGCTTTCCCCAGCTTCTTACGACACATGTTGCTCAGGAGTGCCTTCCATTGACCAACGTTCCTGCATCTCGGCTATATCCCGATTCTGAATTTTCACTTACCGATCTGATCCGCGATGTCTATGCTCCTCGAGTCAACGCTGCTCTTCGCGTATCCCAAGGCCGCAATTGCCTATCCCTGTATCCAGCTCCAATCAACCCAGCGAATAGAGATAACGACCCTCATTTCCTCGCCAACTACGCCAGCGATACCGAGCAGACACCATCTGGTCTCCCCCGTGGCCGCATTGTCGGTATAGTCAAGAGCTTCAACCGATGGAACACCGGAATGCGCAACGAACAACCTCATCGACGCGTTGAGTATCTCAATGGCCTTTCTCACTTGCAGCGCTGCATGAGAGAACACTCCTGCCGTTATGGTTTCATCATAACCGAGATCGAGCTTGTTTGTGTCCGCGCCGGCTGCGACGAAGGCGACGATGTCCCATACTTCGGCTACCTCGAGCTTGCCACCCCCATCGCAACAAAGACGTCAACAAATGCTCACAACCCCATGCTATCGAGCATCGGGTTATCTCGCACTGTCTCCGCTTCATCCGCCCAGTCATCTGATTACTCCAGCTCGTCCCGCGGCGCATCTCCAGCACCTTCAAGCCTCTCCGGTCCATTCTCAGCTACTATGGCACTCTACTATCTACTCATGTTATCCAAATCCGTGCCTCTCCCAACTCAGCCATCCTGGCATCTCAATGTCGGTGGCCCGGGCGCCATGACTCGTCAACGCACTCTGCCAGATGACAAGGACAAGTGGATTCCAGAGCCTCAGCAGCGAGAGAGACGTGAGGCTAAGCGTATTCGAGGATGGGTCTGGCCACATGATGCATGGCATCGTCGCGAGGGCGGCGGTTCTAGTAGAACCAGAGCCGCAAAGATCGCAGCTGCAAAACGATGGCACAAGTGATGTTGTGCTTTACATGTTTTGAAAACATGGCTAATTATCTTTCTTTTTTTCTTATCTTTTTGGGGACAAAAACTCGGGCATTTTCTGCGCGCATATCCATCGGCGTTTCAAAATACGTTTTGCACTTCTATGCATACCTTACTCACCTATACATTCCCTATTTGGTTTGATAATAGTTAATCACCCTCTCTTTCCATTGATATATTTCCTCGTCTTCTGCATTTTCTACGGGCCGGAGTTTTGTTCCGTTTGGGTTTCTATATTTTACTGGGAGCATATTTCTTTTCTTCTTGGAGTTAACAGCATTTACTTTCTACATCTCCTTCGCTTCACGCATCTCACTGGAGTACTGCATATGTTCGAGGGGCATCTTGCATCGGTGGACGTTTGGGGTATATAGCATAGGCCTTAATTGACCATATCTAATAAAGATACTTACAACTACCTATATACTCCCTTCTCTACTCCCATATTATTAAGACAGAAGCCAATATCAATTAAGAGTGCCTTCCACCTATTCCTTCACGTTTTTCAGTAACTTAGCTGACGTTTAATCTGCCTACGGCCTTCTATAGGGTATATCTCGTTTATAAGATGGAGGCAGACCAAAAAGTATTAAACTGATAAACTGTTTAGTTCGGTTTTGGCAGCCTTATCTAGTAGTGTGGTTCATTCATTCTTTTCCTGGTCCAATCCGCAATCCTCTTATCCTCCATCGTCCTCGTCATCGGTGCAATCACTCTCCTCTCCTTCGCCCATATAGGCTTCATCTTCTTCATCCTCATCGTCACTGCGCAGGTCCATGGCTCTGACAGCTTCACAAATATCGGAGACTTCGTCTTCTGGCTCGGATGGCATAAATCCTTGACTCGATATATTCTTTCGCAGCTCGCCCGGAAGTTCATTCCCTGCCGTTTCGATAAAACCACGAACTATATTGTCTGTAAGATATCTCCCATCCTTTCCCCATGCCCTAGTCAACTCTAGCATTATCATATCTGGTAACTCACTCTTTATAACACCAGTGCTCTTCAGGGCGCGATGACTGGTGACCATTGCAAGAAGAAAGTGGAAGTAAAAGTATCGAGCTCGGGGTCGTGCATCTGTTGCAAAGATTAACTGCTTATTATGTAGATCTCCAAATGTCGTACCCTTCGATTCAGGGAAATCTTTAAGAGAATAGTCTAGCAAAACGATCTTCCATTCTCGTGGTTCTTTGCGGCTTTGTATGTTTAAAGGCACGATAGCCACCCGGTATGTATCGAAAGCCCGTTTGAAGACACGAGGGAGAAAGAGTCCGTTTCTGGCTGAGTTGATCTCCCCATTCGCCTCTTTCCCGAAGATGTGTGTCATGGCCTTCTGCCCGTATGACGGAGGAAATATATGAGTCGCCGCGTAATAAGCGCGAAAATACCAGCCTCCATCAAGGATGCAGGGGTATCTGGTGACCTTTCCGTCCCTTTTCACTCCATAAGCTGACTCGATGCCCCGTACGAAACTTCGTTGGCCGTCGCGTGAAGTGCTGCGTCTTATACTAAGAAACAAATCGGCATAGGCAGAGCGCAGGGTAGGTAGATCGTTTATCTTTTCCATAGACAATATACTCGTTCGCTCTTTGTCTCGATCTTTCCTTCGCATCGCAGACCCCTGGCGTTGTCCTCGTCTTTCTCTTTGACCAAGGTACTCTCTCTCGACAGTCGTGTAGGCTTCGTCCTTCTCCTGGCGGTCTTGGGAGCCTTGTGAATCCATCTTGAACCAGTCGTATGAAGGAACAGCCGTACGAACGATATCGATGTACGTTTTCGACCAGAGGCCTGCGTTGGAGAAATTTCAGGCTTGAGGTGGAAGATATATATGTTTTCATCGCCACATGTAGTCTATGATATCAACACCAGCGGAAGACCCGGAAGGACAACACAATTTGGTATAGACGAAAGGCATGGCTACTGATCATGGTCATCCTAACTTGTCCTTAAATCATCCTTAATCTGATCCTTAGTCTTATCCCTAGACTTGTCTTTAGGGGGAGGATAGAATATAAGGATAGGACCTTTGACTTCCAGTAGAGAAGTCATCCAGTGAATCAAAAATATTAGCAACCACCGTCCTAGTCCAAGTGTTTATAGCGATATCAACGTCGAGTAGCCGACAGCAAGTAAGATGTAACATCGCTGTAGATATACTATGGTACCTGAACTGGCCTGAGGGGTAAATCTGCGTAATACGACCCACGCATAACTATATATTCACTTCTCCTCCATGGAGATGACATCCAACCTTCAAGACAACTGAATATATCAACGATGTCTAGAGAACCAGGTCCGCTTCGATTCCTAGTCATTGGCGCCGGCCAGAGGGGATATGCCTACGGAAAAGCAGTGACCGATGCCACAGACGGGGTCATCCACGCCGTTGCAGAGCCCAACGATGATTCTCGACAGCGATTTGGACGAAAGTACGTCTGGGGTGATAAGCCAGCGGCTGCAGGACAAGAGTTCAAGGACTGGAAGGACTGGCTTGAATGGGAGAAAGAAAGACGTAAACTGACATATTCATCTCCGTCATTATGTACCGGAGTCGATGGCGTCTTTATCTGCACTCTGGACGAATCGCATCTGGAAATCGTTCAAGCCATCGCGCCCTTGAATCTACATATAATGTGTGAAAAGCCACTCGCTCTATCCCTGACTGATACGCTCCTTGCATCCAAGGCGATAACAGATGCATCTCCGACGTCGCCGTTGCCGTCTAAGATATTCTCAATCGGCCATGTGCTTCGATATAGCCCGCATAACCAGCTCCTTCGCAAGCTCCTTCTTACGGACAGGTTGATAGGGGATGTTATATCTCTTGAGCATACGGAGCCCGTTGGATGGTCTCATTTCTCTCATAGCTTTGTTCGTGGGAACTGGCGACGAGAAACGGCCGCTGCAGATGGAAGCTTGTTGACTAAATGCTGCCATGATATCGACTTCATACTATGGCTGCTCTGCTCGCCTCCTCCGGGCGCACCGCTAGATCACCCGGAGCATCTACCGCGGACAATAACGTCTTCGGGGATGCTTGCGCAGTTTAATAAAGCTAACAAGCCCGCTGCTGCTGGGAGTAGTACGAACTGTGTCTCCTGCCCCATCGAACGAGACTGCATATACAGCTCTGTCAAGATATATAATGACAAGTGCCTGGCGAAGGGTAAGACGGGCTTCCCAATCCGTAACGTCATTCCGGAGATCGAAGACATTTTATCCACGGATGGTATGGAAACGGCCAAGGACCGTCTTCTCGGTATGTTGGCCGAAGACTACGATACGAAGACCATGCGCGATGAGGAAATTGCTGCACGGCCCTGGTACGGCCGCTGTGTATATGAATGCGACAACAGCGTATGCGATGATCAATTCGTCACCATGTCCTGGGGAAATGACCCCTTACCACAGAATGATACTGGCTCAGGCTCGACGACGACGACGTCGTCACCGCTCGGCGGTAGAGGTGCGAAGCTTGCCACGCTCCATATGGTGGCGCCAACTGAGTCTCAGTGTGTTCGCCGGGGACGTATCTCGGGGACGTTGGGCGAGATGACATATGATGGCGAAACGATCAATATATACACGTTCGAGACTGGAGAGAAGAAAAAGTACTCCATACCCCCACCGCCTCCTGAGGAAGCAGAGTCTCATGGCGGTGGAGATTACGGATTAACAAGAACCTTTGTCCGGGCAGTTGATGCAGTGGAAAATAAGGGGTGGGATGTTAAGAAAGGCCAGGTGGAGATTCTAGGATGTACTCTGGAAGAGGCAATTCGAAGCCACGCCGTTGTATTTGCAGCCGAAGAAGCACGGCGAAATGAGGTTGTTGTTCGATGGGATGACTGGTGGGCGAAGAAAACTGCGCAACTACCGAACTAAGTGACACTATATTAGGGGATTCTAGCCGAGTAAATGCATATAATTATAACTATTGAATCTCTTTTGCAAGTATGTGCTAGATAACTATGGAGCAAATTTTTGTCGCTTATTTTCTTATGTTTCTCTTTGCCTCGTAAACAGATCGTTAGGTCTTGCGAATGAATGGATAAATAAAATATTGCATGCTCCTTGTCCATAATTTTTTTTTCTCTCTCTCTCGCCACAAGATGCTTCGTCAAAATAAGACTGAAACCGCCTAGGTCTTGACATCAGGGTCCTCCCTGCCAATATACTCCTTCAACTTGAGTAACTTGACAGCAAGCGCGACGTTATCCTTCAAATAGACCTGTGCGTCCTTGGAGATCTCCTTCGCATCGCTCTCGTGACGCTCGACGTATAGACGAATAGTGGCACCACTGCTACCGGTTCCAGAGAGTCTGACAACAATGCGGCTGCCGTCGTCGAATTTGACGAACAGTCCCTGGTTCTTGCTGACGCTACCATCAAGATCGGTGTAGGAGAAGTTGTCAGCTTCGGTCACCTTTCGGCCCGAAACTGTAGACCCAACGAAAGTATCTTTCTTATTGATAAGCTCAGTAAGATCGGCAATAACTTTCTTCGCTCCCTCGCTATCAACGTCCTCGTAATCATATCTGGTGAAGAAAGTACGTCCATAGATACCCCAGAAGTCCTGCTGGATCGCTGCAATGCTTACTGGCTTGTCAGGGTGAGACTTGGCATAGCCCGCAATAATGTTAAGCCAGGCAACGATGGCCCAAAGGCCGTCTTTCTCTCTGATATGGTTACTTCCGGTACCGAAGCTCTCTTCACCGCAGATTGACATCTTGTTGGTATCGAAGAGAGCGCAGAAGAATTTCCAGCCCGTGGGGACCTCGTAGCATTGAAGGTTCTGAGCCTTGGCGACCAAATCCACGGCACCAGAGGTGGGCATTGAGCGCGCCAGTCCGTAAACTCCTTGTTTATTGAAGTATGGGATGAGCTTTGCATGATGCGCGATGATGGCAAGACTGTCACCTGGGGATACGAATGCGTTGGCACCGTAGATCATGTTTCGGTCGCCGTCGCCGTCACTGGCCGCACCGAATTGAATTCCATCCTTGTCAACAGCATCCACCAAAGATTTGGCGTATGTCAGGTTGGGATCTGGGTGGCCACCGTTGAAGTCAGGGCTGGGAATGCAGTTCTGGGTGCTGGAGGCGGGCAATCCAAGCTCTTTCTGGAAGATAGCAACGCCATACGGTCCGGTAACACCGTGTAGGCCGTCGAACAGGACCTTGAAGTCGGGATGGCTCTGGAGGAAGGACTTGATCAAGCCGAAATCAAAGATATCCTTGAGCATCTCGACATAGTCGGCTGTGGAGTCGATAATCTCGACTTCCAGGGATCCATAGCGCTGAGTTCCGACTTCCGAGAGCTTGACTTCCGATAGGTCCTCGATCTTGTACGAGGTCAACGATTTCGAGACTTCGTAGATTTTGTTTGTAACGGATTCCGGGGCAGGGGCACCGTTTGATAGGTTGTACTTGATGCCAAAATCGGCGTTGGGGCCTATTTAATTGCGGACAGGCCGTTCGGTTAGCTCCATGCAAGATACGAATGGGGATACGATGTGCTTCCTACCTCCAGGGTTGTGGCTTGCAGTCAACAGGATGCCTCCGGTCGCCTGCCTCTTGCGGATGACATGGCTAGCTGCAGGGGTGCTCAGGATGCCATTCTGGCCTATCAGCAGCTTCTTGACACCGTAAGCAGCTCCAATGCGGGCAATAAGCTGGATGGCTTCAGGGTTATAGTAGCGTCCGTCACCGCCAATGACGAGGAAGGCGTCCTTGACTCCCTCAGGGATTGAGAGCAGGATGCTCGTAACGAAGGACTCGGTGTAGTTTGGCTGCTGGAAGGTGGTCACTCGCTTGCGTAGGCCGGATCTACAGCTCTGTTAGTACGAGATTGATTGCTGGAGATGAGCCACCTACGTTCCCGCCTTCTGGTCAGCGAAGGGTGTGATGTCCACCGTCTTGACGGCCATAGTTATAGCTAACAACTGCCAATTGAGATCAAGCTGACTGACTGGAGAAGTTGATTGACTGGAGTGAAGCTGGAGATAGTGAGATGGTGAGAGGTAGAGAAGAGAAGAAGAAGTTGGAGATGTAGAGACGAAGCTGGGAAGATGTAGAGGTGCGTCATTTGGACCGCGGGGCATCACGTTGTGCTTCCCACCTCCTGAGTTGGCTGTGAACCTCCGCCACCATGCACGGCAAACACACATCTACATAACAGCGACTACGATATAGGACAGGCAAAGACCCTCTGGCGGTAGTACTTCATCTCCTCGATGCTCTCCAGGATGTCCTCTCGGGCCAGATGTACGCCCTTCTTCGCCGGCGCGTCTCGAAGCACCTCGTCGCTGCTCCATCGTCGTACGGCCTCCTTCACGCTGCTCACGTCCAGGATGCGGTAGTGCAGCCAGTCCAGGACCTTCGCGTACGGTTGGTGAGACAGAAAGGCCCTGTCTGCGTGTACGCTGTTCCCGGCTAGCAGGGCGCTGCGTTGCCTGGGTACGTGTCGCTTGATGTATCCGAGCAGGTCGTCCGCGGCTTCGTCTGCAGTAGTGGTCGACGATGATACGGCGGCAGTGAGGCCTGAGCGGCCGTGGGTATCGATGCACCAGGCGTTCATGCGGCCGAGAGTCTCCTGCGGATGGTGGACGATGGCTTCAAACCCGTTGGCTTCGAGAAGGTTGAGCTGGGCGTCCGTGATGTAGCAGCATATTTGCAGTATCTGGTCGCTTGCTGGGTCCAGCCCCGTCATCTGCTCCTCGAATTAACTATACGGACGTTTTGAAAGTATGATTAGAGGAGGTCAAACCTCGCAGTCAATCCAGACCAGGGGCTCGTTAGAGCGGTTGAGGGCCATTGCGAGGTGTGGGTATTATACGAGGGACGAGGGAAAGATGTAACTGGTGGCCAGAGGTGAAAGAAAATGTGGTTAGGATGATGGTAGATATTCCTGTTATCTAGTCTAGAAAGCCAAAAAGGGCTCGTTAAATACGGCTCGCCGCCAAAAAATAAAATTATAAGCAAGAAACTATATATCAAAAAGAGTAGACCTCCAAAGGGTATGTTTCTAAGGGCCAATCCCGGTAAAAAAAAAATAGACAAACTCCAATAAACCGAGCCTGAGAGCATTAAAAACCCGATAATAATAGTAAAATCGTACGAGATAATGAAATAACCCGCTGGCACATCACGCTTGATAGCCGGCATAGCGGGGATCTTGGTGGTAGTCATTCCGTAGATCGTTGCGTGAACCGCTGCGAGAATCGTTGTGCACGCTGCCATGGGGACCACGTCGAGTATCGTACGTTCGGGGAGGCGAAGGGTGCGACGTTAGTGGGAACTCCGAGGGGCTCAGTGCTATGGTAGAACCGCTATCATCTTCGTCATCATCGGTGGTCTGTCGAGACTTGACCGTCTGGTGGATCGTTTGCTGCTTATAAATTCCGCCAGAGTGGTTCGGGCCAGAGTTTCCGCTGTTGCCCCATCGATTCGCCGCGTACTTTGATCTGGCGTTGGAGCTCTTGAAGCCCAAGCCGGGGAAGTATTTCTGCGCAAGCGGTCGTAGGACAGGAACGGAAGCGCAAATTACTGCAAGATTTGTTTCGAGGTCTGTCCATACCCAGACTTTGTATCCTTCCCCTATAATTGAACGAGTCAGTTTTGAACCCAAGAAGTATAGAGCTTGGTGTTTTAACTCACAGGTCACATCGTATGTTCCCACGAGGGTTTGGTACATGTAGTATGACTTGATGCATCCTGCTACACAAGAACTATTTGCCAGTAACAAGTTAGTTTTCGTTTCTCTGTTGTCCGGGAAGTGGGGAAGAGCGATTCGTACATCAAACCCAAACACATCATGACGATAAGCACAATTCTATCCCGGATGGGTAGTTGCAGCTTCCAGAGCGTTGGACAAGGAGTAAGGAACAGCATAACGTCCATCACAGCGTTGGAATAGATGCCCGGTAGCAGTCTTACTGCGTCGTCCATGCAACCTTTTAGTAAAATGTTGTTCCAGTAGTTCGTAAGAGGGCTAGATAAGATAAACATATTAGGACGTTTCCTCCGGTTAATAGCCACAGAATAGGCGAGGGAATGCTTACATGCAAGCGACGAGCATCATAACGAAGAAGCATACAAACCAAGCCAGAACCAACACAACTTGAGCCCAGGCTAGTCTGATGTATGTCTTTTCCGTAAAGAACCGTAGATATGAAGCAAGAATCGACAGCTTGACGAAGGTCATAAGCGGTATGAACAGGATTTGGCATATGTAGCTGGTCTATCTCGATGTTAGGATGGACTGGTAACTCGAAAACCGGATCGTGGATATCTTACAATTCTGGATTGTTTGTAATGGCTGAAGTTGAAGTCCCAGATATGAAAGCCTGTGTGATTTTCCCCGTCAGACATGTTCGGATTAGGCAGTATGCTCAGAGCAGAGACTCACCCCATCCGTATTTGGTACTGAATATTGCTGCCACTGAAATACCTATTAGGCATGGCTGAACAGTAAATGGATTAGTGAATGCTCCAATCGTGTATTGAACGGATAAAGGTCAAACATACTATAGCAGCTACCATAAGCCAATCATCCCATGATGCCGCTTTTCTTAGATGAAGGCGAACGAACATGCGCAGGGCAACGACGATAACCGACAACGTTGTGAATGTCACTCCAATAATAGCCAGCTCAGGTCCTGCAAATTCGGGGTTTATATGGTTAGGTTTTGGCCATGACTTTATGACCTCTGGCGGGGGTCGTCTCATAGTGGCGGTATTAAAAGAAACTGATAAGGTAACCCGATAGACGACCCAAGGAGATGGGGGGTGTTGAATGAGTGAATGGTATGATCTATCCCAGACAATAATATCACTCGATTTCCGGGGAAGGGCTCCTCATAAATAAGGCAACCTTTCTCCTCTCTGGGGTCCGGTCATCAACGTCAAGCTCCAGGAATAGAATTCGAACCATCGAAGAAGCAGAGAATGCGAGGAGGCTTAAACTAAAAAGTGATGCTAGCGTTTATATGAGCGTTCGAGGTAGATCTTCGAGGGACCCGCTTAGTTAGGTTGAAATAGAATCCCGGCCTTCTGGGGACAGAAAGGCCGAAAACTCATGATCGTGCGGCGAGATATACGAGAAGAGGCGATTGACGAAAGTAAAGGGAAAACGAAAACGGGAAGCCAAACGTCGAGCCTTTGCCTCTTAGGGAAATTAAACGCACCCTGTTCCCTGGATCGTTCAAGGTTCAGTAACCAGTTTTGACCCCGTTGCTATCCACGAAGTCCATGCCACACCCTAGTACGGAGTAACTAATCAACCTGGTAAGCGTAGGGAGATGGAGAACTTCACAAGACAACGGTTTGTTTTTTTTTTTTTGTTTTTGGCTTTTGGGCATTGTTTCTGTCTGATTGCACGCCCTAATCTTTACCTTCCCCTTTCATGCGAGTCATATATCTGAAAAAACAGACGGGAGAAGAGAGGCGTTCGGACCAAACCATTCGGGAATGGAAGCACATGATCCAGGTGCTTTAATTTCCAACTGCAGAGGGATTGTCATTTCCCCTTGCTACACACCCTCGGCTACTTCGTACTGCGTATGCGAGTGGGCCATCCAGAAGGGGACTAATCGTAGAAAAAGTCATGGACTAAATCGGTGGATATGGCAAAAAAGCGATCGATTTCCAAATGGAAACCACATCCATCTCTCCCCTCATTGGCTATGTTTGGTTGTCCTGGTACCTGGTTCTCCACGTCAGCTACCAAGAGCTTAGCCAGTGGCAGTTGTCGCACAGACTGCAGCTAATTAGCTGCACATCGCGATATTAGTACGGAGACGACCTGTTGCAGGTGTTTGATAATATCCCTAGTTGACCGTCTAGACCCAGCGTTCAAGATACGAGCAATATCGAACGAAGGAAGCTCGCCACGAACAAGCGAGGACAAGTTGGCCGTCGAAAGGTACAAGGTACGTCTCGGAGGCTCAAAGACGCCACGGCCGCCAGATAGGCCAGAGAAGAAGCTGTTCGCCAGAGGAAGACTGTCCTGAACCCGAACCAAGGGACTGGATGGAACCATGTTTGGATCCATGGCCGCGGCTGTTGTTGGTGGAACCTGAACATGTGACCTCGGCAAAACTGTCGGCCTTTCTGCTCGCTGGCTGGCTCGTTACGATTTGCGTTTGCCTCGGACAAGGATTGTTAAGGGCGAAGGGGGGCCAGGTTCAGGCACCGGAGAAAAGAGGAAAAGGAAAACCTAGCACTCCCCCTCAAGATGCGTTTTCAACGTTCGTAAGTGGCTGATTGTCGACGAATGAGACGGGCAGAGAGTCAGTGGTTCGAAAGCCGTCGTTGCGCCACCAAAGGAATTTTCCATCGGAACGGAACGATCGGCCAAAGACACAGGCGGACTATCCTCTTTTTTTATTGTTGCTGACTCGAGGCGAGCGTCGTCTGGATCGACGGCGCAGATGGCGGGGGAGTTATATCATGGCTGATATATGGCTGAGAGCTGCATGAACGGAGGGACGCAGGTATATGTCGGCAAAATATATTCCCTGTCCTATAGATTCCGGGCATATACATCGAAAAGGCGGGACCTTGCGGGTAAAGGGGTTGGACTCCAACGATCGAAAGCAAAAATGCCGATACTCCGTACCAAAAAAAATGCCCGTAGGAAGAGTGTAAAGTTACGGAGTATAAATGATCCACATAACTATATATAATGGATGTTTGGGCTTAAGGAGCCCCCTAGAAGCTTAAGGTGCCTGGAACCAGATTTGTTCAAGGAAAGGATGAACCAATACATGCAAAAAGGAAGGGGACCAAAGGAAAGAGAACCAAAGAACCAAGAGGAGACAATTCCACTTTTCCCTCGCCTGCCCGTCTGTCTGCGCATACCCAAAGTAATCGCAAGGTGGAAAGATGATGGAAGAACGCGCGCTCACTCTCTCTCCCTGCCTCCAAAAAATGCTAGGAGGTTATATTAATAGTTGTTATGTAGATGAGGTAGGAAATGATAGGAGTGCATGTATTTGGACCCTTGATACACACATGGGTCCGTTCACTACAGCTCCTCATCTACCCCGGGCACCTTTATATCAGACTGCATGATACCCTCCGATAATAGGCTCCCTCGAGTGCCGTTGTTTTCGGCTTTGGCCATAGCACTGTTATTGTTGATGCTGCTTTCACCATCTCCGGTAGATGCAGTGGGTGTCGTATCCATAATCTCGTGAATCTTAGATGATAGCCCCGTCACCGTCCCCTGGCGATGCAAATCCTCGTCGGCTGCCGATATGCTAGCCCTCTGCTTCTTGAGTGGACTGCCGACGAAGGTATCGTTATCGAGGAGGCTCATACTTGTCTCCTTTGGCAAGCTGCTACGAGGTGGTGTGGAGTCCTGCGTTGATGTTACTGGCGGGGAGAGCCTTGACCCGGGAGTGCTTGATTTTGACGTCCTGGCGGGATCTGCGTTGCCGCCTGCCGCGGATAACGGTTCGGCAGAGTGTTGTCGTTTTAGCTGGAAGCGCAGACGATATAAGCTTGTGATATCTCAGGGGCTGTGGGGTCGGAGATGGGGACTTTCTTACCTTTATTTGGCGGACACCCTCTGCGAGCTCACCTTGCCGCTTTGCGTCATCAGGAGATAGAAGAGAGTTGACTTCTTTCTCTTCTTCATCTTCCGCTTTGCTGATGATAGAGATGGATACACCTTCGTCATCATCCTCGTCGCTGTCGAGCTCACTTCCATTAGGGCCTTTCTTTTTCCCGATCTTTACCTCCGCATCGCTGTCTCTGAACCCTACGAAACCAGTAGCGCCACCAGGCTTTAGCGGTTTGATGTTGGCGAAATCGGGCTGTGTAGATTTTCGACGAGCTGACTTTAGGGACTCCTTATCTTGAGATTTAGAATCCTTTAATATTCCCATCTTCTGCAATTGACCTAGAAAGAAAAGGGTTAGTATGTGATACAGATGGGTGTCTGCGCGGTATGAATCAAAACTTACGTTCACCCCTATACATGAATGTAAAGATAGCATAAGGCTTGTCGGTGGGATCAATTCCAGTGACGGTTTGGGTACTGATGGATTTGGGGTCTAGCGATTTTGGCTTTGCGAAGCTGGTGGTATGGTCTACATCTGCAGTATTGCCATTCCCATTTGATTCGCGACCACCGTTAGAGCCACCCTGTGCATCCTCGTCGTCATCATGGGCGTCAAATTGAGGAGAATACTCTCCACGCTTGATTTCACCAGAAGCCAAAACCCGGAACAAGGCTACTTTGATTTGACCGGCGGTTTCAGGGATAGGGTCATCGTCGTCATCTAGGTCAGAGCCAGAGAGCATTAATTCCGCGTCGTCAGATAGCTGTTCAACAGGCGATTGCTCGTTTGCTCCATATCGAAGAATGCCTTTCTCTCGCAGAAGTTTCGGTTTCTTATCGTCTAGATCCATTCCTTCATCAACATCAGGCGCTCCGGTAGCAGCATCTTCTCCCCGTTGTTGTAATTCCCTTTTTCGCCTTCGTTTCTCCATCTTTTGACGTCTTCGCTCGATTTTCTGCGCCGCGTCTTTGCCTTCGAGATCTAACCCGTTTAACCACCGTTCCAGCCCAACTTCACGAAACAAGAACTCCCGTTCGGCGAGCCCACCACCCTCAGACTGTGGAACTCCAACCCATCTAGAATTGACCCATGTCTCCTCACCCCTCCTCAATAAAGTGGCTACTTCCTCTTTCTGCCTGCCATCAAAATAGATATATGCTGCAACCGTTTCTCGGGGAGACGCCGTCATCGGCTGATACGGGCCTATGGACGATGTGGTGCTGGGCTGGTCTGGAAGGCCGCCTACAATCTTCGGTTTTGGGTAAGGATTCTCCGGCGTTGCTTTCGGCGTGGAGTAAGGAACCGTCAGCCCGGGCGTAAGAAGGGTAATTGATATGGCGAAAGTCGACTGTTCTGGCTTCCCGGTAGCCGAGTTTGGTAACTTGGGAGGTGGTACGGGAATGTAGCAGGCAATCCGAGAAGCACGAGATTGGCGCTGAACTGAGTATTCTGCGAGTGGCCCATTGGGCGTATGAATGCTGACCGCAAGGCCTTTAAAACAAGGCATGATGATATTCTAAGAAAAAAAACCCCCACGATAACGATACCAGTATGAATATTATGTGAACGTGAAAAGGTCCCCGGAAACAAAGGAGAGGGTACGCGTGGTTTTATCCCAGCGTAGTCAAAGAGGGAGAGTTGTCTCTGGAATTTGATGGGTTAGCTTATCTGACCTTCAACGGCACCCCTGGACGTTCATTGATATGCTCACCAACCAAGATTAGAAGATAGCAGAAATGGACCAGTATAAATTCGTTTTGCTCGTGGTATTATGATATTGTAGGCATTCAATATGGTCGTCTAAGCGTGAGGCAGCTGTCGTTAAGCAAAGGAAAAGGAACAAAGGAGGGCAAAAAAGAAAGGAGGGTCAGGGCCGAGATTTGAGAGGTGAATCCTCCCAAAATGTCCACCGAGCGGTCAAGAGGGCGTCCTGGCGGAGTGGAAGGGGCGGTATCCGGTACGGTATGCGCGCGCAGGGAAGGCCGAATTGCAGTTCGCTGTACGGAGTATGCGTGTGTCGTGTCGTGTCCTGCTGTGCTATGTTGTTGATGATAGTAAGCTGCTGTGAAGCTCCACCGCCATATAAAAAAGCGGGCACCCACAGTCCAACCCAGAAAACAGCTGAGATGGTGCCCGTTGCGTCGGTCGAAGGGTAGAGCTGCCGTGGATGTAGACGACTATGAAGACGAGGGCCGTATATGCGAGTCAGCTCGGCGCGAGGAAGAGCAGAGGCGATGTTTGATGGCTGGATGGCTGACGGAGGACGTGGAGATGGAGATTCGGCCACAACAAACCCTGACCCAAAGAAGGGCAAGTTGGATCTGCAGAGTGGCCACGTGATGCTCACTCCCAGCAGCAGAAGACGCAGACAAACTACACGCAAAGATATGATGTTATAGGGAGATACAATGATATAAGGAAGTAGAATTTCAGCGAGTGTTATTATTATTATTATTAAACCTGTTTCCGGTAATACTCCTTGCAAACGCACATTTGTAGTCTCTGTATAGTCCATGTATCAACATGAATGAAAAGAGCGTCACAAGAGAAAACACTTGAAAAAGAAATACTCCAGGTCATTATATGCAACGATTGACCGGTAGATCATTTAAAAGCACCGTCTACCCATAAATGACAGGGAATAAACCAGACCAAACCTAACCGATACCAAAATGAGAGAGACATTATGCTTGACATGATACCCCTTATATCTAAACAAGGTGATGAAGAAACCTTCTCACTTCTTATATCTTCTCAGCGGCCGGTTTACTATCAACATGCATGCTATTTTGAGCATCACTGTCATCGTCTCTATGGAGTTCGTCGAATTTATACAAGGGTTCGAGATCAGCTTGCTTTTGACGCAAGATATGGCGACGGAAGAAGTGAGGTAGAACCTTGAAGGCTTGATAGCGCATATGCGTGGTTGTTGGGACGGCGAAGATGTAGTCCAGTTCCTCGAGGGTGCGTTGCTTGGTTTCAGGAACCCAGAGGAAGATCATTATCAGAGCTAGGACGTTCAGACCACTGTTGTTTCAACCCGTTAGTTTCACGTGTTTGTATATGCATGCATGCATAATTTAAACGGGGGGGCACTTACGCGTAGAAACCAAAGGCACCAGTTGGAGTCATGGTTTGGATGATACGAGGGAAAGATACTGAAAGTACCGCTGCCCAGAACAGACATGTAGCCACAGCCCAGGACATGCCGACCTCTGTAGTCATAAGATGTCAGTAATTGATATATTTACTGTCAAGTGGTAGATACGAAACTTACCGCGATGTGACAGTGGGAAGACTTCAGCAGAGTAAGTAAAAGGCACCGGCCCTTCACCCGGAGAATAAAAGGCAGCAAAAAGGAAAATGAAGAAAGCAATAAGTCCAAGATGCGCCTTGCTTTCCTCTGGGATATAGAAGCAGAAACCAGCAGCCAACAATGTCCATGTCATCTGCGGGAAAGTGAAGATTAGGAGAGCACGTCGGCCCCAAGTATCAATTGTCCAGATTGCGGGGAAGGCGAAGACGAAGTTAACCAATCCGAATCCGAAGGAGGCGATGAGAGCCTCGGACTCGCTGGCACCGGCTTGTTTGAAAATTGTTGACGAGTAGAAAGCCATGATGTTGACTATACACGATACATCAGCATACATCCACGATGGAATATGGTAAGCAGGGCAACATACTTCCACACATCTGTTGAGCAATCATTACAACGAATGAAGCCAACGTTGCGCGTCGAACTCTAGGAATCGTAAATAGTTGGATAAAGCGGGTAAAGTAGTTGCTATCTCCAGCAATTTCGGCTTCGATCTTAATCTGGGAGTAAATCATGTACAGGTCTCTGGCGGCTTGGATTTCGTGGTTTCTCAGCCTCTTCAGAGAGTGAAATGCTTTTGAGACTTTGCCCTTTTTGATATACCATCGTGGCGATTCGGGACACAGGAATACCATAGCCACGAGAGGAACGGCAGGGATGAAAGCGGAACCAACTTGTAGGCGCCACGCAATAGTGCCGGCGTCTTTCACAACAAGATTAGCAGTAAACCCGAGGAAGATTCCGAATGCCGTCCACCTATTCGACGAGTTAGTAATGTAAGCAAACAAACAGGCTAAGGAGAAGTAAGAGTGAACATACAATTGCCAGCTCATGACGAGACCGCCACGGACAACGGCCGGGGTATTTTCAGCGCAAAAGATTGGAACTGTCGAAGCCTTTGTGCCCATTCCAACACCGAGTAATAGACGAGTTGCCAGTAGCTGTTGCCAGGTTTGGGCCACGGCAGATCCGATAGGTGTTAGGACACAGAATATAGCGGAAACGAAAATGGTACCTCGGCGACCGAGAAACTGGTTCAATGGGTCAGAAAGCCAACAGCCGCTGTTTCCAGTTAGAGAAGACATCATTGAAATTTGAATACGAGCTCCGCATAAGGTGATTGCTTACAATAAAGCTGAACCGATGTATGGTCCACTATAAATATGTTAGTTCCTAGATCTCAATGTATTGAAAAGGAGAATCAGAGGTAACTCACGAGTTGACAAGTCCAACAAGCCACGAGTTGACATCGGCATTGGGGGCTCCATCAGAATCATCAATGCCCAGGGCCTTGGGGAAAGAGAGGTTGGCACCATTGGAACCAGTTTGATCCCATCCCCTATCACACGGATACGGCATTAGCATGTATTCTCACGAATAGACGTTCTCATGTATAAAATCTCCCATATATAAGATCACTGGCGTACTCACTGAACGGCAGCTCCGATGGAGCAGAGGATGATGGTGAAGTACATCGACCAGGGCTGACGCCACTTATGGGTGACTTCTCTGCGGATGGCGTTCCGTTCGTCCTCGGTGAGTCCATCGACGCTTTCGAAGTTTGCGGGATCCTTTGCTATGAGGGCACCCTTCCTCAGCAAGGGCAGGGCATCCTCTATCTCATACCTGGCCGCGAACTCATCAACATCGCGGAGGAGTCGTCTCTTGGGGATACTTGCGAGCGGGTTTTGCACTCTGCACGCAGATTGTCAGTCTCTTCTTGATCTTCGTAATTTAATTGAGGAGGTATAAAACGTACTTGGCAGTTATGTTGTTGGAGAGGTCGATGCGCTCTGGCTCTCCGCGCTCTTCGTCTTCAATGTCAGAGCTTCCATTGCTGCCAACGCCTGCGGCTTTTGGTTCAGCCAAGGCTCGCTCAGTCGTTTGCTGTGTTTCCGGCTGAGTTGGCTGAGTCGTCTGCGTCGTCCACTCAGGGGCAGGGTCGTTGCCACGCTCGGGTTCCGCCATGTTGGGTGTGGGAATTGGGCGCAATAGCTAAGCAAGGCCTTGCCAAGGGGAGGTGAAGGTGTAGGGAGGCCAGCCGGGGATTTTGATGGTTATATAGCTGCGAACAATCAAGGAGCAGCAGAAATAGTGCACGATCCGGGCTGCTTGAAAGTGCAAAAGAGGCAAGAAAAAGTCCGGGGTTCGAGCAAATCTCCCATCAATATATATATATATTCCACTTCCCCACTTCCCCGGCTCCAGGTTTCGTGCTGCTTGGTCGCTCTCAGTCGTGCCCGTGAGCTTCTGGATACGATGACGTCCGTTACATCACCGTCACCATCACTGTTACATGCCCTGGTTCTCCGTGCTGCAACCAACCAACCACCACCGCGAGCCACTTACCACTAACCGCCTTTGCTTTACCTCACGAGTACATCCATGTACCAGTCTTGTATACACAGACACGAACTGTGCAGCGGAGGGAAGAAGCAAGCCGCCATCAAGTGGAGATGCAGCGCGCATCTTTACTTGGCGTTCCTTGCGCCTGAATTCTCACCTTCCACAGACACCATTCAGACGCAAAGAAGGGGGATCGTCTACGGGATAATATGGAGGCTGACGGCCTTGAAGATCGACTGAGGCTTTTACCCCAGATAACAAAGGAGGAACGGCCGGGCGCGGAGGGAGAGGCGAGAGAAGAGAAGCTCAGAGAAGGCTGGATGGTGGGAGCAACCAACGCTGTGTGCGCGCTCCACCGCCGTGTAAGTAAGTGTAATACATGCCTCCACCCGGTAATGAGCTGACATGGATATAGGTTTCTTTCCTGTGTCTGCAAACAGCAGCTTCAGCTCTTCGACAAAGCAATCGACATATCCCTCTCCCGATCCCGTACATCAACCGCCGAAGTTATGCAAGCTCCTTGGTCGTCGAGTGCAAGCATTCCCGCTAGCCTCTTGGAAGTGCTTGACTCAGCCAGTCCCGTCCCTGCTTGCTTAGCGTTTACAGGCCAACAGAAAAGCTACAGAAGGACGACTCTTGATCCTTCGGCGCGGCATCATGCCGATAACGGCAAATCTGAGAGCGAGAAGGCAAAACGGCTGCCATCCTTGTCGTATCCCGGCTAATGGGTGGCACCTCCATTACCTACGAGGAAATTATATAACAGGCAGCCCGAAGGATTGAGAAATATAACAATTACGAGTCTGGTGATGCGAGGCTGCAGGTGAGATCTTGTTTGTCGGCCCAGTGGTGACGGGATTGCTACAAACGAGCGACCTGCCACCCTCAAGCGTATCAGATGGTCATCGACGGCTTGACGGGAGACGGCCTCGACGGAATATTCCACACTCCATGGAAGAAGAGGAAGAGATTGCCACTGTGTCTTTGGCGACTTCTGAGGGCGTCGGCGCTTTCCCCGGATACTCGTCACGTGTTTTAACGTCACGTTTATGATGACGTAACACGACTTCCCTTTCCCTCTTTCCAACGACATGTCAACAGCACGACTTTCCCTCCCTCGACACTCATGATCAAGACTCCATTCACTTCCATCCACGGTCTCAGGTAGGTTGGCCGGAGTAAGGACGTCTAAGGGCAGGTTATTGGCCTTAGCCCGAGGATACTAGGCTTGATATCTATCCTACGTGTTCCCCATGAAAGATACCCCTAGCCGTCCGAGAGTATCTCCTTGGTAGGCTTGATATGTCCGCTTTGGTGTTAGCCATAGCCCTCCTTCACATATACCGTTAGCCATTCTGGAAGACAAAGCCATGGCAATTGCAATATTCGCCCATAGCGCACACCCTTCTTAGCCTGAAGATATCCACTCAAGGAAGCCGTTAATCTGCCTTCTCAAAGATTGGTCAAACTTTTCTTAATTTCTTAATATATACCCTTAACCAAGCAGGCGGAAGGAGAATCATCTGGTAGCCTGGTATACCGTCCCTGCCACGTACCCTCTTGCTGGTAACCCATTTGTCCTCCTAGCAATACGCCAAAGATCACCTTTCAGAGCTATACCGTTAGTGATAAATTAACGGTCTTGGCTAGGTAAGGGGGCTCTTCGAGTGGTTGAAGAAGAGCATGTTGGTTGAATTTCTTTTGGTAATATATATATATATTTATTGATAACGTATAATAAATATAAAAAAGGAGAGAAAAGGACGAAAACATGAGAGAAAAGAAACCCCGCCTATGCAATCTCTTCCACTACTATATAGAGGTACCAACTGTTAGGACGCTATACTTTTTAGATCAATGTGGACTTGGTTTCGTTTACTTACGGCGCTATCTTTGATAGTTATCACTGCATCGTTGGTGGAAGGGCTGGCCGCACAGTTGTTGGTGGTGGGGGGGCCCGAGGGAGGTGGCGGGCGGCGGCGGTCTGACCACTTATGGTCGGCCCATCTGCGTCTAATCGAACGTCAGCTTTATATCAGATATATTTTTGGGCGGGTTGTCAATTACAGGATGTACGCCGCAGTCTTGCCCCACGGACCGAAGCAGGCACCGCACATGGCAATGATACCGCATATCCCCACGGCTCCAATTTGGACAATCCCCGTATGGGGAAAGAACGTGGCCAGCGTCGCCATGGGGTCGGCCCAGGGAACAGTGCTGTTTGTATCAGCCATTTTGATGCTGATGCTGCTATTGTTGTTGCTGTTACTGTTAATACTGCTGCTGCGGACGAGAGAAAAGGAGAGGGAGGTCCAGCGTGTGTTGCCCTCGCTTAAGGAGGCGCGTTTGGCTGTCGGCCTGCCGCTGCTCACCGCCCTCGACCCCCTTAGAACTTCTGATATACTGGATATATAGGCCTCGGATGGTGTTTAGGAGGTTGCGGTAGCTCCCGAATGCTCTCATCACCTCTTTTTCTACCAAAAAAATCAAATAAAAATCAAAGAGACTAAACGCTGTCAAAACCAGGCGAAGCCGTATGGCTGAGTTGGCCGCCTCTCACCCCCTTTTCTGGCTTCGTTTCCCTTTTCGGGTCGTTTCCTTTAGAGCTCAGCTTGTCTAGGGACTTTGAACCCTTCGGCATCTTCAATAGGGAAAGCCGTATCGGTAAAATCGACAAACCCTTCTATCCCTTTACCATATCCCATCCTTTGATCCATTTTACTTGTTTCGTAACCTCATCCCTGGACTGGAAAGCGCCCTCTATCCTCCTAATCATGTTAGAAATCCAATACATCTGCATACGGTCAAATAGCCGTTCAAAGTTCGGGCCGATACCGAATAACATCTTAACGAGCAGTATGGTGCAGCTGCCAGCAAGGAGTAAGATATAGTCACTAGCAAATTGTAGTAGTCCTTCTATCGTCATTTTGGGGCTTCTGGAGATATGTCCGGGATATAAATGTTGACGACTATATAGGAGATAGCTGGATGTAAAGTATTGAAGAGTATATGGAGACCTTCTTAGGATATCATAATGGAAATTTTCTGCCAAAGGTATCAAGTAGAATAAAAGGAGGAACAGCGAAGGAACGGTGCAGCTTGTCCTTCTATAATAGCCTTGAGATGAAAATCTTGCGTCTGGATATCGTCTCAACCGTGGACGAGCTGTCCCAGGTCTGGAATAAAGCTCTTCCATGATTCCGTCTATCCCGGGAAGCCGTAGAGAAAGAATCATCGTAGCTTCTATCTGTTGGCCTGACATCAACGACTCTTGTGTCGTGGGTAACTTCAAGCCAACCGCGTCTAACTGTCGCTAACGTTAGCCTGCACCTTTAGGTCCCACTTCGCCATGTTTATTTCAACTTCCACTGAAGAGCGAGCTAAACTGGAAGGGCCGCCAAGCGCGCAGGGGGAAGCGCTTAGACTTTGGCCTACAAGAATTAGCACGCAGCCATGTCCAACCTCAGGATAGAGGGCAGCCTTGGATGCTGTGTGCGTTCTACGCGACGGCGATGTGATTCCGAGTCGGAAGTGATGGTAGTGACGCTGGATGGCCGTGTGAGTGTTCAAATGGCTACGAGAACCCTGTACGTGTCGCTCACCACTGAAAATTATCCATCGCTGACGGGTCGTTTGCAGCAAAGAGCATGCAGGTTCATATCGATGCGGTTTCAGACGACCGTTAGCTTACTTACGGCTACACGCAGAGCGTGGTCATAGCTGGTTCCGAAGACGAGATAACGGGATATATACACGCCACCTGCAGGATACCATTTGTGCCTCCTAGGCGCGAGCACTGGCAGTCCCAAGACACTGATAGGAGCACGGCGTATCTTGACTACGAAGCCTCTTGGGCTATATCCTTAATACCCATCTATCATTTATCAACCAGTCGGATAAATGCAGATTGTGCCTAAAGGGTGGTGATCCTCGAGCTTCTCTGAATACCTACACTTAATAAAGTATAGGGATCTTACGGCCTGATTGTAGCACCAACCTATACTCGTGTATGATAACCCCCAAGTCATTAAAGCTTGACTATGCACTGGGGCTAGGCTTGCATTCTGCCTTGAGGGTAGAGAAGATTTTCCTGCCAGTATGATTTGTAGTTAATTATGGTGTAACTACATAATGCATCTCGCATACTCAAGATATCAGAATACCCTCTGTAATGCAGCGTCCTTGGGATGAGGCGTTGAAACCTAGCAGCCTTTATCTGCTTTGGTACATGGATTATATAGGCAAGATTCATGATCTGTGATACCATAGCGTTGATCAGGGCTATCTAGATATCCGAGCTGTAATATATCTAGTTTCAGGCACCCTCATTAATCCACTGATAGCATCAAAAAGTGAGGGTAGAGTGTCCCCAACGTGACCTCAGTAAGTTCAACTTGACCTTACTTTCAGCTGTGTTGCCCCGGTTGCCTGTGTTGCTGGCGGCGCTTACCAGGTATAAAAATATCTTGCCCCTCACCTTCTTCTCAACAACAACAACAACAACACCACCACTAACACCACCAACAACGTCGCCGTCAACGCGTCTTGCTTTTCTCTTCTCGTCTCTCATCACGGTTCCCTAACAGTCCTGCTTCTTCCTTTTGACCTGCGAAAGCCATATTTCGAGATCACTCTTCTTAACGTTTCCAGTTCGATATTATCCTGCCGTTTCAGCATAGCTGGCGGCCAAATCCCGGTGTCCAAGACCAGCCTGTGTCAATTCCCGTAAGGGCCGTTAAGGCAATCCTTTTCTTTACCCCTAAAACCACATTCGTCTGCCTCGATTTCCTCTTCCCATCCTCTTCATTTTTCGCGTTATGTTCTCTTCATTTTTCCCTTTCATATTCCGCTCGTTTCCCTCTTTAGCATCACCTCAAAAGCAGCTTTAACGCGTTGTTGAGGACCTAAGCTCCGGCTTGTTTCGTCACTTTGTGTAATAAGTCTTGATATCTCTGGGATAACGCGAAGCTAATGTCTGTATTCGAAGGTTAGTTAAGGGAACAGCAATCATGGCGAACATCCCCCAGTATGATGGGCCTCCATCTCAAGGGCAGCCTGGCTCACCTCGCGGACCTGCACCGCTTAATCCTGGCATGATGAGCCCTCGCCAGAATCCCGTCCATCCAAACTTCCCGGCACCAATGATTCCTCATGGTGATCCTGCGAGAAATCAACCTACAGCATACAGCTTGGACGATCTTGTAAGCACTTTCCTTTAATTCACTGGATTTCATTGAATATACGGTATCTGGGATTTGCCACGCCCAGTCACTATGTCTTGATGCATTCACCCGCAATTTGTAATTACGAACGAGTGACGGAGCCATCATTCATTGTTTTTTTTTTTTTGAATCCCCCATATTCACCGCCCCTTCTCCTGAGCTGCATAAAAAGACCCATCTTCCCTCCCTCCGTCTTTCTTAATTCCTCTTCCTTTAATTTGCAAGCCTCCTCTACGTTCTGATCTTTTGCCTATTCCTCCACCTATTCCCATTTTATTTCACAAGTTTTGCTTGCACTCCCCCGTCAGCACTGGCAATCATGGGGTTCACACCTTTCGAAAAGGTGCCTAATGTGGCCCTCCGGAATCTTAATTTTAACGATGAGCCTGCTGATCAGTACTACGAACCCGTGCCCTTGGTACAACGTCCTGGATACAATACCACCGGAAAAGATATCTCCTTGTCGACAAACTTTTACCCGATCCTTGATTACCCAAAGGGTAATGTTCACCAGTATGATGTAAGACCAAACCTTCTCTCTACCCCTAGCAACCTGGTTTCCTTGGACACTTACATGTTTTCACAGGTCATGATCGGAAATGGAGATGAGAAGCGTGTTGTGATCCAAAAAGTCTGGGACTCGAATGCACGCAAGAGCAAGCTTGGTCGTGATTTTATCTTCGACGGAAGCAAGCTTGCCTGGTAAGTTTCTCAACCTAAATATGTTGGACTTTGGTTTTCCTTTCCTTTTATTAAACGTCCCTCATAGGTCTCTTACGAAACTTAAGCATGATCTTAATATTGTTGTTGATCTCGACGCCGAGCAGGGCCGTACCGGCTCTAAGACTTCAAACGCCTTTCGATTGGTTGTACGATATACGAAGACCATCGGTTTGGCGGCGTTGGCAGCTGCAATTCGCGGTAATCATAACACCGACAAGGAAGCCGGGCAATGTTTAAGTATGTCCCATCCACGATAGAAAATGATTAGTCGCAGCTCTCTGACAACAATGCCTAGCCTTCTTCAACCATCTATTGCGTGAGACTCCGAGCCAAAAATTCATTGCTATCAAGTCATCCTATTTTTCCGAAAATAGTATTCGAACATCCGTTGGATGTGGAGTCGATGCCTTCAAAGGCATATTCCAAGCGATTCGCGTAGTCCAGGTAAAAGCAACCCCCGGGTGTCTCCGTCAAATAACATTTACTTACATTCACCTAGCCGGGGTCTCTTGCAATAAACGTTGACGTCTCAAACGCGTGCTTCTGGTCACGCAACTCTCTTCTCGTCGTTGCACTCTCAGTCTTCGAAGTTCGTGACGCCCAGCAACTAATTTTCAATTGCAAGCCCGAAAGAGACGGCCTCGGCGGCTATAAGGCCTCCAAGAAGTTTCAGCTCTTGGAGAGAATGAGAAAGCTTTCTGTGAAAGCCGATTACCCAGGCTGCCCTTGCCTAGACAAAGAATGGACCATCAAAGGATTCCTTTTGGCAAATTCAAAGGAGTACAAACTTGAAATCAAGGATCGTGCTACCGGAAAGATCAATATGATTTCTGTATTCGATTACTTCAAAAATCGCTACAACTACCACTTGACCTACTGGGAACTACCACTAGTACAGATGACCAAGAAAGATGTTGTCTACCCCATGGAGGTTTTGGTTATCCATAGGGCCCAGAAGTATCCCTTTAAACTTAATGATCTACAAACTTCGTCAATGATCAAGTTTGCGGTTACTCGCCCTGCCGAGCGCCGCAAGGCCATTGAAGAATCAAAAAAGAACCTCCAACACCCTGCTGACCCAGTGCTAAAGGCCTATGGCGTGGTAATCGGTGATAAAATGATCAAGACCCGTGCAAGACTGTTGCCGAACCCAGAGATTCTCTTTGGGGGAAATCAAAAGCTTAACCCACAAACCAATGGCCGCTGGGATTTGCGAGGCAAGAAGTTTTACTCCAAGAATACCAAACCGCTTAAGTCCTGGGGAGTGGCCGTTTTCAAAGGGAGGCACCCAATAAACAAGGCCCAAGTTGAGGCATTCTGCGACGCGCTCGTGCGAGCATACCAGGGACATGGAGGCGACATTGAGAGCCGTCGTCCAGAAATTATTGAAGTCGGACCCGATCCAGCCAAAGGCGTTTTCGATCTCTTCCACGCCACTGGCAATAGGTTCAACCTACGCCCTGAATTGATGATCTTTGTCGTGGCTGATCGACAGAGTTTCCATTATTCACGAATCAAGAAATCCTGCGACTGTCGCTTCGGTGTGCCATCCCAGGTCCTACAAGGTCAGCAAGTCGTCAAGTGCAACGGGCAGTACATCTCGAATGTGCTGATGAAAATTAACGCCAAGCTCGGTGGTACAACTGCGAGAGTGACGTCGAAGACTAGCAGCGGGCTTCCGCCCTATACAATGATCATTGGAGCCGATGTCTCACATTCATCCCCAGGCAGCTTTTCGCCATCGATGGCTGCAATGACTGTCTCTATGGACACTTTTGGCGGTCGGTACACTGCTGGATGCGAGACTAATGGAGAGCGTGTTGAGATTATCAGCCAGGCAAACGTTAAGTCGATATTATCTCCATTAATTCGTGAGTGGGTTATGAACACTGGAAAGGGGAGTGTCCCAAAACAGGTCTATTACTTCCGTGATGGTCTTTCGAGCGGGCAGTTCCAGGCCTGCTTGCGAGAAGAAATTCCACATATTAAGAAAATCTTCACCGAAATCATGGGCAGTGAATGGCCAGGGAAAATGACAATTGTTGTTGCATCCAAGCGTCACCACGTCCGAGCCTTCCCAGAGCCGACTGATCGTATGGCCTCAGACAAGAACGGCAATCCTTTGCCTGGCACTCTCATTGAGAGAGATGTCACAGATCCCTACCGATGGGATTTCTTACTCTACTCCCACATTGCTCTGCAAGGAACATCTCGTCCGGTGCACTACCATGTGCTTATAGACGAGATGAAGCACAACCCAAATCAGCTTCAGAACATGATTTATGATCATTGTTACCAGTACATGCGCTCAACCACCTCGGTCTCTCTGTGTAAGCTGCCCTGTCAAGTCCTAGTCTAGAATTATTCTAACATCGTCGTTAATAACTAGTCCCGGCCGTTTATTATGCGCATCTTGCGTCGGCTCGAGCTCGATCCCATGAGGACGTACCTGCTAGCTCCGGACCACAGTCTGGACCTGGTATCAAACAGGGCCAGGCTCCTCCTCCAGGACCCCGTGATACCGAGATTCCACAATTGCTTCCAATGCCAAACAATGACCGCATTGGGTTTAAGATGTGGTACATCTAACTTAACATATTGCTCTATCCAGTGGCCAGCAACAGGGGACGTTGAACTACGATGAACGACAAAAGACTTTGCGATAAACGAAACTAAAAAAAAAAAAAAAAAAAGAAACAGCATCATCAACAACAACATCAACAACCTAAAAAAAATCTCCTTCTTTTCTCTTCGGTGGTGGTGGGAGATCCACAGGCGGCGGCTCGAGGTTGCTCAGCGCGCTGCTAGGACTCCGGAGCGTTAGATAGAAATTTCCAATCAATCAATTTATGTTTTACAAATTCTTTTGAGCCTTCAGCCTTTGACCCTTCACCTGATAAATCGTTTAGCGTGGAGGGAATAATAGCTCTCATATATAACACGCTCATCATGCCAAAAGGCCCGTACGTAGAGGAATAACCTGTAGCTTCGTGACCACCCGCATCCGCGCAAGGCAGGCTCTGGTATCTGCCCGGTCGTATCCCATAGCCCACGGCTCTCTAGTCTGTATCTCTCTCTGTCTCTCTCTCTCTCTCTCTCTCTCTGTCTCTCGGCTGGCTGCACATCGCATGACAAGTGAGTGTGGCTCAAAAAAAGTGGCGCATGTCAACTTAAATTGCTTTTTTCTGTTTTTTTTGATGGTGAGAGGATGCGAAACTGCGAATACCACTGGAAAGGAAAAAGGAAGAGTGTTTGTTCGCTGCGGCTCTATCCTGCGATATTCATCCAGGTCAACTCCCTCGTTTCGTTCCCGTAGATATTTAATTGCGCTCTGTCACTTTGTCCTGGTCGGCCTCGGGAGTTGAGACCTTGCAACATCTCGCCCTACGCAGACAAGACGCCTATCACTGCTGCCAGTCTCGCCGACGAAGCCTCACGCCCGAGACCTACTTCTGATATTCCTGGTCCTGCTGCTTCCCGGCTGTGTATCTATATCCTCGTCTGCGGACCGATACGCTTCCCTCGTGGAGCCTTCTGCTTTCCTCTGTGCAGTGAATCCCCCCGTTGGCAATGACTACTCGCATCGTGAAGGAGTGTCTTTCCCCGTTGCCCCTCTAACCACATTTTCATGTCTCCTTGCTCGATATCCCATCCATCTGCGATATTATAACGTTTGATACCCATAAAGATCCGTATCCCCTTCTTCCGAAAACCGTCTTCCTCTCGCCATCAGGGCGTTTCTTCCGATCATCCCACTATAAATCCTGGCCTCTTCATTTGTCCCGGACGGCTCACAAAGCTGCCCGGACCTATCCTGCTTGGATATCAACCCGGGTACCGCTGCGACAGACAAGCCGCCGGTTTCTTCGGTCCCTTCTTCGGATGCTGGGAGTTTGCATAGCATCTCTCGCAGGGCCTTCTTCTCCCGGAACCATACCGCCGTCGAGAAAGTGCGTCAGTTTGTCGGTCAGGCGCGGACGCTGAGCAGAGCGGTTGCTGTCAAGATGGCTGAGGTAAATCTGTCTGCGTCTCTATCCAAGCGAAGCCGTTCGACGGATAGCAGAGTGTCGGCTGGCCAGTGTTCAGAATCGTCGGATACGGATTGTAAATCTGTGCTGAACAAAGGGGGGCCTGAGATTCCTTCATACCTTAAGCAGCCAGCTCAATGTGAGTTGACCCTGCTTTTGCTACACCGGCGGGATGCTTTTGTAGTCCTTTCTCTTTGTTTCTTTTTCCCTTTTTCGTTCTTTACTATTTCTTATTACTAGAGAGGTACATGGATTAATGTTTGGAATATAGATGTGCGTGATAAGTTTAGCGACCTGGAATGGATGGAGCGACACCGAAGAGCTGCAGGCGCCTTGTCGCAAGATCCCTCTCATAGATGGACGTTAGACACGAGTCCACAGGTGAAGGCGCGGAATCGCTACGGAGACGTGCAGGCGTGGGAGAATTGTCGAGTTCATCTCAAGGTCCCGCCTGGAGCATGCGATTTCATTAACGCCTCCCCCATCGTGCTAAAAGACCCAGAGACTGAAGGAGAGTATAAATACATTGCAAGCCAGGTACGTTCAAGATCGACTTTTGTATACACGAGTCTCGCCTTAGCTTACGAATGCTTTCGATTGTTGATAGGGCCCAAAGCGCGATCGGCTTGCCGATTTTTGGAATATGATTTACTATGAGGCAGGTGAAGTTGCTGTCTTGGTTATGCTCACCCAAACAGTCGAATCCGGAAAGGAAAAATGTGCTCAATATTTCCCACAGGATATGGAAAATCCTACGTTTGAATTTTCCTCGTGGAGAGCGGATCAACCTGTTGGTAGCGATGATGCAACTCCCCCAGACGGCTATTTTTCTGGCTCAGTGACCCTTTTAAACACGACATATGATGAAACAATACGCTCCCATGTTAGCGAGCTTGAGCTTCGCGTTGGCTCAAATACCAAAACGGTATGGCATTTCCTCTTCGCCGGATGGTCCGACTATGGAACTCCCGAGGGACCTGATCGAGATGCCCTCCTCAATCTTATGTCAGTCACAGCAGAAAAAGCCCAATCGTTTTCCAATCCCAGAATTGTGCACTGCAGCGCTGGTGTGGGAAGAACGGGAACCTTCATCGCTCTAGATCACTTGCTGAGACAGCTACGGTCTGGACAGCTGCTGAAGGAAACTGATAAATCAACGGATGCAATTTTTAACACCGTGAATCGGTTAAGGGAGCAGCGAATGCTCATGGTCTACAATGCCTTTCAATATCAATTCATCTATGACGTTCTGAAAGAGCAAACTCAAATCAAGTTGGGCATTGAGACAGCTCCAATCGAGCCTCGCCCTCAAAAAATACCGAGACCTGACGACGGGATGTTTAAGCCTGAATTAGTCGCTTTGAGCCCTGGCGATATCAGCATCAAGGCTAGTTCCGAGGATGAAGAGGACAAGGATGACGGTAAAGTCGATGATAAAGGTAAGGATGAAGATGACGAAGAAGACGACGAAGAAGACGACGAAGACGACGAAGATGAAGATGACGAAGATGACGAAGATGACGATGAGGAGGATTGAGGCGATAGTTCAATTCTTCCGCTACGCTTTCATTCTAGATGCATATACTTTTCTTTCCTATCCATACTCCTTACAAAACAATTTTGCATCCCACGGAACCTCATTTTCTGTCTTCATATATTTGACTCGAATTGTTTTTCTATTGGGACATTAAATGGTTTTTCCTTCTTGCATGACTTCTTGCATTTTCCGCCCCCTCCTCGCTCAGACTGTTTCTTTCCCTCCTCCCCTAAATTTATACACCTTTTTAGTTGATTTTTCACCTTTATACCTGGTTTCCCTGTTTTTGTCTTATGTGTTTACGATGGTCATGTTGCATAGTTAAATAGAATTCCTTGGTGCATGTATGGAGGACAAAATACCCCTAACTGGTTCCGTTTCTCCTTTGACTGGCATTACTCGCTGCGCCTCTTATTCTTTCTTAAGAGGTCATGGTTGTACAGCTTCAACAGGTCAATTAAATTCTCGGGCACTGCAGAGAGCGTATCTTAACGATCGATTAAGAGTTGAAGGACCTTCGGAGGAACGAGATATAAAAAAGAATCGGAGTAAAGTGTCCCATTACTGCGTATAGGCTGAGTTGAAATTAGTCTGGCAAGGTCAATAATATCGCATATTAAATACAAAAAGTACAATCGAGTTAAACATGAAACAACAATTCGCCTTGATTCGCCAGCGCCAAAAAAAGATAAGTAAAAAAAAAAAAAATCCCAAATGCCATCCGTGTATAAATATCAATAACAAGTCGTATACCGTACGTAGTCATAGCGTGGAGCGAGTGCTTTTGGGGATAAGAAGTGATCCTCAATTCTTATGGTCATTCTCGCCAACTTTTCCTATTTGATCAGGCGAAGGCTTCTGACCAATATCTCCATTGGACGCGCCGCTCGCGGGCCCAGCATCTCCAGTATCTTCCGAAACCTCCCAATTATCTTCAGCATTCTCATCCCAGTTATCAACCTCATCTTCTAGCGACTGGGCGTTTGTGATGCCTGATTCTTGTTCGCCGGTACCATTCGCCAAGCCAAGCTCAACATCTTCCTCTCCATTCTCCATAAGGGCTCCGAACCTTGCTTTTCTCCTCCGTTCAAGCATCCGCTTGTGATACCATGTGCACAGCCCTATGGCTGCGAGACTTCCGACGGTATTCGCCAGAATATCATATGGATCGAAAGAACCGCCATTCGGAATAAGTCCCCGTGCGATTTCAGACCCTACTCCCAGGACCAGCGTGCATACGATGAGCGATAAATGTAGTGTTCTTCGGCGGGTGGTGTCTAGGACCCAGTAGAATGCGAGTGACAGTAGGAAAAAGGTGACCAGGTGTACGACTTTGCCGTTGACTTGTATAGGTGATGGAACTGGAGGCTCTCCTTCCTTCGGAGGCGTGGTATGGGGGGCAAAGCTAAGGTAGGCGGATAGTAGGAGCAGAGCAGCAAACCCTCCTATGCAAACGAGTCAGATAGGTACGCGGACTCCTAGGGAGTAACCTAGCAGGGCTAAACATGTAAAACGGAGGATGACAACCCACCAGCAAATGGATATCTTATTCGGATCATCGCCATTGCGTAAGGAATATGGAGTTAACTGCTATCCTTCTGATCCGGAGTACTAGGCTGCCTGATCCTGCGAGAGGCAAGCAGTTCCGATTGCTAAGCTTCGTTTGTTCTCAGTCTAGGGCTAAAGCTGGGCGTTGGTCATCTGAGTAATATGCTGTCCCTGTACGACTTCTGCGAAAGGCCATACCCCGGCGTAGGTTGTCTGTTTGAGTCTCTGTCGCAGTCGCGATCGTCTCTAGATAGAAGAAGCAGACGAAACCTGTGATTATGTAATATATACCACGTGACCGTCTCAATATCAAGTTGGAGGCTCAAAGCAGTGCCATCAGCATACAATATAGAGTGAGCTTCTAAATGCTAGAGAAATCTACGGAAACAGTATGTAAGAGCAGCATCTGGCTAGATTTCTTATGTAGGCATTTTACAATAACACCTAAAGGCTTTAAAGGGCTTCTAGGTAGTATCACGACCGCGGTGACCTCCGACTAGACCGTAGCTGATATCTCCAGAAGGCCGCTGTATATATCTTATCTTCATGCTCGTACACATCTTATACTATAGCTTATAGACTTACAGACTTATGTATTATGTATAGACTTATATGTATTATGTATGGCTGCCGTATGGGTGATGTCCACGTGACCTGGCTGCTGTCTACAAGTCTGGGCAGCCTCCATCATGGGCACCTCCGCAAAAATCACCACCAAAAAGAGCTCCCTTGGAGCCATCAATAACTCAACACATTCATCTCTTTTGTCATCCTGCGGGTTGCTGGAGCTGCTGTCGCCATCAGGCCACCATCTTACATGCTTTTTTTCCGCGTCCTAACGCCTGCTTCTTGCCTGCCGAAACTGGCTCCAAAGCGTGGAGGGCCGAACCCTCTCGCCCGCCCGGTATAGCGGGTTTGGCGCGGCCATGTCGCTCAATCACCACCACACCTGGCTTCCTCCAGGGCATCTCCGACCTCCCGACGATTTCTATGACACGCATTCCTCCGTCAATGGCCTCTCCAGAACCCCATCCCGCCCGCGTACACCCCAGTTGCGGTCCCGTGCCACCTTGGAGTCTATGCAGAGCGGTACGTCGATATCAGAAATGGATCCCGCGCCCGAGGAAGACCCTCGCATCGTCGCATTCAGAAACAGCTATCAGAAAAGCGAGGCCAGGATAAATTATCTATTTAGTGGCAAAAGGACATCGGACAACAGCCTGCCCAGCGCAGAGTCTCGTGATACCAACGCCGTCGAAGACGGACCCGAACCTGCGCAGCCAGAACTCCCAGCTGGCCCCCGAAAACCGGCCAGGAACTTAGACGAAGATGATTACGACGAATATGATGACGAGGGAGGCAGCGACTCTGGGGCACAGGGGCCTTCTCCCCCAAAATCCAAGAGCGCGCCCACCCCCCCTGAACCGAAGCACGCGCCTCAATCCCCTTCAAGACTACCCACACAGCCTAGTTCTGCGCCGGAGAACTCGAAAGACGCGAAGAAGGAATCGGCGGAGGATATCCGAAAGCGATTGGAGCAAGATAAGAAAGCCACGGAGGAGGCTGCTCGTCAGAGTTTCCATACCATATTCTACACCTTGGAGAACGACCGTGATGCGATGCTGGACCAGCAGCGGCTGGAGGAGTCTGAGAGACAAGTCGAGGCCGAGATGTCAAGCCAGAACAATACTAATAATGATTCCGCCGCCGCTCAGGGGTCTGGCCATGGAACCCTAAGCAGCGCCAATCTCGGCGCATCCAGCCTGACACTTAAGAACCTTATTGCGCGAATTGACATGAAGCGCCATGAAGTCCAGGCGTCTGATGCTGAACTGCGGAGCTTGATGAGCGAGGTCCGAAAGAATCGAAGCAAATGGGCAAGCGAAGAGAAAATTGGCCAAGAGGAGTTATACGAAGCTTTGGAAAAGGTCTTGAGCGAACTCAAAGCCCAAACAGAGCATTCTAGCGCATTCTTAACCAAGGTTAATCGGCGGGATGCGCCCGACTATGTTAACAGTAAGTGCATTTTAAGACCGCCTCTTTGGCTTCTCGGTTCGTTGTCTAATATCTATGCTCTAGTTATCAAACGACCCATGGACCTGGGAACCATGACCAAGAAGCTGAAGGCTATCCAATACAAATCAAAACAAGAATTTGTCGACGATCTTAATTTGATCTGGGCCAATTGCTTGAAATACAACGCCAACCCAGAACATTTCCTCCGTAAACACGCCCTGTACATGAGGAAGGAAACAGAAAAGCTTGTACCGCTGATTCCTGATATCGTAATCAGAGATCGCGCCGAAGTGGAAGCCGAGGAACGCAGACTTCAGCTTGCTGATCTTGATGGCGCAGAGGAGAGCGACGATGAACCTATCATGTCCTCTCGCGGTCGAAAGGCCCCTGGAAAGAAATCTAAAAAGGGCACCACCACAGCACGAACAGCTCCCGAGACGAAATCGGAGACTACCTCTGTTACTGATTCTCGACCTCAAGCCCAAGAAGCACCGCTCGTGAGACAGGAATCTGTCTTGGATGGGAGCCAGAACGATTCCTCAACACCCCCTCCCGGTACACTAACGCCTCTCACCTTAAACAATCACGGCCTTACTGCCACTCAAGGCGATAGTATGGATATCGATTGCATTGGACCGCCTCCTGCTGGTCAATGTTCTGCGCTTTTAGGACTTGGATCTGAGTTTGAAGACCCGGAATTCAAGGTCTGGAAATTAGTGACAAAGAAGGATCGTGCTCTTGTGGCTGCTGAAAGACATCGACTTTTCAAAGGAGATAAACTCAACCCAGACGAACAAGCGCTCCTCAGAACCAAATCTGGTATGAGAAGGTGGATTCGACACCGCAGAGCAACCCCAGGTGAACAAGATAAACCCGAAGCCGCACCCTCCCAAGCTAAGGAGGCCGAGCCTAGTGGAGAGACCCTTGCGGAAGGGATTGAGGAGGAAGAAGACAAAATGCTCCCTGATTATTATGATGTGATGTCGGTGATCCCTGATCTCCCTGAAAACCTCCACTGGGTGGAGGATGCCGAGGGGAACGTGGTGGAGCACTCCGAAGAATTCCTTCGAGTCCTCCCTAGCGGCTCATTTACAGCTCCAGTCAGCAAATTCTCGAAGAAGATGGACGCCAATATAAGACAGATGCAAGAAACAAGGAAAGCGTGTTCGAAGATCAGCATTGTCAAGCAAATGCAACAACAATCTCAGGTTAGACGAACTCCCACCTACCCTTGCCCAATCTTTCAATATTCTAACGGCATTATCTAGATGTATCAAAATCAGTTTCAAAAATACCAGCCTGAACGACTCATCGAACAGGATATTGCTCCTCACGTCATGAATGGCGAGGGGCCTGTCATCAACCCTTGGGTCTGCAGGGCCGCACTTCAACGATCTATCGGGAAAATTCTATATCACACAGGTTTTGAAGAGTATCAACCCTCTGCTTTGGATGCCATTACGGATGTTGCATCAGATTTTTTCTGCAAAATCGGCCAAACGCTTAAATCATATATGGAAGCCCCAAAGGTCCCTGCCGTCGAGAGTTCATCAGAGCCGGCTGGCACGTCGGAATGGAAGCTCCCATATACCTCCGAAGAGATGGTTTTGCATACTCTTCAAGCTGTCGGTACAGATGTTGATGCATTGGAAGCTTATGTTAAAGAAGATGTGGACCGCCATGGCGCAAAACTCAGCGTGATACATGATCGATTGAAAAACCATCTTACTGAACTTCTACGACCTGCATTTGCTGACGCTAGTGGCGACGGATCCGGAGCTTTCAATGATGGGAGCGAGCAATTCGTCGGAGGTGACTTTGCCGATGACATCGACGAGGATTTCTTTGGATTTAAGGAACTTGGGTTGGACAAGGAATTCGGTCTCGCTAGTCTAAGTGTCCCTCTCCATCTCCTTCAGAACCGCATGTTCCACGCCCACCAGGCCCAAAACGCAAAGTAAGTGAATAGTCTACCACTTGTGCTATTATGTATCAAGTTACTGACTTGCCTTTACAGTTCTACCCAATCGGCATCCGATTTATTCCCAACACCGCCCCAATACCCTAAGATCACGCTTGAATCTATTCCGTCGCAGATTGGTCTTGCTCGGAACTTCTTCCTAGCGAAGCTCCACGCCAACAAAGATGAACCTTTAATTGAAGATCATGAACTCCCACCCAAACAACGGCCAATGGCAGGACGACCACGCGTTCCCGCATCAGGAAAGATCCCACCGCAGCCTTCTCAAGGCATCGGCTCTAGCCCTCAGAAGCGACCAGCGCCCCCCGCTAGTTCCATATCAGCCAAAGGAATCATTTTGGAACCCAGCAAGAAAAAGGCTAAGAAGAATGTTGGTCTTTCCGTTGGCATGTTTAGCGCTGATGGAGCTGCTGATGATTCAGCTTCTACGGTCACTGTCCCTAACAATACTATGAAAGGGCTTATGAAATCAAAGTTGACAGACGGGTCCAACGGCCATGTTGGTATGAATGGAAATGCCAATGATACAAACGGGGTTGCCTCCGAACAAATGGGAAGCCAGCCCTTGAAAGGAAGCGCATGAAGGCTTATGGTCACTTATCTTGACGCCAGTTAAAAACGCACACTTGCAGCAAAATTGGGGTAGTCTCCAGGACGAAAGGTTTGGATTATGACCTTTATCATGCAATCTTTTTATCCCCTTCAGTTTCTTTATTCCTTACTTCTGTTTTTAGCCCCCAAACTTCAATTCTACCTCTAGCCCTACCAACAACTCGATGGTGGGCGTTAGAAGGGTTACTATTTACGCCATACATGTTGACCATTTTACCTTTCTTCTTCTGTATTCTTCCTGACACCCTTTTCCATTTTCGCATCCTTCGCATTGCTCAGGTGATATCCGGAATTGCGGATTCTGGCGTTTCGAAGCCAATTATGATATTTGTTTCTTGTGTGTGTCTTTGCCGGTCTTGGGGTTGTTGGCCGTGGGTGTTTTGATTACTAGTACATGCTCCTTTGGCTCATTTCCTCCTATGCTATGCTTTCCTTTTTTGTGGTTTATGTGTGGTTGATGCGTTTATTGAATGATTATTATTACACCTAACCGGTTCATCACATGGCGGTATTACTCGATTTTGCACCACCCCTAATCCTTTGGCATCCAGTCTGCTTCTCTGCCTATGTTTTAAATTATTTTAATAGATGGAACGATACTCAAAGACTTTCCTTTCTCTTTGGTTTATCTACTACTTTGATACCATTCAGTTCACTGTTGAAACGCCAATGTACAATGTTAGTTAGTTTTCCCTTGTCGCTCCTTCTATCTTATCCCCTTTTCGACGGTTCCTTCTTTTTTTGGCTTTAATCCTCCATACCAATGTTGTAGCAGGACATATAAATACCGTCCAGCTTTATCCCTACTTTCTACCTGTAATTTTGCAAGCAATGATATATGTATGCAACTATATTAAATAACCCTTTAAGGTTCAATTTTTAAGAAACAGCCAGGAAGACACCGGCAGTACGTAAACCAGTTACACATTAAGTAGTTAGGTTGGATAAAGTTGAGCATTATCTTGGTTGGTGCTTTGGCATTGGATACTTCATCGCGATGCATTTCTCTTCGCTGCCATCTCGGCCGTCAGCCTTAAGGTAGTCGGGGCATCCTCCTGTGGCATATGAATTTCAACGATCTAGGGAAAGGAGAGCTAAGTTAGTAGGGCAGGTTTTTTTCTTTTTGTACAAGTATTTAGACTGCAGAGAACAATACCTGGATACGCTTTGCGGAGCAGAATTCTGTGTTTGAGAACAAATCAAGTAGTTCTTGTCTCTCCCGGATTTGATATGTTGCATATTTTTCTGGTTTCGCCCCAAAGGCCGAAGGGAATTCCTTGAACTTCCATTCTTGGATATCGTTGTAAGCTGCATCCCACCCGTGAATGTATCGTTCCACGGTATACCCATTATTGCAAATAACGAATCTATTGACTCTCCATTAGACAAAATTCAATGTAGGGACGGAGGTGGTACATCGGATGTGGAAAAACTCACATTATCGGGGTCAATTCATTCCTGATCATCGTGCTGATTTCTTGGACCGTCAACTGGAAGCTACCGTCTCCAATGAACAGGATGGTACGACGTTGTGACATTTCTTTTGCTGCCAGAGCGGCACCCTGACATGCTCCGAGGGAGTAGCCTATGCTGCCCCAGAGAACTTGACTGACGCCGGTTACTCCCTTTGGGAATCTAGTCCCCCAGATCCCAAAGCTAGAAGTTCCCGTTTCGGTGATCACAATATCGTTCTCTTGCAGCCAGTTGCCCACAGTTGGCCATAGCCATGAGTGGGTAATCGTCGGGGCTGAAAACGCCTTTGGATCCTCCTCTGGTACGTTTTCATGCTTTGGGGGAGCAGTGACATTTAGCTTACCCATGCGGTCGATAATTTTTCGAAGCACGCCCTTCATCCTAACGCCGGGGTACTCTGAATAACGAACGACGACATAATTGCTGTGGAAGTCAATCGTGTTCAGGCGGCTAACTCGGTAGGTAAATCCGGTCGTGTTGAAGTCCGACTTGATGCCTCCAATGCTGAGAATTAAGTCCGAGGCTTCGATGTGTTCTCTCACGCCAGCGGTAGAACCATCGCCAGCGTATACACCACCGAAATTCGGGAGAGTTTCATCCACCGCTCCTTTACCCATGGGGGCAACAAAGGTGGGCAGACCTGATTTTGATACCAGATCGTGGACTTCGTCGAGAACGCTATGGCGGATGGCGCAAGCGTCTACTATGATAGCTGGTCTTTTGGCAGCGTGAAGGTATTTCAACACGGTGTCCACCACATAGTCTTCCTTTTCCTCTTCATTTGGAGGAAGTTGTAGGTCGATGGGGGTTTTCAGACGTTTGCCCTCTATCTTCTGGCTGAGCATATCCAGAGGTAGGGTGATATAGACCGGTCGGCTGCGAGTCCAGCATTCTTTCAATGTACTATCGATGTATGCAGCAGCATCACGGGGATCGTTCAGCTTTGCTACCGAGCATGAAATACCAGCGCTCATGTTGGCAAAGGCATTAAAGTCACCGTTACCGAGCGTGTGGTGAAGAAGCATCCCGTCCTTTTGGGAAGCTGTGTTCGGCTGGCCAACGATATGGACTATCGGCACATATTCAGAGTATGCTCCGGCAATAGCATTGAGGGCTGAAAGCTCTCCAACTCCGAACGTCGTTATCAATGCCGCCATTCCATTAATTCGAGCGTAGCCATCGGCAGCATAACCTGTTCAACGCTTAGTCTGAGGGCAATAACCACGCTTCAAGGGCTAAGGCATACCGGCGTTCAATTCATTGCAATTTCCTACCCAGTGCAATCCACATTTGGGGAGATAGTCCAAGGCCGCTAAATTGTAGTCTCCTAAGCTATAGTTAGTATCTAGCATGTAACATGTAAAGAATAGAAGAGCTGTATCTGCAATTGGCCTACCGGGAACTCCATGGACGGAACCGACTCCCATCTGCTTGAGCCGCTTGAAGAGATACTCTGCGACGTCAACAGGCTCCTCGAGCTCTCTAGCAACGATATCTGAAGTCATGATTGCGGAAGAAGCTGTCTACTGGGGCAGGCTGTGTTTACTAGGAAGACAGGATTGAAAAGTGAACCAGGACCCCTCACTTTATATATTCAAGGGAGACAACCTGTTTCCTGCAGTTCTAGAGCTGTCAAGGGTTGTTTTCTTATCTAGACCCTCTTTAACGTATGACGATGACGTCAGCCGGAAGCTCGCCCGGGTAGAAGATTATCCGGTCCGGGCTTATCTTATCGTGCTTCCCTTGATTTGATAAGCAAGACGGGGTCTGACTTTGGCTTCACACCACAGAAACAGCTGTTTTAGCGATAGGAAGAAGAGCCATGGGGGGTAGCACAGGCAAGAGAAAGGCGGGTGATCCAGGGTCGCAGGATAGGAAGAGACAGAAAGTAAGTTCCTCGGGACGCAGACAGCCTGGCTCGGCCCAGGTTCGGCGGGAGCCGTCAACCTACGTCGTTTAGTTGTGCGAACAAGGGCTAATATATATATATTGTCTTTCAGAGCCAGTGGAAAGACCGTTCTCGCGAAAATGGGCGCAAGTCCTACTCAAAACGAAGACTAGAGGCTGGCGATTCGGGGATATTTGTTAGCTGCGATAGAGGCAGGGAAGGAAAGTGTTCTGCTGAGATCCTGGATCTCCTCTCGCAGGTTAGAACTGCCCTCCCCTCCCCACACACACACATATGTAAGCTTCCTTTCGGCAATTGAACTGACAGCCATCACAGGAACTGCCAAGCACTGGTTTAGATCAAAAGGATGATACCACGGCCGATGATGCTGTTGATATCGAAGAGCAGATCAGACGAGAGGTGGAGCAGATGCAGCCAAAGCGATCGAAGGCGCCATTCCAGCTCGCAGACCTGGATGTTCCGTGTCGTAAGCTCCCCCGGAAATGCAAAGCCCGTTTATATTGCGTTGCATCCCTGACTTAAACTCTGCAGTCATGTTTGTCAAGACCAACAAAGCCGTAAATCCGGTAGAAATTGTACATCAACTATGCATTGATGCCCGGACGCATCCCGAACAGAAGAGGAGCCGTTGGGTCAAACGGTTGACTCCAGTTACGTCCATGAGGAAGATCCTTGGGGGCGGGCTGGAGGAGTTGGCTCGTGATGTGCTGAAGCCGCATTTCCATTCTGGCGGTCCTCCCAAAAAGGTAAACATCTCTTTGCCTTCGCAGGCGAGGTGTCTATATCCCCATGATTGACTGTTGAGCACATTACTGACGCGCGTATATTTCGCTTAGTATGCCATTCGACCGACTATTCGAAACAACACAGACTGCCATAGAGACTCAGTCATCAAGCTTGTCGCCGGTATCGTAGGAAGTGAGCATTCAGTGGATCTGAAGAACTACGATCTGTTAATACTCGTCGACGTTCTCCAGGTGGGTATACCTTACATTCTATTTTTCTTCCCTTTCTTCTCAGCTAGTTTACCCCCTGTATCGTCCGCGGAGATAGCTGACGATGACACACTTCTAGACCATGTGTGGCATGAGCGTGGTTGAGGGAGACTATGACGAATTAAAACGTTACAACCTCTCTGAGATATATTCTCCAACGCCACGCCCGGAAGTCAAGCCGGAAACGAGGCCAGAAGGGGAACCTGAGAGAGACCGAAAGGAAGCTTGACAGGGCGAAGCGGATGCAAAAAAAAAAGAAGACAAAGTAACTCCGTATCTTGGCCCCCATCCGCCTTTCGCCAAACGACCACTTGCGGTTGGAAGGCCCTGTCCACCGCTTCGCCATCCGTCTCTCGCCTGTCGTCCCGAGAGATACCGCATGCGACATTAGGATCAGGATCAGGGAAACGCATTGACCGCCAACTTGAAAACGCCTTGGGATTAACCTATGAGACTGCTGTATACGGACTACGCGACCAGGTTTAATATGTGCTGGCACGGAGAGGGAACGCTCGGTAAATTCGGGCGTGCTAGAGCCGACATCCAGTATTCCGACCAAATTAAATTGATGCCGTAAACACGAGGCCCATGGTACTTCTTTCGCATCCCCAAGCTCTCTCGTTTCATCTCCCGTTCTGCGGCAGAGCTTGTAGAATTTACATTGCTGGATAGGCGATTGGACACCTCTTCGACGCCAAGCAGCGACGGCGAAGTTTAGTTGAACCACGGCCTGACGAAGAGACGAAAAGCTCGGGGTGGATGCGATCCACCTGCCTCGCATTCTTTTTGAGGATTTTTGAATCTGAAATCTCGCCAAAAGCGAGGCTCTCATTGGTGCGACCCGGCGCATAATCGGCATCATCCCCGTTTCACGTCCAAACATGCATCGAGCATTATTACTGAACACAGCAAATTCTGGCGAGGTTACAGTCATGATCCAACCTTTGAGCGGCACATCACAGGGTGCGGATACCATGGAGGTCAGGACTTGCCGCCCTAGTTCGTTCCTGCGGCGCGCGAGCTCCGCGATGCCCGCCGATGCAGACACGGGTTTATCATCTTATATACCTACCCGACTATCGTCATTCGGCACGAGCCGCCAATCGCCATGTCCAGGCTCAGTATCGTCAGCTGTCTAGTCGTCCTGCGGCGCAGCTTTCTTTGCCCAAATTTCAATATTACTCACCATTTTTTTTACAAAAATAAAGACTTGGACGCGCAATCGATGATGGAGTACACCTACACCAACCGAATGTATTGAACCCTGTGGGATGACTGGATCATTAGTTGGCTGATCAAAAGCATAATCCACCATACGTGTGGCGCTTGGATTCTAGCAAGCGACTCCCTTAACGTTAAATCTGGCTATCGTTCGCAACCTAACCTGCGTGGCTTCTCGATATCACTTGGCGTCTCAAAGAGTCGTCCTATATAGACAGAAGGTCTCGTCACCATCTGTCTGCTACAAGGGGGATATCTTTTTTCTCTAAATGTGAGTGAGCAGTCAAAATATATAGTTATATCATATATATTCTTCTTTTTTTCATGCAACATGACGGCCTTCAGATGTTCTGCTGGATACCGTGAATCCCCACGTATGAATCGGGGCCTGCATCGTGAACAACATAGCTTATCGAATATGCAGCGTCAATGCAGTACTTTGCCATACCCATATGTCCTCCAGATTTCTACTACAACGACAGTATCAGTCGGCTTCCCTACAAAGATGACTCGCAGCACGCCCAGCACTTCTTCATTCCGTGGTCTTATTGAAACTCTTTTCCCAAACCAGAGAGTTTCAAGCATACAGGCTTATGATGAGGATCCACACCCACATTATCTTCTACGGCTATCTGGCGGCACCGAACTCGTGTTGAAGACGTCGACACCGCATCCAGAAACCGTGTTATACTATGAACGACACTCGCTCGAAGTGGAGGCCCATGTATTGTCATTACTCGAACCAAGTGAAATATGGTGCATCCCAAAGCTCATCCAGTGTGAAGTGTCTCCATCATCTCCGACAATAACGTGTCTATTACGTTATAAGTGCAAGGGCGTCCCGCTTTCAGAGATTCAAGAGTCTTTGACCACAGACGACCTACGGCGGATTGATAGGCAGCTCGGAATCGCTGTCGATCAGATCGGACAACACACTGCAACTAAATTTGGCTCCGTTCATGACATCTGCGTTGGGGGAGGGGAGAGAACTTGGAAACGTGCATTCCTAAATCTCCTTGAATCTCTTCTGTGGAACGCAGAAAACATGTTCATCTCCCTACCGTACTTTGAGATTCGGCACCAGGCCAGCCGCCTGTCGGCTGTTTTCGATGAAGTTACGGAGCCACGGTTGATTCTCTACAACATCAGCCGATCGTCACATCTTGTCATCGACCCCAAGACCAAAGACGTCAGCGGGGTTATCGACTTCACGGCTGCGACCTGGGGCGACGTATTGATGACGGACATCTTTGAAAACCCTTCATCCGACATTCTTAAAGGATATGGGTCAGATCCAACGCGAGAAGGCTCTGCACCCATCCGACTGCTGTTGTAAGTCGTCTCTCTGCAAGCTCACTGCCCGTTATACAAGGCCCTCAAACTAACCTCAGCCCATAGCTACTCCTGCTACCGAAACATCCTCAAAATCGTAAAACAGTACTATCGAAACCAATCCCACGAAGAGGAGCTTCGCGTCCGAAAAGCTCTAATGGCGAACCTCGCCTCTATTGCAGCCTTTAACCCATAACGCCACACTATTTTGGCTATCTTTCGTTTCGGGTAGATAGTGCAACGGTGCTAAATTTGACTGGCGTTAAAACGTGTATACTAGAACGCTTGGAGCTTGTGGCGTTTTGGAAATAGGGTTCGGGATGATATTGGGGAGGCGTTACCTAACTAGGGATTTGGGCTCGATGGTCGGATAGGCTCGACATAAATTTGGCTACCGCGATGTGTATATAGTTGAATCTGTAGCTGTCTTCATTCCAAAAATGTGTCGTTTGACCACTTTTCACGTGCTTCACGCGATATTGACGTCAGCCGCCAAGGAAGGCAGCATAGTCAACTAAACGTCGTTTTGCTTCCACCACGAACAACTTCGTTACTTGCGATCTAATTTTAAACCGCCAGGTTTCATAGTACGCTCTTTACGCTTTGATCGGAAGACGATGGCGCATTTCCTGAGAGGGAAGCAGGCCGGTATCCAGAGCGACCTGTCTGCAGGCCTCTCGCCGGAAAGCTTCCTTCTAGACGAGGTGAGGCTCCCTCTCCCCCCAGACATCGAGACCAGGCTTGTCATTTCTTTCTATAAATACTGCGTATCAGGCGTTAATTTTGACCTTCTCTCAGGTGGCTCGTTATGGAATAAATTCCCGAATCAGCGCCATAGCGTATGACCCCGTTCAATCGCTACTCGCTGCTGGTACAAGCGAGACGCAGTTCGGAAGCGGGGAGATTTATGTGTTTGGACAGGAGAGAGTCTCCGCGGTCTTCTCGCTCCCGCGCAAAGCGTCGACGAGCATTCTTCAGTTCTGCGGAGATAAACTCATCGCTGTCGCGAAGAATGAGCTATGTGTCTTCTCGCTCGACGAGCGAAAGCTAGTCGCTTCGTATGCACCGCCAGGGCACGTTACCTGCGTTCTTACGGACCCGGTTCTAGACTACGCATTTATCGGGTTACAGAACGGTTCGTTAAGGCGATCACGCCCCCGTCTGTTAAATTGGAGGTCCCTTTGGGCTGACACTTTATGAGAATAGGCGAGCTTGTTACGTATGATCTCGACCGACATCTGGTAGCACTCTTCAAGGTGCCGAATTTGTGGAAAGAACGAAACCCGCGGGCCAGATTTCTCCCCATAGTGTCGTTGGCTTTCCACCCCAAGGATATAGGAACTTTGTTGATCGGATACTCAGATGGAGCAGTGATATTCTCCATCAAACAGAATATACCCATCAAATTCTTCCAGTATGAGGTACCAAAAGGTGCACCCGGCGGGGATTCGGACCCATCCTCAGCTCGTGAGACTAGGTGGCCGAAGATTGTCAAGGCACTGTGGCATCCAACCGCCACATTTGTCCTAACTGTTCATGAAGACTCCTCTCTTGTTTTCTGGGATCCTAAAGATGGTAGAGTTGTGATGGCCAGAACAATACAAGCCGTAGACGTCAATAAGCCTGGGGATAGCACCCCCATTTCTGGCGCGGTGCCCGGCACTTTTTCAATAAAGGCGCCCGTCTTCGAGATTGCCTGGTGTTGCAAGGAGAATCCGGATGACACGGGCTTGCTCATCGCTGGCGGAACTCCTACCACCGATGTGGCGAAAGGACTCACGTTTATTGACCTTGGGGTTACTCCAAACTATCAAACATCTACCTGGCAAATTCTATCCGGTCATTTCGCTTCCTTAAAACGTCAGTCAACGTTACAGACTCCACCGAATGCAGAAGTAGTCCACTTTTGCTTGATTCCTCGGGCGTCACCCCATTTTGGGGGTGCCCAAGATCCCATTGCAGTAGTTGCTCTTCTGTCTTCGGGAGAGCTAGTCACATTAAGTTTCCCAAGCGGCTATCCTATATCACCTACTAACGTTCTTCACCCATCCCTAACAATGGTTCATCCATTTGTTACCAAACTTGAGCTCTCCTGCGTCGACAGGACACGGTGGCTAGGTTGGCGAGAGAAGAGAGCGCAGGGGCCACCACTGCTCATTGGGGGAGCGGCATCGAAAAAGGCACTGAAACGTTTCGAGAATCGAGACATCGCTGTTATTGCGCATGCCGATGGACTCTTGCGTCTTTGGGATACGGGGCATGATGACGAGATTGAAAACCCTTCGGTGCTTCAAGTTGACCTAGCTCGCGCAGTTGGGCGATATGACAGAATTGAGGTTACCCAGATGTCACTCTCCGGAGCAGCTGGCGAGCTCGCAGTTGGCCTCCGAAGCGGAGAGCTGGCAATCTTCAAATGGGGCCGAAACGAAAACCCTGGTAGAGATGCGCCATTGGGCGACAATGACGGCCCTGGCGAGATGACTAGCATATCTCACAGAGCAGACCCTGGCCTGAAGGAAGGGTTTCTTCCACTCTTATTGCTTGACCAACGTCAAGGACCAGTCACGGTCATCAAGCACAGCGATGTTGGATTCATCTGCGTGGGATATCAGTCCGGAAGCATTGCAATCATTGATCTACGTGGCCCAGCGGTAATTTACTCTGCCCATTCTACAGATTTCGCGAAACAATCGAGGAGAAGCAGCTGGAAAAGTCATTCCTCAGCAGAAAAAGGAACCGATTGGGCAACTTGCGTTGAGTTTGGAGTTTTGACGATAGAAGATGATAGTAAGATACCCCCCACAGCCTATCTCTTTCATAATCAAGTATTGTTCGTCTTCATGCTAATTCTCTCTAGACTATTCGAGCATCAGCTGTTTTGTCGGTACTAACCATGGTCATTTGGCCACTTTCAAAATACTCCCTTCATCATCCCCCACTTATACCGTGTCCTTCGTTGGGTCGTGTACTCTGGATGATCGAGTATTATCTATATGTCCTACAAATGCCGAAACCGGAGCCCAGGCATTAGCCACGCAGGAAGCCGTTTCAAATCTACGAAAAGGCGAAAGGGTTAACGGAGTTATCATTGCAGTGACTCCTTCTGGTTGCCGCATGTTCAAACCCGCCACGTCTAAAGGAGCCCACAAGAGCTGGGATGACTTCATGTGCGATTCTGCTACTGTTGTCAACTCACCCCGAGGTTATAGCCTTGTTGGTCTGTTTGGAGATGGTAAAGTTAGAGCATACTCCATACCCTCCCTTAAAGAAATCGGTTCCGCAAATATTAGCAAACTTCTTGATACCAGAAGGCTAGGGGATGCTCGCATATCGCCATCAGGAGATATTCTTGCATGGAACGGGCCCTCTGAAATGATGATGCTTCATGTTTGGGGCGCCGGCAGTCCCTTGTATGTGAAAAGCGCAATGCTCTCCTTGCCATTGTATGGTCGTGGTGCTAACTGAACAATTGTTTTATATAGGCTCCGAACCGCGGATAGATTATTTAACCCTCAAGTAACCCCTCCGCCCCGCCCAACTATCTCAAATCTGCAATGGATAGCTGGAACCCAATTTGTCTCCACTGCGGATGTTGATTTACTAGGTGGGGTTCTCTCCGCGTGCGGTACGGCTTACTGGACATCTGATCTAACATATATATGTTCTAGTCGGCGGCCCAAATCGTCCCCCATCCAAACGCATGATTGAGCAAATGCGTCAAGAAGAGCAAGAACGCCAGAAGGCCGAACGAGAAGGACGTCTACCTAGATCTAACACTAATACCTCGCAGGGTTCTCAAGAAACGTATTGGGCTTATATGCAACGACAGGTCCAGGAGAGGACTGAAAATCTCAACATTATGGGCGATAGCATGGATCGCCTAGGAGAGAGTAGTAGCGGCCTAGCAAACGATGTGAACAAGTTTGTTAAGAACCAAAAGAAGAAGGCCGTTCTCGGAGGTAAGCTCATACATTCTGACATACACGTGAGGGAGACATGAATGCTAATATCAGATACCTAGCCCTTGGCTCAAAATTCGGCTTTTGATGTCATCTCTACTATGTAAACCTACCTACCACCGCCCTGTTCATGTTTGGGTGAAATTATGGGGTTTACCCCATATATTCGGGATATCCTAGAATTTTGTAACTCTCTTTTGCACTTACTCTACCCCTCATGAATGCTGTTATGATGTTGTATTCTATCGAGGGTCCGGCTTTAATTGTATATACACCACGCCACCTTGGGGCTTTGGCATTTTATGTTAGAAGATCCGAGCTCGTTTTCTGAATCGTTTCAAGCTTATTCTAGCCATTTACAAGTATAATGTCAAGCATCTTATTGATATCACAGCAGCGATATACGAAGGCCCTTACTATATAAAAAGCTTATACGGGCTCGTACATTTTACCGAGTAGATAAAACATATCGCTTATTTTATGGGAGAAGAGGACAGACGAAATGTTACTACCTCTTGGACCCAAAGACTGTTTACCTGATAAACCATGATCACATTATATCCGTACCGGAATGAAAACCCCTGTCCCCTACTACATCGATAAAATGGTAAGCAGTTTCAACCCACTCTCGCCCCATGCTTCCTCCCGAACTACAGAGCAGATCCTACTCGGGTCTTCGATACAGTGTTCTCCATATCGCTATCCTGGCAGCACAAGCTAATTCTACAAAGTGAGAACGCTCTCGTTTCTATCCCAGATGCTATTCGGATCATCAGGAGCAGGGTCCTTACGGAAGAAATTAGCTGGTTTCAAGGAGAGCCATCCAACAAGTTATCATGGGACAGATTTCAGCTCTGGGATGATGCCCAATATCAAACGAATGCTAGAGGATGATCTCCTCACTGTGATCACTCTGAGGCCAAGGCCTAATATTCTACCCAGGATTCGATCCCTTCCCTGCCCGAACTATTGTATCGTACGGTCTCTCGCTGGGTCTATATGCCGTTCATTATCCTTTGTGACCAACTTGGAAGGTTCACTGTGCGTCTCGTTGGATGTAGATAGTATTCACTCGAAGGTGCCTTGCCTCGAATGGCCGACTCCTTCATTCGACCATCGTAGAGCGTAGATCCATCGCTACCAGATCATCGGACACCTCACACGTATAGACACTGTCGTGTTGGAAGTATAACCCTTTGGAGAACCATATCTGACATCAGCACCAGCTTTGGCGAGTATCCCAACTCTTGAGCGATGCACCAGCCCGTCCACTGGTCTCTTCCTTTCTTTTGACCGTCTTTTCACCATCGTCAACCCTTTCCAAGTGCCGAAGACGACCCTTGACCTGACTAAGCGGTTAGTCTCGCCCGAGATGTCTGATAGACCAACAAACAACAACCACCAGCAAACTCCGCAGGTCGAAAGTAAGCATGTACCAGGGTCCCAGCAGGTGCATATACATATACTCGCTCAGCGACAAGAACGAACCCATGAAGATGTGGCGTCTTCCAACATTCGGGCACAGCCTGGGGGACGCAGGTGGGTTGCAGTGCGAATCAATAGATCGAACCCGTCCCTGTCGAACGCGGCTTGCAGACGGCGACGATGGCCTCCACGAACCTCGAAGCGAGGCTCACTGGGCTTGCAGCGTCCAAGAAGTGCAGAGACGACATGGGGGACGACCTGCGTTTGAGATATAGAGCACCTGTCACTGTGCCAGGAATCCTCTTGGGGTTTTTTTTTTTTTTTTTTTTTTTTTTTCACACCTCCTCTCCCCTTTCCCACGGATCTATCAAAGGACGACGATGCGCAACATCCTGATATGCTGACTGATAGCCTATTCCCCGGCTCCGAGCTTTGGGGATCGAGGCTATGTAACTAACAACGGAACTAGTTCGACTAGTCGTTTGCTCCGTCCTGCGAAGGTCGAACCGCTAGCCTTGATGCGTCAAAGGATTCTGTCTCAGGCAGCTTGGTCTGGCTCGATCAAAAGGCTTGATCAGTGCCTGCGGATAACGATTCCGGAAGGTCAGTAACTGTCAAGTCCCGGCGAGATGCCCTGGCTGGCGATGGCTTTTTCCTTCGCCCAGAGACGCTTCCTTGCTTGCAACCGCCGAAAGAAAGGAAAAAAGAAGCACACCGACGACCGTCCAACGCCCGACTTTCCCGATGGGAAACTTCATGTTCCGATTGGGTCCAACGATGCAATAATACGCCTGCTGCCATTCTGCTATAGTTCTCTTATGCTATGCGTGACAAGGGTCTACCCGGCTGACGTGCAAAGAACTCTCCATGTTTTGAACGAGAGCGTACGATGCGGTTATCGGCTATGTTTAAGAGAGCCTGCGAGGCAAGGTAGACAAATCGCTACTTAGCACGACACTACTATATGTGCGTTCCTCCGTGTGAAACGGCTTGGTAACTAGTTACATTCCTCGCAGATGGAAACTAACCAAGGGGGGATCATCGACCTTTTTTTTCCCCTTCTATTGAGTGATTTTTTTAAGACTTGGTTCCCCCGGATAATTTCCAAAACTATTAGCCTTTTTTCTGGAATTCGTCCATACATAGCTAGGGGGGCCAAGTGCCTGGCTACTCCCACAAACCCTGGAGGGAAGGGAAAAAATTGGACAGACGGCGTCCACCTGCCCTCGGCCTGTCCAAGGCGATCGACTTTAGGGGAGGAAAGAGGAGGCTCTGGGAGCAACGCATGCTTGGCCTCGATGCTCCCTCGTAAAGCGGTTTACGGGGGCGCAGTACGCACGTATTTTGCGGCGAAGACGACGACGACGACGACGACGACGATGCCAACGATGAAAGAAGCCAACGAAGCCAGAAGCAACGGAGAGCCGCCCGTCGACGCCATCGTCAACGCCATCGTCAGCGCCATCAGTCGACCTTCCGCCTTCAACACGAACAACTGCTGCTAACTCCTGCTTTAAAATTTCACCCCCTAGGGCGCGCAGCCGACTAGTGGATGGCGGGGAGGGGACTACGGAGTAAAAAGCACCCTTTTCACCCCATGACTGGCCCAGCTCTTTAACTAAACCTTCCCTTGCCTGCCCGTCCATACATCGCGCCGCCCTCAGAGTGTCCACTTGGGTTGCTTCCCCCTCAATTCTGTAAAAAAAAAAAAAAAAAAAGGTAAAAAGGTAAAAAAGAGGCCCCAAGGGAACGGACAGGAGGGAGAAGGTGTGGCATAAGATGGAAAAAGAGTTCCCACTTGGACTAAGGATGGCATAAGCAACAGTTTTCTAGATCTCCAGAGAAGACGCAGGGAGGAGAGAGCTAGGCGCTTTTGCTAGGGTAGAAAAACGGACGGCCCTCCCCCTGCTTGCTCTGCTTGCTCGATGGGAAAGCACTGCGATTCTTGGGCCGTAAATCCCTCCAGCTCGAACAGCACAAGTACTTATACTTGACACCGCCTGTCGACTTTCTTCCCCCTTCTCCTCCCCCGGATCTCTCCCAGTTTTACGATACGGACAGATTTCACGGCCATCTCCACATCCCACGTCTCGAGTCCACCGGATGGATATGCTGGATCGCTCGGAGCCACCACAGTGAAGTCTTCAAACGGCTTCATAGCTTCGACAACCTCAGCTTAGTCCTCTTGCCAGCCGCGCGCTTCTTTTCGTCTATGACCAATTGGTGCATCTTATCTGCGCCGTAGCCGTGACGCCAATTCGTCCTTCGCCCAATCCAGCCAAAGGTGGCTTTTTGGTTTACATTCCTGAGAGCGGGGGAAGGTTTTCCCTAACCTGCAAAGTCCAGGGAGGCATATAAATCTAAACCGGAGGCCTGTACCGTGCCAGATGAGATCAGTGCCTATCGATCATAGCGGGTCAAGGAATGGCGCCAGTATGGACGAAGTAGCTACCAAGTCTGAGCCGAACAACACCATCGAGGGTTCCTGCAGCTCATCTCTCTCTACGCCGGAGCCGGAAGGGGAGGTTGTCGTCCAGGACCCCGTCCAGAGACAGAAGCGAAAGGGGGGAAGAAAGCCAGTAGGTAGTTGGCCTTGCCGGGAGTTTGACAGCCCTGCTCTTGTCGCTCCTCCTATTCTCTTGACAACAATTTCTGAACATTGTATAAATTTCCTATTCATTGTCTAACGGATGGTAGATCTATGCTACTTCTGAAGAACGGAAGCAAAGAAACAGACAGGCACAGGCGGCCTTCCGTGAAAGACGGACCGAATACATAAAACAATTAGAGACGACGATAAAGCACAACGAGGAGGCTCTGCATGGCTTACAGCAAAGTCACCGAAATGCCGCAGACGAGTGTCTCATGCTCCGGTACAAGAACTCGCTGCTAGAGAGGATACTCCTGGAGAAAGGTATGTCAGACTCGCCCATATCTTAGACGAACGAGCAAGTGCTGATACCAACTACAGGCGTCGATGTACAAGCTGAACTACGCCTCAGGGGCGGCAGTCCCAATCTACCACCCAGCAGGCTACCGCCGAACGCAACAAGCCAGCCATCACACACATCACACACCTCGCCCACGTCACAGAGCCCTCCAGGCCAGGCCGGACTGGTCCAGAAGCTAGAACCCATCTCCGTGTCACACGTACGCCGTGAGAGCGGCTATGTCATGCATTCCCCGCAACTCCAGCCCACCCCGTCATCCCATGTATCATCGCCGGTTGCAACGAAGTCACCGGCCTTTAGCATGCAGGGAGGCATGTCTCCCACCGCGACGGAGATGCACGGCCAGCAGCAACAGCAACAGCAGCAGCACTACAAGTCTCACCCGTACCACCGGCCTCAGCTGTCTCAGTCAAGCGGCTTTGGCCAGGGAATGACATCGGCCGCGACTGAAAATATTGAACCGACCCCAATCCTACCCTCGCGGATACCGCCTACCTACTACCTTTCACCGTTTCAAAAGCAATATAACCAGTTAGGCAAGCCAAACTGAACCCCTCTCCTTTGGTTCCTCTTGGCCACCTTAACCCCTGAATTAGGAACTTTGCTAACCCGGATTGTGCAGAACAGGAATATGATGCCCGTTCAAGTTCTGTGGACGGACCCGATCCGTCAGAGAGCACGGCAGACTACTCGTCTCAGCCACAGCTTCCGCGCATACAGCAACGACAGCACCCAGCTTCAAGCAGCGGGGAAGCAGAAGGCATGACAGCCAGCTCATCGTATATAGATCACTTTGATCCAATGATGGATCCAGACCCGTTCGGTCTGTCTGCCAGCATGCACTTTCCTACACCATTTACCTATGCCCAAGGCCATGGGCGGCAGTAAGAATAGAGAAACAAAAAGAAACTACGAAAGAAACATGAAAAAGAGATGAAAAGAACGAAAGAATGAAAGAATGAAAGAAGAAAAGAAACGGCATAGATCGTTGACGAACTGTTCATGCCGTCTAGAGGTCGGCCGTGCTGGTTCAACCCGGCCCGGCCGACATGGGTCTATGCCATGACATAGAAGAGACATGGTGTTTCACGGACGGGAGTACCAGGGACTTGCTAATGCAAGCGGAGGAAGGATCTACAGCCAGCTTCACGGGGAGCTGGTCTGCTGTGCATTTTCGAGGCGTTTTGGGGAGTGCAGGAGGGTAAAAAAGAGTTCTTTGATACCCACTTATGTACGGACAGGCTGGAAGCATCTCAGGATTAGTCTGTTCTTGGAGGACACTTGATTCAGCGTCTGTACTATATCCGTAGTATCATCTGATATCCATCGTTCCATTGTTATGTTATTGCTATTGTTATTGCTATGTTATTGTTGATATACTGAGTAGACCCTAAACCCTAAGATGTCCGCAAGAGCGCCGGGCCGAGGTGTCTCCGGGCGGCCCAGAGAGCTCGCTTAACAAAAGTTGCACCCGAAACAGGCTTGGGCTTTCCGGCGCGCGCTTGAAGGCAAATAATCACCTGAACCTCCATCAAACACCCACCTCCAACCACCACCTCCTCCCTTCCACCAACCACGTCGTCACAGCACCAGAGGCCGAATTCCTATCTCGCTAGGGTTTCTGCCTTCTGCTTCGGAGTCCGATCACTCCATATCCCCGAATTGTTGCAATAAACAGAAAGCCTTCCAAGGAAGGCAATATCAAATCCAGGCGTCATGTCGGACGTCCGGTCCAAGGTTCGTTCGCCAGATACTCCCGTCGCTCGCTCGAATGGCTGCTGTGACGGCAATTGAGTGATCGTTGAATCAGAGCGAGAAACGCTGACAGTCTGTTTATTCTGATATAGAACCCGTACGAGCTTCTTGGTACGATCTAGTTTCCACTCCATCACACAAACCTCGCCATTCCGTCTACACTGCTATATCATACCCGTGGCAGTCTCTCGTTCCACTCTCGATATACGAAATTAACATGAATACCGAATTACAGGCAATGACCCGGAGCTCGATCCCAACAGAGAGCCAGAACCTCCAGTGAAGGTCATCGACAAGAACCCCCCTCGCCGTGGAAAGCGTGATGGGCCAAATGAGCCTCGCGAAACCACGGCTCCTCGTGCCAACAACCGTGGACCCAGACTCCCAGCAAACGAGCAAGGTAAATAAAAAGCTCCATGTCAAAAACAAATAAAAAAAAAAGAATAAGAAAAAAAATAAACATAGCCGTTCATGTTTATGCCCACTATGGCTGTGGCAATTTTTTCTACTATGATGTCACGTGTCCAGCACCACTTTATATAGATACCGTTTTCTAACATGGGGACATCGAACAGCATTCCGTGACCGCAATGCCGGAGCTCAGAGCAACCGCAACAGGCCCACCGATGGTCCTGACGACCGGGCTCCTCCAGCTGCCCACAAGAACCGTGACGCCCGCGGTAACATGATCCGCGACGACCGTCACTCTCGCACTGACAGAGTGTAAGTACACTCAATTGCAGTATTTCACGCTAGACTTCAATATTAACATCGTCTCTGCAGTGTCACAGATAAGCAAGTCGAGCAGGGCTGGGGATCCCGCTCTGGTGAATCCGCCCTCAAGGATGAGCGTGCCGGAGAAGCCATTGCCCGTGGCGATGAAAAGGACGCCGCTGAGGCCGGTGCTGAAGAGCCAGAGGAAGTGCCAGAAGACAAGAGCAAATCATATGCCGACTACCTTGCAGAGCAAGCCGAGGCTAAGCTCGAGCTCAGCGCAAAGGAATCCCGCAAGGCCAACGAAGGCACCAAGGTCGACAAGAAATGGGCTAACGCCAAGGAGCTCAAGCGCACCGATGAGGAGGAAGAAGCCTACATCAAGGGCCAGAGCAAGGAGGACAAGGCCAAGCGAGAGCGTCAACGCAAGGAGAAGAACGTCCTCGAAGTCGACATGCGCTTCGTCGAAGCTCCCCGCCGCGGCGGTGATTCCTTCCGTGGCCGCGGCCGTGGTGGCGATCGTGGTGACCGTGGCGGTGAACGCGGTGGCCGTGGTGGCCGTGGAGGACGTGGTGAGTTCCGTGGTGGTCGTGGCAACGGTCGCGGCACTGGAGCTCCTCGCGGTGGTCCTCCCCACGCCGCCAACGCTGGCCCTACCGTCGACGAGAAGAACTTCCCTTCTCTCGGAGGCAAATAAGCGGATCTACACTCCATGTATATTGATCGGCCCACAGAAGCGTCGGTCTTGCAATTCTGCTGCACCTCTAACAAATAACTTTTTTTTTTCCCTGAATGTGATAAAAAAAATCATCTAAGCGGAGATTCAATAAAAGGCCTTTTTTGTTTCTAATATTTAAAACAAAACTGATCATGGGAAGGGGAAAACATTGGGGGACAATTGAAATCGAATTTTGTTTCATATCTTCATGAACTTCTCTCTCCCTTGGGTCTTTTACCTTTGCCTTCTCCGTCGTGATACTATTTGTTTTACCAGTTAATTTTCCTTGTTTTCCCTCTCGAGTTACTGTTTTCCACTTTTCTTCCCCCCCTTTTTTTTCTTGCCCCCTTTTTTTTTCTGCCTATCTCACAGTCTGAATTGTCGATTCTTCCTCTAGGAGTACGTGGAGGTCTGGTGTGCCTTCTATGCTCTTTCGTGCCTTACAGGGAAAGGTTCTTGTGTCTTCCAGGGCACCAAAAGCACCACGAGTGCAAGATATGTAGAAATGGTTTTGGGCGAGTTTACGTTCTAACATTAAGGGACAAAAAAAATGGAAAAGATGATTTAACAAATTATACCAGGCTGCTGATATCTGTAGCCTTGCTCTATACCCTGCTGTCGTTGCATATACCCGTCTTCAGAGGCTTGTCGTTTGGTTGATACCCCTATTAACTTGAATACAGATATAGCATCGAAACGTCACCCGCAGACAGAGCCTCAACGGTGAGTACTCTCCCATAACTGCGATGTCACCTCCCAGGCGAGATTTACCAGCAGTCAAGGTCCCTGATATCCTACTATCACTCGCTCATCTCTTGGTGTCGGTATTCACCCGGGTCGTATCTATCACTTTCGATACACGCCCCTTAACACCCAGCCACCTCCAGCTAACTCGACATCACAGTCGAGTCTAGATGCACCAGTCTTCGTTCCAGCGTGCGGGGTCTGCAGAGTTTTCATATCAGGTGAAGCGGAAGCTGTGTTATTCAATAGATTCGAAATCAGGGGGCTGGGGGAACAGAGCAGCAGTCTCTGCTCGTCTAACTCGCACTTTGATATCTCTTCCTTTCTCAACCACTTTGAATCCAAGATCTTCCTCCTTACGCTTCAGATCTCAGTTCGATACCGTGAACGAACCCTCAAGATATTCCAACAGCCTCCTTTAAAACTTGATACGAGATGGCGTATCTTAACAGCGCCGGCGGGACACCAGTCACCGCCAGATCGACTTGTTCGATCTTCTCCTTGAACAGCCCGGGCATCCAGCCCAAAGTCAGCTTCGGGTACGAGCCCGAGTACCCTTACAACCTTGACTTCAGCAAGCTGAAGACGGCCAACGGGTATGCCCTGGGGATGCGTTCTGCGCCGCTCCTCAAGGGAGAGGATACAGCCCTCTCAAAATTCCACAAATTGGCTGCTGCAGGGTTCGAAGACGACGACGACGACGACGACGACAAGAAGGCCAATACCAAGGCCTACGGAGAGAGAGAGCGCAACGAGCCTGCGTCTGACTCGGAGACAAACAACTTCAACGGCACTCCATCTCTCACGAGCAGCCCTACTACTCCCAGCACAAACGGCTCCATGACTTACAACGCCGTCACTCCTCCAAACAAGGAGCTCACCTACCATACTCCCTCTCCTCCGTCTACTCCTACTCCCGCACCCAAGCTACCAGAAGCACCAAAGAAGGCTCAGTTATGCGGCGGTTACTCAGTTTACAAGAACTCCCTCCCATTCCGCCAGCTCGGCTGGGGATCCGACGAAGGCAAAACCGTCACCAGGGAAATCATCGTCTCCAGACCCGTCATCGAAGCTTCCTCTCCTTCTCCCTCACCCTCTCCACCACCACAACCTCGACACCATCGGAGAGCATTACGTGAACCACTTCTACCAATGCTCATATACAACGAGAACAACGAGGAAGAATACGTATCACGCTACAATTACCTTCCATATGGTCAGGGACGAGAATCGAGCGTCAATGCTCTTGATATGTTACTCTCTCAAGCCCGTGCACAAGGGTTTACTACAAATACCGCACCATATGGTCAGGAACAAGGACGTCCTCTGCCCCGTCTCCATCGCAATCTGTTTGATACTGTGAGGCCGGAGCCCAAGCCATTGGCACCAGCTCGTATGAAGGCTCGCGAGAATCTGATTGCTGTCTTGTCTCGTCGTATGGAGCGCTGTCCTCAACCTCAATACCGTCCTCAGCCTCAATACAACGTTATGCCAGATCCCCCATTCCCATGGATGCGACGTTGATTGACTTTGGAGTCATGTCGTTTCATTTCCTTCTACCCTTTTTTCATGAATTTAGTACATGCATAACTCTGTTCTTTTAAGGATGTTATTTTGACAGCAGGAAAAACAAAAAAGGACTAAAATAATCTGCGTTTTTCAGCTGCGTGTTTAGCACCTTATCGCCTATCTTTCCTTCCCTTTGCTTTTTATTGTGGTTTGAAATTTGCCTGGATTTGATTTGGTCGATTTGACATGACACGATACGAATGATTCAACCCTAGTCACTCACTTATACCCCTTACCTGATTTTATGTCGTTTCCTTTCTCTGGCTGTACAATATGCCTCTCTGTATACTATTAATCCGTCTGAGGAGAGCAGTAATAATAAAAATAACGATATGATTCCCAATAGTCTATGGACATGCCATGTACTTCAATGTGCCAGCAGATGTAGAATGGTCTCTAGGGGTATCCCACGTAACAAGCCGCACAGAAGTGGAAGAGTATAGCGGTGGTCTAGTCTCGCCTCGCCAAAGAGAACCTATAACGATGATCCAACTTCAAAAGGGGGTTTCTAAACGAGTAGAAAATCTGCCCTCGACCTAGCGCGGTCATCCAAAACAACGCCGAAAATCACAAAAACAATTCTTGAGGCATAAAAAAATATATATAAAGAGCCGTGGTGGCCATGCTGTACCATGCTGTACCGAGCAAACAATATCAACAAACGGTAGAAGGTTTCAAACCTCGTCCAGGTTATCCTCGTAGACTATCTTCGCCTGCTCTCCATCCATTTCTTGGATAGGAAGCTGAGACTCATCTCCAAGCTTCACATGCGAGCCATCTATATCTTCAATAGGGGATTGGGAGTCTCCTTTACCAGTGCCGTCATCTTCGGGACCTTCCCAGTCGTCGTCTGCGGGAGAGTTATCGACCTTGTCCAGGAATTTAAGTCCCTCGGTTGCTTTACCGTTGCAGGCCTTTTCCAAGGCAAGGAAGGCAAAATGACCACCAACGACGGGTCGAGCAAAGAAGTTTGGTCCAGGGAAGCCTCCATCTTCTTCTGTTTTATGAAGATCGGTAAGGGCACGATCGGTGGCCGTCTCATTAACCCATTTGGCGACAGATTGCAGGATTTCGCCTCGAACTGATGGGCTGGAGACAGCCATTGCAAAGAATTCCCAGTCGGTTTTCGCGTATAGATGACGACTGTCAAGTGGGAGGCCGTATTTTTGACGTACGATGCCGTACCACTTCGACTGTTTTTCATAAACTCGTCTTGGGATGAACCCAACTTTCCCAGGTGGCGGGGTGATTGGTTTTTGTTCGTCAAGTTTATGGGTGTGGGTATCATGCTCAGTTCCGTCAAGGTGGAAGCAGAGAAGGGCATCCGCAAACATGTTGTAGAGCGTGGTCCAGGAGCCATACCAATCGTAAGAGAGCTTCGCGTGTGTGCCGTCTCGAGAGAAGCCGAAGCCTTCCCATTTCGTGATATAGGTATCGGAGATGTTCTAAAAAGGATAAATCAGTTTGAGCCGTGTTACCATTCATACAATCTCGGAAGACATACCTTGAAATATTTATAGTCGTCACTCTTTCCTACAAAGTTGGCCATCTCACTCATGGCATTGATGCCGACGATGCCTTTCAGGGCAAGATTTGTTTGGAGGGCCAGCCATCCAGCAAAATCGTCGGTCGAGACTATGAAGAATGGTTAGTAGGCCATGGATATCAGGGAGTAGTTTAGGCTCAGTTCTTACGCTGGTTGTGTGGTTCCAAAGAAAACTCAACAAGATAGCCGGTCCATTGTCTCCATAGTCTATACGACTTGTCAACCCATTTACGAGCCAGGTTTGTGGCGTCTGGTCCAACGCCCCAAACACTGTCGAGCTTGTCAATGCCACCAACGGTCTGAAGATCTCGGAGTGGGAACAATCCCGCATCCGGCTCAGCAGCTCGGGTTTCGAGGGAGCCCGGGTACCACGGTGCGGTGCCCTTGCTGTCCGGTGGGAATCTGAGGGAGTTGACGATGGCCAAACCCATGAGGAGCATGTTACCGCATTCCTCAACAGGCATGTACTCGTCTTTCCCATCAGGATGTCCGGTCATATTCGGGAAGTGTGTGCCCAGGTCGTGCATGGAGTAGTTGTTGGGGTACTGACCACTCAACATGTGCTCGATCAATGGTTCTAGGAGATAGGCCAGCCATCTCGGATTGGTATAGAGGAAGAATGGGAACGAGGGAAAGATAACATCCACGGTTTGACAGTTTCCATTGGAAGAAATTTCCTTGAGGAAAAGGATGGGGTTCTCTGCGGTCCCGGAAAAGGAGGTAGCCCCGAGGACTTGTCTGGCACTGAGGGCAACAATATCCACGTAGTCTTCAGCAGCAGACAATTGCGCATCCCTGGCAAGCTGGTCTGAGTACTTGTAGACAAGAGTCTTGGCCTTGTTGAAATCAAAGAAGTGGAAATAGAGCAGGCTCTTGACATCCGGGAACCAGGATTTCCATAGCGGTTTCATAAGGGTCAATCCACGGGCAGAGGCAAACTGGACCACGGGATCTTGGATATGCGCAATAGTGAAGGTCACCTCGTCGTTGATAATATCCACGTTGGGCTTGTCATCAGTTCCGTTGAGAATGAATGGTTTGGCATAGGCAAAGACGGGCTCGTCGTCCATCACGGTACGGAACCGCTCATCATTCATATTTTGCAAGACACCGGTTCTTGCAAATCTAGTTCTAAGTGTCATTGATGTTCCAGATTCGTATCTCACGCCCTATATAGTATTAGTATTATTGAAGTATGGTCTGCAATGATGAAAGCCTACCTGAGGGGCAAGGAAATGCAGTGATCCCCATTCCGAACGGTCCTGATATTCGGTAAGAAGCTGCTCCGTCTTCTTGCTGACCTGCCACTGGTAGAGAGCTTTCTCCTTTTTGGCGTCAACAATGTTCTCCATCTTCCATACAAGCGCGCTTCCACGGTCCCCCGTGACCCATTCACCATTCATATCCATGTAGATGTTAACATTCATGTTCCCTTCTACGTGCACGGTAACATAAGCAGCGGGGATAGATTGACGCAGCGTCGACGTCGGAGTTATCGGGGACAAGAAGGTGACGGTAATTTTCAGGGACTCCTCAGCCTGGTGTTTACCAGTCGGCTGGATCAGGTAGGTCAGGTTCGTGGACGATGCATCGTACTTGGATCCCAGAAACTGGGCGTAGGATACATTATATCTGTCCCCGTACACCCGTTAGAAACACGAACGAAAGCAGTCAAGAGTAGGTATATCAAGAGATGTATATACCCGTTCTTCGGGTTATTCTCGCCCAGCGAGTCGTGGGGTCTTCCGAGCAACGGATACACATTCCCTGTGCTGGGGACATGGGCCATCAGACTCATGCCCATATGCTGGCCGGCCCAGAAGATAGGCCATGACGACCACGGCTCGTGTCTCGCATCGGCGAGCCAGGTGCTGAGATAGGGGTTCCTGACTATCAGCGGCAGGACGGGGGGAGTGAGCCGTGAAGCTCCGGCGATGGAGGAGGAGACCGCCGCCCACGCGAGCAGGATCCAGGGCAACATGGTGACGGTGACTAGCGGTTCGCCAGGAGGAGAGGAGAGATGTTGTCTGGAGGATCTATCGCAGCGAGCGAGGCGGGGGCAAGGCTATGTATAGTCCATCGCAAGCGCCACGGCGGGCCTTCGGGAGCGAGGACAAGGACGACAAGGAGGAGGAGGAGGAGCGAGCGAGCTTCTGGTCAGGCGGAAGCGTCACTTGCGCCTGCAAACGGTGATCAGCGACATTGACTTTGGCCGTCTCTGGGGTAAGCATCATACCTGGTGATGCGATGTCATGTTGACGATGTCGATGCTGTTGATATATGTTGATACTATACTCAGTACTGTGTCCATGGATGCGATGCTATGTCGATATCAGCGTGGTCGACATCTCTGGCCGACATGGCAGTCGAGATGGCAACACGCTAATGCACGACGTGAGGCCGGAGTTGTGGTGGTTGGCTGTGATATCTCGATCAAACGAAAGTTGTGATCTTGTGCGCTCTGCCGGCCATGCGATATACAGGGACAGCCACGACGATCTACAGACCCTTATTACATAGACTACGGGAGCGGAAGGGAATAATAATGGACGACGTTATATGCCTGTCATGTGGCGCTGTGTGGCACTGTCTCATTGAAGCTGGCTGTTCTATCTACCTTTTGTCCGGTAATCCCACCACACCCTATATCTATCCAGACTTGCCGGTTGGGATGTTGAACAGGATGGCAGGCTGACCATCTTTGGGCTCCTGGTCGAGGATGTAGTAGCCCTTGCGCTCGAACTGGATGCTGTCTCCCTTCCTGAGGTTGGCGAGATTGCAGTCGGCGAGGACGGCGGTCTTGATCTCCGTCTTCGGGTTCAGGAACTGCTCAAAGTCCTCGTCCTTCTCGATCTTGTCCTTGGTGATCAGGTAGTCGAACTCGTAGATGTTCGCAGGGACTAGATCTTGGTCTTTGGACAGCCAGGTGACCTTCTTGTCCGTCTTCTTCACGTCCCCGGCGAGATGGAGCTCGAGGTCGAGGCCGGTGACCTTCCCGCTGGCGTCGGCGGTGATCTTGCGCACGATGGCATTTGCCCAGTTCATCAAGGTGATCTCCTCGTCTTGCTTGAACGATTTGGCGTCCTCCTGCTCGAACAGGATGTCCTTGCTGTAGTACACGGTCTTGCTGCCGAGCTCCGGGTTCTTGGGATGCTTTGGCTTGTCCTGGGTCTCGACGCCGCCGGCACCCGACACAATGCCCGGCACCATGTCCTCCTGCGCGATCGCGGTGTGACGCGGGGAGGTAGGGTCGATGTATTTCCGGTTGTTGGACCAGAAGGTGGTCCAGTCCATGTTGATGATGTTGCGGCTGGGGCCTTGCTTCAAGATGTACTCGCGCAGGGAAGGAATGGTCATACCACGGCGACGGATACCCCTAATGGTGGGCATTCGGGGGTCGTCCCATCCCCAGACCATGCCCTGATCGACAATCTTGGTGAGCTTGCGCTTCGACAGAAGGGTCTTGATGAAGTTGAGGCGCGAGAAGTCCCAGATATGGACACTGCGGATCCCAAGGGTCTTCTGGAACCAGGCGTATTGCGGGTTCCTGTCATTGTACTCATTCGTACGTAGGGCATGGGTGACACCTTCTAGGGAGTCGAGGATAGGGACGCAGAAGTCGTACGTAGGGTACATCTTCCAGGCATCTCCCGTCCGGTGATGGGGGGTCAGGTTGCAGCGGTAGATAACGGGGTCTCGCATGGCCTTGTTGGTGTCGTCGATGGATATCTTTGCACGGATACACCACCTCTGCCCTTCCTCGGACCCAGTCTTCATCTCCTCAAATCGAGCCAAGTTGTCCTCGACGCTCTCGTCTCTGCGCTTGCTGGCAATTCCATTCCATCGCTCAGACTGCATCTGCTCCTTCTCAGTGTCATCGGCATAGGCATTGCCGCTCTTGATGATCTTGATGCAGTCCTCGTACATCTGCTGGAAATAATCACTGGAGAACGAGATCTTGTCGGGGAAGATACCCAACAACGACAAGTCGTAGGTGATGGCATCCACGAATTCCTGGTTCTCATTACTAGGATTGGTGTCGTCGAATCGGCAGATGAGCGTTCCCTTGTATGCCTCATGAGCGAAGTAATCGTTAAGCAGAGCTGCTTTGGCGTGACCGATGTGGAGGTAACCAGATGGCTCTGGGGGGAACCGAGTCACCACGCCTTTGTCCGTGTCTGGAAGACCAATGTTATAGCTGGCACCTGCTGCACTAGCTGCAACCCTCTTCTTCATGGCTCCCGCGGCCACCTCGGCGCCACCCTGTCCAATCCAGGGGTACAGAGCCTCGATGAAGTTGAACCATCTGCCAACGCTGTTGGTCGACCTCTTCACGGCTCCGCTCATAACGCGGTTACCACGGAGAGTGGCCCAAACGACGAGGTCGGCCAGTGTCAAGCCATACCCAACAATGTAAGAACGGAGCGTAAGATGGGCCTCCAGTTCCTTCATTGGCTTGTCCATCGCCTTGAAATCGGTGGCCCTGAATTCGGTAGACCTCTTCAACCACTCGTCGACCTGTTCCTTGTTTCCAGCCTGGAGGACCTCATTATGCTCTCGGAGGTAGGGAATGATATCGTCATCATAGATCAGGGTACCGTCACCGAGCTTGAGTTCTGCCTTTCCCTTGCCGACTGTCTCGGCTTCCTCGTAGACAACAGGCAACTCAATCTTGGCCTCCTGAAGACAATTTGCGATAGCAACAGCCGGGAGAATAGTCTCTCCGGGGGCCTTCAAGGCAACAGTAAGAACGGACATCTGTAATTCCAGTAAAGACTCGTTAGTATTGACCGATAACTGTGTGTGACTGGTGTAGTGGGATCTTTGGAGGGGCAACATCGAGCACCTACACTCGGTATCTTGTCTTGTTCCCTGGCTAGTAAATATCTTTCCAGTGTCTTCAAGCAGTCTCCTATGCGAGAGACCTCTTCTTCAAGTGTTCGATCGTGAGTCGAGTTAGAGTGACTCAAGTGCAGCCTTGAAGATATTTTCTAGTTTGGCGGGGCATGGAAGGGTTTTATTTAGTTATAAAGCGAGGCCAAGCACGAAGCCAAATCTTAGAGCTTCCACGGCCAACGAGAGAATATCCTCGATCTCTCAATTGACCGGACCATTATGAATTGATAGATCGACCAGGTATGAACTGGTTAAGAGAGAAGCATCCGAAGTCCTAGAGAGAACGGAGAAAGCTATCTCCGCGTAGTTAACTAACCATCGCGCCTTATCGATAACTAGATATTAGCAGCTACGCGTTATGCGCTCAACACAAACCACAGCACGCGACTGTTTACCTCAAGTGTCCCTTGGAAGCTCTGGAAACCCGTTGACGGCGTCTTCTTGTTCTAGTATATACTCTTGCTATCCTTAATACCGTCTTTTATTGATCTAGGATAGCCAACTTGAATCCCTTACGCCACGATCGATCTATGCGTTGAACGCGGAGCCTCCAGCGCAACTCACCCTATTTCACGAGCGACTCGCGCGAAGGAGCCTGTTATCCAGCTTATACACGAGCCTACAAACCTGCTTCGTCTCCTAATCCAAGCTCTCGAAGGGCCGATACGCCGCCAGACATGTCCCTAGCTCCCTCCACGCCCGCTCGACCTCGACCTGCTCTCCTCAATAAGACAACAAACGCGCTCTTATCTCCAAGAAAACATAATTCAGAATCGGATATGGGCCCTGGAGACAGCATCAGTAAACACGCTTCTAGCAATAATACCCCGTCGTCACCTACTCAGGTTGTTGGACAGAAGAGGAGTATAGATCAAGTTGAGGTGGAACAAGTCAGGCCGAGCACAGCAACCAGCTCGTTTAATAGCCAGAAGAGGGAGGATGAGTTTTATATCTATGATGATACAACGCCACATTCAAGCATGGATATTGATAAAGAAGTATGCTTGACGGTCTCTAAGAAACATGAGTTATCTGCCAGTTGCTGACAGAACTAGGCAACCTTTTTGCAATATTCTCAGAAAGCGTGTGACGGCCAGGAGAAAGGTGTTGAGAAGGGCTGCTCCCAGGAGAGCACCAGCATGTCTTCTCTCCTTAACCTAAGCTTTGAATCTGAAGGCGGCAACTGCAGCAGTAGCAACATTGCCAGACGAGACTCACCATCTAACTCACCAAACCGTCCACATAAAGTCCCAAGACAGCAAACAACATCTTCCTCCACTATCCCAACAGACCCAGAGGCACGCAGAATATTCATCCAACAGGTAAGCACTGGCTCTTTATCCTTCATACTTGTGGCCTTGGTGGTCTTGTCTTGTTCAACAAAGCTAAGTACTTTCTTAGAAAGCTGGACTGCTTCGAGAAAAGGTCCAAACAGCAATGAAGAACATCAAAGATAGCAGCCAGATCGACCGTCGTCTCATGGAGCTCGAGGCACAAAGCCGTCAGTCGTGGAATGCTTCGTCCCCTCTCAGTCAACATCAAAAAGCCTCGTCGGCGCGTACCGAATCAAGTGTCGACATGACCCCAAAGGCCAAGTTATCCACACCAACAGGCCAGGACAACGGCAAGATGGATATCGATAACGACTCTACCCCAACACAGCAGAAGGTAGCTTTCCAGCCCGAGACTCCTGCGCCTTCTCGCCCAACAGACAGTCAGTCACGGCATGAGGAGACTGCAGACGGCACTGTCATCATTGACCGAGAAGGCGGGTGCGCCGTCGAAAAGATGATGGCCAAGGCAAAGAAGGAAACGGCCGTGGATGGACTCCTGAAACTCATGAAAACCACGACTGAGTATGATGGGTTGGATGAATGGAGCGGATGATAATGGTCCTAGGGGAGGAAGGTTTGTAGAAAACGTGTACTTTTAATCGATAATAACCATACGGCGGAGTCAACTATACCATACTCGAATCAAAGATGAATGCTTTCTATCACAACTTGTCGATGAAAATCTGCACCATAAAATTGTCAAGTATGGGCTTGTAGACCCACCGATAACCTCGTCCATATCACATTTCTGCAAGGTTTAGTAGCGTCGACACAAAACATCGCGAGCCACGAATATTATCCTTTCTCAAATATATCATCCCAGGACACAGATATATAGCAGAAAAAGCGATGAACTGTCTTTCTTTATTCGATCCCATCTGTGATACTCGAATACTTGGGCTAGGCTCCTTATACCCTTATAGCAAGCCGATAAAACGGCCACTCGAGATACCCTTTGATTAAATTCAAATAAATGCCGTTTGTCCGACTGTTTGCTAACAATCGCTTCTTTTACTGTTGCTTGTTACCGAGTGTTTCAAGTAATCTGGCCTACTAGCAAATTTAGTGGCTCTCCATTTACTTATTGTGCTTTTTGTTCAAGGGAAAAGCCATAGATAAGCTTGGAAATCGAGTGATGAATACCATTTCCAAGTAGCTACAAAATACAGTCAAGTCATCTGGCTTTGTTATTTATTATTGAATGTTATATCAATCTTTGAAAGAAAACTGCATGATACAAAGACATACATACTGTGTTGAACTTCACTATGAGGAATGTCAAACTCAAGGAAACTTCCGCCAGCAGTGGCTCTAGGGGCATATTCATAGATGATGGTGGTTTAAGGAAGTGACGCATTTCATATATACCAAGTCACTCACTATATTGCCTTCGACAATATAAAAGTTATATCCAGCCCTTGAACTTCTTGTCTCTTTGGCACCCTTTCTTACTTATCAAACATTCTTTGCAAAAGTTCCAAGCTTGCCCTACAACATACAAGACGCTTAACCACTCCGCGTACCCTTTCTAGAGTAAGGTAGTAAGAGGAAATGGGGAGACTCAGTGCTGCTCAACTTCGCAGGTAAGATCATCTTGCCCTTTGTTCTGTTCTATGGCTCTAATATCTATAGCCTCTGCAATGGGCCAAGGGTCAAGCTCATGCATGCCATCAACCCGAAGGAAGCTCCTCAGGTTCTCTTTGACGCTATTCCAAAGAACATGGTAACCTATTTCTCTGCCGTGCTGAAGGATTGCTTCCCGTCCAAAGATACAGGGCATGCAAACCGCCCAGGATGTGATGGTAAGGAAATAGCCACAGTATACGGTGGTCTGAAGCAGGCCTTCATCATCGTCTTTGACTGGATGGTCAAATCCTGTGAAGGTCGCGGCCTGATCTGGATTGAACGGATGAACTATACCAAATACGCTCGGATTTTCGAAGCTGCTAAGCTCCTCGATGTTGAACTGGTTTACAATGACATGCTCGCTCGCATGAACAAGATGGCCAATACTCAGATTCGTGTTGAAGAAGTGCGGAAGATCTATCAGTCCTTCCCCAAGAATTCCGAGCCGCGTCAGATTGTTATCCGCAGCATTGGTGATGCGGTGTTCGACCGACGTTTACGTGCTTGGGCCTTATACAAGGAGTTCAAAATCGAATGTCGTGAATATGACGATGACATATATGAGTATGTTCAAAGTAAACATCGTGTCATTGCAGAAGAAAGGAAGCAACGGCAGGTGAGAAACCGGGGGAACATGAGACGAGCCGGTCAAAGCCAGCCACAGCAAGATAAAGAGGTGGAAAATACACCGGACCCGAAAGCAGAAGATCAAGTAGTGACCAAGAAGGTTACCGGAGTAGTATCTCGCAAGGGGAAAGGGGGCCATCCAAGCTACGTCAAAATCACACTGGATAAGTTTGGTGTTGATAACGCAGACTACCGCTCTCACCAGTGGTAGCTGTCCATCCTCATAGATACCTCAGCTTTCTTCCTAAAAGCTCATCGGGGATTTGTTATAGGAAACGGCGAAGTATTAGTATGAGAGCTAGAGCCGATCTTAGCTGAAGGTCTTCCGTATTCACAATTTATATTTATCAAATCATCTTCCACCGGTATTGTTTATCATTTTGGGCTGCACATGGCCTTATAGCCTGAATTATTTTCAGGATGGCTACTAGATAATAAGGTCTTGTAGTAGGGGGTATAGGTTTATTCCAAACAATCACTCCTGCAGCATGGTGCTTTATCATATAACCATAGAGGTAATAGCCTAGGTAATCTGCTGCGTTTTGCTCTCCTATCAAACGGTAACAGATTGTGTTTGTCCATCAACTCTCAAGTCCAGCTAGTTGCGTTCTATTAAGAGTGTTCACAATAAGCAAACGTTCAATAACAATAGGCTTGTCAACAACCAAACCACACTAGGTCTTTGATAGCGTTATTGAAATAAAGAACAAATGGACTAGCACAAGGTATAGTTATTTGTTATTGAGCTGCATTGAGCAGAACAAGGACATGCCTGAAAGCAACACAGCCTCAATATTAAAGGTCAAGCAGGATATAATAGAACAGAGAAGTGATATTTTTGTGTTAGTGAATATATCACCCCGTCAGGATATAAAAATCTCCTTTCCTTTCTTCTTAGTCTCCTCCACACCCTCTCTGCCGATATCTTTTTACCTCATCTCCTCTTTTGAGCGTATCATATCATATCGTATCATATCCTATACAGATACATCCCTCCATTCAAATCCACAAAGGCCGATTTAACCACATCTACTTTCCTCGAAGAGGGTATCTAACCCCTCATATTCTTTCTCAAAGAGGAAGAAAAAATGGCCCCTAGAAAGGCCAAAGCCGCGAAAAAGGCCACGGCGGTAAAGCCCAAAGTGGTGAAGCCAAAGGAGGTGAAGGCCAAAGTGGTAAAGGCCAAGGAGGTGAAACCCAAGGTGGTGAAGGCACCAGAGCCCAGCATACAAGCTGGAGCAGAAACAGAGACGGCTGAGGTGAAAGCCGTAGCACATCCACGAAAAGGTATTGTTGTTATCCCTTCCCTCCTCCCGAGTACTTCCAGCTATAAAGGTATTATCATATATAGCTTCAAGCTGACATCTATGCAACTGATAGTGGGATGCTTGATGTTGCTTGTCGGCGACTATGAAGATAAGGGAGAGGACATTGACTACTGGCGCGTACGCCTAGGTTGGTCAGGGGAGGAGAAGCCGTAAGTGATATACGTCCTTCTTCCCTCATATCATATTATATTCCGTTGCTAATAGGATATTGTGTTCATAGCCGTAAGGTTTACTACCGCTACGAGGCAGTTGGAGATCCCACACAAACTGGGGACGACGGGCAGGTCCCTGAACTCCGGTTTGTGTGGCTGTTTGAAACAGGAGAATGGGCAGACAAGGGGGCGATAATGAGAGAAAGGGCGCTGAAGGCGCAGAAGGAGGAAGAAGAACGGCAGGCAGCTATTGATGCCGCCGAAGAAGGCGAAAAATTGGGGCGTGGAGCCCGTCGAGGAAGAGCCGCTCGTGCTGCGCCTGATGTTACTCCTGGCGCTGGTCGCCAGGATAGCAAAGGGACGACTGTCGAAGGATTGGTGGAAGGGGAAGATAGTGCTAGTCACTCTCCCCCTGAGACTGTCGTGAAGGGGAGGAGAAAGGGTAAGACGCCTGCGGTAGCGAAGCCACGCTCGAAGCGAAAAAGGGGAGGAGACGATGATAACGAGCCGGCTGGACCGGCTAAAAAGCGAGCGACTAGGAAAGCCCGGGCATGAGCTGGGGATGTTGTATTCTGTCGCTTTGTATCAATCAAGCACAACCGAGGGAAGGGTGTTTATATGGAGCTGGAAGGACGCTCAGAATAGGTATCCAAAAAGAAGTCGGCTGCGTTGCTGCTTATCCAAAGATTATATCTCCATTCTAACGGACCTTTTTCAACTTCCTAACCCTACGGCCTAATACATCTCTTCCTTCGTCAATCTCGCCCATCGCTTCTCGTTTCGTCGAGCCAACTTCTTTCAAAACCGTACTCTTCACAATTCGAGATTCTAGGTTCACCCCTGGCTCTTCCCATGCTGTCATTTGTTTCCCTACCCGAGACTCGATCGCTAGAATCAGCTGGACATCTCTTTGTCCAACAAGAGTTATGGCTTCACCCTCTCGCCCGGCTCGAGCAGTACGACCAACCCGATGAATATAATCATCGGGATTCCTGGGAACATCATAGTTGATGACTAGCCCAACAGAAGGGATATCTAAACCACGAGCAGCTACATCGGTTGCGACGAGCAGCCTAGCCGCGGAGGCACGGAAACGGGAAAGATTAGCTGTCCGCTCAGACTGAGGTAGCAGACTGTGAAGTGAAGTGACTCTATGTGACAGCCGACGGAGCATACGCTCCAAGAGGTCAGCAGTCTTGGTTCGGTTGCAGAAGATGATGGTGGGTTTCGAAGAATTTCGCTCTGTAGATAGGAGAACGTGTAGAAACGCCTCACGGTGGTTGAGCGGTACTTGAAGATAACTTTGCTTTAGTGTCGGGGGTATTGTTGTATTTTCCGTCGAGATTTCAGTCACAAAAATTGGAGGTCGGTTCTTTGCACGAGGCATTGATTTTAATGCCCGTACTTCAGGGGTTACGGTTGCCGTAAACAGGAGAGTCTGACGATCTGTTGATGGTGGAAGCGCAGACAAACATGTCTCCACGTCAGGAAGCATACTTCCTGGTCCACTCACAAGAAGGCGATCTGCTTCATCAAGAACTACCATGCGGACGCGCTTGAGTCCAACGATAGTATCTTCTCCGGATGTCTTAATATGATCCGCTAGTCGACCTGGCGTTGCAATCACAATGTGAGGCCGTTGGGCCAGTCCAAGCGCCTGAGGGCGCATATCGCTTCCACCAGTAATTAGAATCGGTTTAAGGGACTGTGGTGCTGAAATAGCTCTAATTTGTTCAAAAATCTGAAGCGCAAGTTCTCTATATCGGGGTTCAATTGTATTAGCGTCCAAATTATCCCGAAATGAGTATATTTCGTCTAAAACAAATAGCCGTACCTTGTTGGAGTTAATACAACAGCAAAAATCCCAAATGGATCCTGGGACCATTTATGAAGTATTGGAGCAGCGAATGCAACCGTTTTTCCAGAACCGGTTCTACTTCCACCAATACAGTCCCTCCCTTGGATTATTTCTGGTATGCAGCTTTTCTGAATTGCCGTTGGTCTTTTGATTTCCATAGCTTTCAATGAGCTAACCAGCCACGGAGCAAGGCCTAAAGAAGCAAATGAGGAGTCTGCCGATTGAAGTCCCATTGCAAATGCATCATTGGCTGTGACGGGATCAGCCAGGGATGCGCTCTCCTCCTGTTCCGCACTCTTCACATCTTTCTTTTTAATTCGTGACTGCGTCTGTATAGGGAAATGTGTCGAGGGAGGAATTATCGGGGTATCCTCAGAGGAATCAGAGAGCCGTCTTCTCTTTTGGGGCCTTTCATCTAGTACAGCTTGCTCTACGTCATCTTGTGCAATAGACGACGAATCAGAGCGTGATTCTTCTGAATCTGACGCTATACTAAGTGTACCGGCCATTTCCACGTAGTTTTATTCAAGCCTTCCTAGAAGTTATGGCTGCGCATTGTTTTTCTCTTGTTCCACTTCGTCGTTGAATCTTATCAAAGAAATCACGGCAGAAAATAATTTTTGGTCGAAGGCGGTGAGTCTACTCTGTTTGTATATTTTGCTTTGTTTACACAGTTTGCATCTACTTTTTGTTGCTTATAAATTGACTTCCGGTGTTATATTAATACCCGCCGATGATCATGTGATACTTAATCATATATTAGTCATCCGTGATAGGATAAATGTAAAGCCGTTTCCGACGGTATCTAAGAAGGGGAGTTGATGTAAAAAGGCCAACAACAATCGATAATCCGTCCGTATAAACGGCAAAGAACAAAGCTCATCTATCCGTCCGACTCCTTCTCCTCATAGAGTTTCTCGATTGAAGTTCATGTAACTCCCCGTTCTCCAAACGGTCCGCCAAAACTCCACCCTCCACGACGGCAACCCCAGATTGATTGTGGGACATATGTGCATCACCAAACACTCCAGAAGAATGAGTCTGTGCTTCATGTTGGCCGTGCCCATATGTCCCACCGACGCTTTCCATGGTAAACGGGCTTGCGGTAGGGGCATCGAGTATAGATAGTTCGCTCGGAGTAAACCAGTTTGGAAGCACGAACGATCTGATCGGAATAAGTAAAAGAATGAAGACAGGGAACCCAATGGCTGCAATAGTTTGTGTGATTGCGAAGGTAGCTCCAAATCCTAGCAACTCGATTGAAACAAATGCCCAAATTGCCTTTCTTCGTTCGATTCTTAGAAGTGGGTTCGATGGTGAAGTCAACTCCTTGTCTTGCAATAAAAACTTCACCTTCTGCGTCACTCCGTTTCCTAGCAGGGCTTGTATTCCCATGATGAAGAAAAGGCCTGCCATTACCCCTTGAGGGATCAAATGTAGGACGACAAGGAGTGGGCCACTCATTGTTCCAAGAGTAAGAAGGCCCTGGGCCAGGTTACTGACTCGCTGTTCAACAACATGGTCGATGATACGGACAGACTTTCCCTTATGGGCCTCATCCTCATCCGCTATCTGGCGAGTTACGCAAAGTGAAGCAGTGTGAAATGGTGCCTGAGGAATTAGGCCATTGGGGAAGGGAATCCCTAGGATTCCTGCTATTCCTGTAGTCAGTCCGAGCAAGAATATATCCCAATGGAAGCCTGCGGGCTTGCGGAGTGGAAACTCGGTTCCCTGTGCGATCAACGCCGATACTATGAGGAGCATTAGCAACCTAATAAGAAAAGTAGTAAAAATAGGGAGCATGAACCGTTATGATCAAAATAAAATAGGATTGTCAAGAGGATTGCAAATGGAATGGCGAGAAATATATCGCCAACACCAATATCCCAAAAGTGCACTAACCAACCACGATCCGTAGTTGGGAAGAATGCTTTAGAGGTGGGCAGTGTTTCGATGTGAACACCCTTCATTTGGCCGATATGAACGAACCCAGTGAAGAAAATGATGCTGAGAGGGGTGCCATAATCTTCGATGAACTTTCGAGTATGGCGGTTGAAGAAATTGCTTTCCCCGATGACGCCGCAGATAAAGCAAGACATAAAGACGAGTAGAGAAACCGTGATGGAGAGATAGGCGGAGGTTTCGCCGGCCATTCCCCATTGTCTAGTAAGAACTTGGATACCCTTCTGGATATAGATAAATGCGACATAGAATCCAAATATGTCGCAAGAAAACCTTGTAACGAAGGTCAGTCCATTACAAGAGTTTGTAATAGCAAGAACCCAATGCATCACGAGTGACCAGCTAGAACAGCTCATCAGCAAAAGACCGCACTCTGAAGTTAGATGAAGCGTCCATACATTCCAATCCAGCACATAAAAGCCAAGTAATTCGTTCCTCTAGGTGCCATGATATCATAAACCGTATAATTAAAAACGGTGATGGGGCCTATATTCATTTATCAGCCAACCGATATCGACTGTAGCATAGGATTGGCACAAACCTGTTACACCAACAATAACTAATGGTTGTCCAGCTAGGAAAGAAAACACAACGGCACCTAGAACTGACGCCAGAAGCACCTCGTTGACACCGTAGCTCATATGAGTTTTTTCAAACATATCAAGTGAGAAAGCAAGAGCTGGTAGAATACTATATTTCACCATGTAAGTGTTTCTTCTTAACGGCAATAGAGACCCCTTCAAACAACGCTCTCAGGACTTCTTGTTAACATGTTCGAAGGGAAGAGAAAAGCTGCATCGTCTGGATCATACTTTGCAAAGTACATGTATACCGTCGCTGGGACGACACGATAATCCCAAGCATCTTTCCAATCGCTCCAATAATACGGCGCTCGCCTCTTGATATCGTTCTTCATGCCGTGAAAGAAGCGGATCTTCCACCATTTCGATTCTGTAGCCGCGGCGTTCATTGATGCCGTCGACGCCTCGCCGGCCGAACGCCCTGATATCGAGGCTCTCGACATGTTCTCTGCGGTAGCTCGCGAAGGGTGTTTCTGTACACTAAGCTGCGATCCAGGCTATGCTCGAGCTGAGAGAAATGGCGCCCTTTATGTAGCTGTTGACTCACGGGCTATGCCATGCCCTCTGCGAATGGGAGGCAGAGGAAGCGCATGAAGAACGAAGATTTGGTCCGCGGAAGATGGCAAAACCCCAACGCATGCCGAGAAAAGTCGGACGCCAAAACGGCTGCCAAAGGGAAACCGGTTCTACGTCGTAAAACGCATAAATGAGTAGCACATAAAGATAGTCATGTTGATGACATAGACTCGAGTCAGTTGTTCAATTACATGGCCGTTTAAAATATAAACGCCACCCTCACACCGAAATTCATGTGGCTAACTATGATGATGATACATCAGCTACAGAGCTAAGCCCAGCCAAATTACTAAGTCCAATGGATCAGTTATTCTCCTCGAATATGTTGAACAAGGCAATCGAACAAAAGAATACCAATTTCAATTTCCCTTAAAACTACACAATAGTATATTCAATTAGTACAATAAACGAAGCTTATGAGAGAGTAGTGATGTTAACACGATTTTCTCCTCTTATCACACAGGATTGCCTAGAGGCTGTTAGTAGTAACGAATCCGAATGGAACGAAAATACATGGTTAGTAGTTAGTAAACGCAATACTCCCAAGGAAACGTTCAATTGAATCAAGCTGTCAAGCGACATCACGCCGACGGCGGGGGCGGCGGTGGAGGCTGTTCACTTGGAGGCTAGTAGAAATTGTTAGTCCAGTTCGATGTGTATATGAAGCCGGGAGAACGTACAGGAGGGGGTGGGCCATCGGCTGGCGGTGGAGGAGGTGGTGGAGCACCGGGGTATCCAGCGAACATAGATCCCATTCCAGGTGGTGGAGGTGGGATACCACTCAACCCAGGAGGTGCACCCATGGCCTGATTTGGCGGGAATTGATATCCGCCATAACCATAAGCAGGCTGTCCCATCGGTGGTGCTTGGGGTGCGGCCTGTTGCCAAGGTGGAGGGCCGCCGGCGGGAGGGGCAGGGTTATAGGAGTCACGGCCATGATAGCCGTGATGGTCACGGTTGTCTCGATCACCTCTATCCCCACGGCCACCAGCTGCCCACGGTGGTGGCGCATTTTGATCCTGATGTCCATGGTCGTCGCGAGATCTCTCCTCTCGTCGCTGCCATGGAGGGGTGTTGCTGGCAGGCTCGCGCTGTTGCCATGGTTTTGCGTCATCACCGCCGTAGTTGTTACCCTGGCCGTAGCCTCCGGCGCCGCCTTCGATGCGTCGTGGCGCTTCGCCATTAGGCAGAGGAGCATTACCAGAGAGTTCTTGCATAAGTTGCTAAGGAGAAATATTAGTAAAAGTTTGGTTTAAGAAAAAGAAGGGATGGAACAAAAGCTTACCTCCATCTCTCGGTCAACTGCATCTCCACCCCCAACGGCTTTACCACGAACACTGGGTCCATGGTTACGCCAATCGGTACCACGTTGACGGTCTGGACAATCTTTGGCCATGTGCCCTGCATTTCCACAAACGCGACAGATGATGTTCGCAGTGAAGTTGCGTTGTTCTGGGCAATCGTATTTGCGATGACCAATTTGACCACCTATATAGTAGAAAATGTTAGTTATCAATAAAATAGATAATGGCAATGCGTACGGGTAGTAAGTCACTTACAATTTTGACAAGCTTGGTTCTCGTCGTCACGTAGGGTTCCGTTGAGGGCAGCGAGCTCACGCAATTGGTTCCTCTTCAGTTCGTTTTGCCCTTCAGGAATGGAAGCCGCCTAGTTTGATATGTTAGTTTGTTCGATATAATAGCAAAAATGGTACGTTAAGGGAAAGAATGAGGGACATACCGTTTCGATAACGTTGTGAATAAGCTTCTTCGCCTTGTTTACCTTATCTTCCGTATCTGCCATAATTAGACAATGAAGATCTTCTTCCTGGTTGCTAGAGTGAGCGGCGTCAGATCGTCCTTTTCCTTCCTTGACGGAGCCTTTTCCGCGAATGGCAATTTTTGCTCCGGATTCTGTCTCCATTTTCTTTAGGGTGTTGCCACGAGGCCCGATAAGTAAGCCAACTTTTAATCACAAGTGAGGCTCAGTGTTAGTATTTGAAGTCTTTATAAGTAGTGTGCGGGAAGGATTAGTAGTAACTGGGTTAGTATGTAGAGGGGAAGAGAAATAAGAAAAGCCATCAGAATGATGACGAGTTGAAGAAAGAAATGAAAGTATGCAAAGAAATAACAGGTCGAGAAATTCTCGAGCCTGGAACAATAACGAAAAAAAGAGCAGACGGTTAGGAGTTAGAGGGTTAGTTATCATACTGAAGTTAATCTCTGGATAGTCATTAACAGGGACGTAGACCTTCTCCTGGGTCTTGGTCGGACGCCTGTAGTCAGATGGTGGATGATAGTTAGGGATAACTTTGACAGCTTTTTCAATAAGCTTATGGCGTTCATCTTCCAAGCGTTTGCGGTAACGGTTCTCTCTGGTGTTTACACGTTTACCAAGGTTATCGTATTGGGGTGCCGGTGAGGGAGACCTATGATGAGAAACAGTGTTAGTCAACTGATGGAGGAAATATAGGGTATGGGGGCCTGATATCACTCACCTATCTCCATCAGCGGGGACAACATCGTTGATACGAAGCTTCTGGCTGATCTCTTCAATACGTAGATGGAGAGTGTAAGCTTCGAGCTGTTCGTTCGTCATATTCGCCATGATAAGAGTCGGAAGACCCATCAGGCCAGCAGCCTTGTTCTCTTGGGCATCACCCCAGCGATTACGCTTCTTTCGTTTTTTGATCCCATCGACAGGAGGTTCAGCTATACATCGACTCGTTAGTGGGCATGCTTCAGTGATAGCGACAAAACTGCAGGTGAACTTACCTCTCACTGGACTCCTGCCTCGCTTGCTTCCAGCATCCATGGGAGCCGGAGTTGATGCAGAGCTCCCATCGTCTCCTGATTCATCACCGAACCTGCGGCGGCCAAGTGGAATATTGTTAGATCCGGTAATACCTTGATTACGCCACGCCATGATGATTGCTGACACTGATATTTGCAGTCTAGTTAAGAGTGAAATAAGATGATTTATCAGTCGTGGCAAGGTAAGAGGCGAGATATCTTCTTGCTCCTCGAGAGCTCGAAGGGAAAAGTTACAGCATGATTATGTCACTGTCACGTGAGATATCCTGGCCAGGGCTGAGGTATCCCAATTAGGAAATATAGCTTAGTCATTGCAAGTATCACCTGACCCAAATATCTTCGTTAAAGTGTATGACATCATATGGATATTTTGAAGTCGGAGCAGATATTTTGCATTTTGAATAATAACAAAAGTCAAGCAATCCATCTCAAATTAATTAAAAAAACATCTGATCAGCCTATTTCTGTGCATTACTCTTCATACCTGCCTGAACCCACTGTCTGCTCTTAGCTGCTTCTCTCTCTATCGCCTCCTTATCCTTCATCAGCTCCTTAATGGTATGAGGCTTAGGAACATGTCGACCCTTCTCGACAGCCTCCCTCTTTAACATCCTCTCCTCCCATGCCTTCACGTGTGGGAAGTCATTAATCTCAATCCCAGCCCATCCAGCACTGGCCACCCATCCCCAGTGCGAGATATCAGCGATGGTAATGTGATCTCCAACCAAGTAGCCAGATTTAGACTGGGAAAGTTGTTTGTCTAGGACTCCGTAGAGACGACGGGTTTCGTTCTGGTATCGGTTGACGCCATATTCAATGCGCTCGGGAGCGTAACGCGTGAAGTGGTTTGCTTGACCTTGCATTGGGCCGAGCTATTCCAGATATCAGCCACATGGACCGGTGTGATCGAAGAGTGTTAAGATGTAACTTACGCCCGCATTCTGGAAGAATAACCAGCTGCTCACTTCGTATGCTTCCCTGGTTCCCTTGGGATAAGAGATCTTATGTTCCGTATCATATCGATCAACTAGGTACTCTAGGATACTTCCAGATTCAAAAATGGCTATTTTCTTGCCGTCGGTAAATGTGTCTGTGATGGCTGGAATGCGGCCGTTGGGGTTTATTTCGAGGAACCAGGGTTCCTTTTGGGCGTTTGTGCTAAGCTCGATGGCTTCAACTTTATAAGGGAGGCTATGTTGCGCCGAGTTAGTTATTTTTTCATGGGCATACCGCGTGCTGTGGGCTCACCCTAGTTCTTCCAAGGCAATTGAAATTTTAATTCCATTGGGAGTTTGTGAGGTATAGAGGGTGATATCTGGAGTGGGAGCTGCCATTGTTATGGTATTCAGGGATGGAGAGGTAAGATATTGTAGATGTTTGGTGAATTGTCCTAGGCGCTTGAGCATTTAGTATCAGGGATTGAAATCGAAAAACCAAGTCTGAGGACGGAAAGAGAGTCGAGCTAGGTATATATATAGAATTGTAAACATGGCCCCTCGTCCGTATTTATGGCCGAACGGAGGCGGGGCAGCTTCCAGGCTTATAAATACGACAATGAATGGCGCGAGATTTATAATCACTAAACTCCCTTTCGCTGTCTATAAACCCCGCCATAGATACCACGTCAAGTAGTGCGATTGCATCACCAGAGCCAGAGCCAGAGTCAGAGCCGGGAGTTTTCCGGGTGGTGAATGTGGTCGATACCTGGAAGTAAAGAGCAGCGCCAAGGGCCGGATTTACCGGAGGAGAAAACAACGAAGAAGCTTAAACGATAAATCGACCATCCATTAGTCAACGTGCAAGCGATCACAGACAGGCCTATTGAGATGGTGCATGAGATAGTACAAGGAACAGAAGCCGTCCTGCATCTGTAGGGACATTCAACACCGCTGCTAGCATCTCCAAGCTAAATCGAATAATACATATGTGCATAGGGAATAAAATGTATATGTGGGTAAGTATATAGACAAGGAAGGAAGAAGAAGGGAAGAATGAAAGAGTGTGAGAGAAAGAATCTGGCCTCTGAAGCAAACGCATAATGATCGCAAGTAATGAATGTGTTTTCCGTAGACCTCCGTAACCGAAACCCATGAGTACGCCTCGCTCCTAGCCCCCATACCGAAGAATAGCCATAAACCGTGAAATAATAGAGAACACCAGGCAAAGACGATGGTCGATGTGCGAAACCCTAGACAGCCCGGTCTACCAGGTGAAGCACTCCTCGATAAAATCGACATGCGTTGGCGTCTGTCGTTGTCGACACGCAAATCGGATCTCGTCGCTTAAACTGCCTGTTCCGCACACCATCACACCCATCGCTCCAACCTGTTTCTCAATTTCTCCATCAAGGATGGTGCCGATGTTAGGCTTTCCGGGGAACATCTGGACCGTCGTGCTGGGGCTGTGAATTTCCTTGGTGTTACGTGGTCGAGTGATGAAGAGCATGATTCGAAGGACATCGCGTCTTCGGTGCATTGCCAGTATGCTGGTCATCCACGGCCGGATCCATTCCAGATGCTCTGGCGATTGTATGGTCCAGACAAGAGTAAGGCGTCGGGTGGCTACTGTCCCGTCCGCGAAGCCGGCGACGAGATGTCGTACATAGGAAACATGGTGTGTGATGCCTACACCCGCAGCAAATAGAACAACCGAGCCGTAGGAATCGAGAACATGTTCGGCGCCGTATGGTCCTTCTACAAGGGCAGAGAGAGTGACGCTCGTGGCGCCATTCTTTGTAGCCTTCTCGTATAGCTTATTCGTCATTCCGGTTCTTCGACGGACGACGAGGGAGATCGTGGGCCGTTGTAGGCCGAGTATATCTTGTCGGGTCGAGACGAGGCCTTTCTCATCTGAGTCGCTTTCCTCCACGTCGCTCCATGCGGCCGTGAACGGGTGAGATGTCCACCAACCAACGGATGGGATGTATAGGTATAGATGCTGGCCAGGTCTAAAGGTCCATGGCCGTGCAATTCTCAAGGTGACGCGCATCGCTTCGCCGGGAAGAGCTTCTATCGTTGCAGTCGTACTTCCCCGCAGGTAGTTTCTATAGATGAGGGTGACGATACGCCAAGATCTCTGTGTGGTTGAGTTAGCACAAGATATCATGAGAGAAAAAGGTGGGGTTTTTAAGGGATTGAGGCCGCTTACCTCGAAAGCCCATAGTAAAATAGCGACGAGTATGTATTTCAGCTGGGAGTAGCCAACCAAGTGCATCCATAGGAACGTGAGAAAGACCACGACAAGGGCAATATGGAAATGAAGGAACGTCTCATAGAACGCGTGGCGCAGTACTGAGAAAGAATGAAGAGCAAGGACAACGACGCAGGCAGTCGCCTATATTGATCACGTTAGCGTTTGTGGAAGATAGCAGACTCAAGAGACTGGTACTCACCACAATGCCAGTTAATATCAAACTGCTGGAGCCAAATGACTCCATTAGCGCAGCCCAGCCATCTATTATGTATTCGATTAGAAGTCTATTTCAACAGGTGTTGACAGGGGGGGACTATACCAGTATGGACCTTGCCTACCATCCAGCAGGAGGTATGTGCAATCGACTCAAGAACTACAATTCGACCAAGCCAGCGGTGAAGGAGGTTCCATGTGTCGAAGGAGACGTCGAGTAGCTTGATCAAGGGATTATTTCGGCCAGCCATAAGAACTAAAGGAATGAGGTTGACAACTGCCATCGTGCCAGTCCGTTTGCGTATGGAAGGAAGAAACTCCTGCTCAGGTTTCGAGAAGGGGAGGTTATAACAACATAAAAACGCATTGCTCCCGACAACCATTAGGAGAAGCACGGTGTGGAAGCGAGTAGGGAGTGTCCCCATGTTCAATGCAGTAGACAGGCGGTATTCGCGATTGTGCCGTTTCCAGAACAGAGGAGCGTACATGACATGGCGCTTCATCCATGCCCAGAAGCTATGTGCGGCAACGAAATATCGTTGAGTATCATTTGAGAGACTTGTTAGGCGTCGTATGTGTGCGGACATGCGAATAACGGCGGACCAGATGAGGATGACGGCAAAGACGCTGCCTCCGGATAAGATGTAATATCGAGCAACCTTATCGTCGTACACCTCCTGTGGTTGCATTATATACGGCCCTTCCTCACGATGTGACGATTCCTTGTCGTATGCAGCAGCAATGCCTGATAGCAGGGCCGCAAGAAGAAGATGTGACCTCATGGCGAGGTGTGTTCAATTGGAAATGAGGGTCAATTGGAAACGAGAGTATAGTGTTGGACCCGGCGCACCCGGGATAAGTGTTCAGCGACGCAGACGCGGTAAATATAGAATGAGCGTTAAGAGAATGAGTGAGGGAACGGCTGTATGTAGCTGTTGACGATGCCTTCCGGTGGGAATAAAGAATGATCCCTGACAGATGGAAGATATCAGGTGTTTAAGAGTCTCGATCTGCACAGCAAGTCGATGGCCTCTACTTCGGCGGGAAAGACAGGCAGATAAAAGAGTGAAATAAGACCGGTGTCTCAAGGAATGACGGGACCACAGGCCAGATACAGGCTCTAGTCGTTTAATTGGGCCCTTTCGAGGTTCGGTTTGTTGTTGTTTGAAATCGTTAGGGGGGAAGTGATATTGAAAAAGGCACAGCCTCTAGAGCGAGCGTGAGGGAGACAAGTCCAAACCACCGTGCGCGAATGCAACCAATGGGCCCTGGAAGCTCATTTAGTCCGATCACTCGTCGCACAGGTGAGCAGGGAACAAGGGGGAGGGAGGGAGGAGAGGGCCTTTTTGGATATGCGAAGATGAGCATCAAATGTAGGAGACGGCTTTTACTTCGCTGACTCGGGCGGATTAAAGTGTCGAGCGAAACCTCCTACGGCCCGCGAGTAAGTACCGGGGCATGCCTCTTAGTGCCATATGCTTGTATCCTGCAAGTCACTTTTGAGCCGAAGACGCGGGTATAAGATACCTGCGAGGAACATGTCGGACCATGCAGGAACATGCAAGGTACGCCGTCGATCCTGCAGCCACCGACCAGTGTTAGTTTGCCTCAAGTCATGGCAGAGGAGCCACGAAAAGCTAGAGACAAGAGGACAGGCGAATGAGGAGGAGAAGAAGTCTTCAACGCCCATGGATGCGCGGTCATGGCTCCCTACTAGTCGCTGCTCAATCCCTGAACCTGAAACCGACCTAGGATGCTAGTTCGTCCCTGGGGCGTTCCCAAGGGCAGGACCTCGGTGCTAATCTTGACGGCGAAAGTCCAGTTAAGGATTTCAACGCACTCCACATATACGGAGAATACACTTACGGAGGCACTCTACCGGCCTGCTGGAGATATGGAAGGGATCAGGAAGACGTCCAGCGGTCTAGACGTGAGCGAGTTTGGAGCAGATATCTTTCTTCCGCGCGGGGGGGAGTCCTGCTCGAGGGATTACCAGGCCCCTGTTTCAAGGGATACAACAACCTCCTTTGCCTTTGGAAAGGCGAAAGTCAAGGTCAAGAGGAGTATCGTCTGCCGGCGCCTATTACGAAACTTCGCATGGATGAGCTGTCTGGCCAGGAGTCCGTAGGACGTTGGCTCGTCCATGGCTCACGGCTTCTCCCATTCTGGCCGATATACGGAGTAGATGGAGCCGGGTGGGCTGGTCTGACCAATATTACACAAATATCATCCTTCTATATCAGATATCACATACCCGTCACTGGAGTCTAACGTGTCCCGTGTGACCTGTCATGAGTGCATGCAATGTGTCTCCGTGTGTAAGTACGCATACTCGTATATCGTTCGTCTTCTGTAACAAGGATATGTCTCTGCTCTGCCTAGAAGGCCGAATGCTTGATTCCGGTACCATCTGCCATGCGGCCATGGCATGAATTTCAAGCTTTCATCTAGAGAATCAAGCTTGTCCCCCCGTTGCATAATTCAGAGCTATCCCTGGCTTTATCATAGCCGCATATAACGATAGTTCGCCCTGACCATCACGATATCATGACGAAACCCAATTCACTCACGGCGGTGGAAACAAAAGCTAATCGTCGAACCAGAGGATGTCGGACTCCGTAGACCTAAGTGTCCGCTGAAACGAGCGCATAAGTCGAGACTCTGACGAACCCACATCAGCCATCAAAAGGTCCATGGACACCGGTGATATCGGTCTAATCCGACCTGGTATTTGCCTTTTTGTCCCTATCCACATGTTTTTTTTGGTAGAAGCAATATGGATATGTGTTCTGGGCATTGGATGGATTCCTACCCCGCAAACTTTCTTGGTATCGAAGATGGGTTGAGGTCTGTGTTTAGTGATAGAATGGCTGATATCTGATGCAGAGCTAGGCCTGGCACTTATTTAGTCGCAGCTAGTGCTCCCGGAGCGAGGGCTGTGCTGAAGCAATCCAACCTGATGCAATAGGAACATCTAGAACAACACGAATATAGTCGGCTGAGAAAGAAGTAATCCAAGCGTACATGAAGATAATGGATTAAGCATCTCGCCAAAAGCTTCTATATGGGTATAGTACAATTACATGAAACCGGACAGCTTCGGTTCCGCCTCCAAGAAACGAACGACGCCTGCTCAACCACTGGTAAATGGAAGCTGCGACAGGTGGAGTTTCAAACCAAATAAACGCCGGGGGGTATAACCAGAGAACATTGAACCATGTGAGAAGCTCTAAACAACAACGAACAGGGAACCTGGGCAAAAGAAAAACAGGCGTTCGGATCCATGGTAGCAAAACACCTTGGCTTCCAATTAAAAGCAACTAATAATAACAAAAACGCCTCACACATGCATTAAAGGGCGATAGTGGTAACCGGCAGGAGGGTCGCCGAGTCACACACAGGCTACCGCAAGCACGACATCGACCAGGGAAGCTATGTATGATATCATGCTTAGCAGAAGCTCAGCTCATCGTCACTTGAACCGCTTCCATCCGAGCAGGGTATCTCACGCTGGCCGAGGGATAACCTCATCGATCGACGGGGATGGGGATTTCTAGACATCTTGAGACGACTTATGGGTAGCCTGGAAGTCGCATAACGTGGTATTCTCTGCCGAAGACGCTGGCTCAGAGCCGGAGCGTGGCTGAGGATATCCTCTTCTTCATCATCATCATCGTCCTCTTGCTCGTCTTCGTCTTCTTCGTATTCTGATATATCGAGATCCTTTGTCCTGACTCCTAAGGGCTCGGTGTGTCGGCGCTTCTTGCGGTTTATGTCATGCACTTTTTCTTTGAAAATAACCACCTCTACAGTAGGCACTTTAGGGAGACGAGGGACTTCAACCACAACGGCGACCCTCTGTGAGGTATCACGTTCCGCAGTGGCTACCAATTCTCCATTCGACCGCTGCTGGTATAAAGACGGGAAAGAGCTAGCCATATTAGAAACATGGGACTGCGGTGATTTCCTTCGGGACGAACGCCGGCAACGTTGAGATTCACTGCCTGAAAGGGTATCCATGTCTGGATTCCAGTGTATCGGGGCCTGTTGCTGCGAGCGACGGGGGTTGTGCAGCTCTACCTTGTTGGGTAACATGTTGTTGGGTCTCCTTGAGCGATGATCTTCAGTATGGCTTGACAAGCGCTTCCTTTTAGGAGGTGGAGGTGACTCCGAATAGTCCGATGAAACGCTCGAGCTCTCGGTGTTTCGCTCTAATACCGATGAGAACCACGAGTCGCTCTCCTCGGAATCTGATATCTCAGTCCGGTTACTGTAGTTACCTGGCTGAGCAGCTTGAGAGGCAGTATTGTTCGGCAGTGGTGAGGCCGACCTCGACGTTTTGGCTTGACTGAAAACGGGTGTTTTCGCAACCCACTCTCCAATGCCATCCTCCCACCTAAACCCAGTTGCTGAGCGGCGCAGTGAAGGAGTCAGCGGTTGTAGCTCGTCCGAGTCATTCAGGTTAACATCGCACGCAACGACCTGATCTTGAATATATGAGGCCCAGTCATGATGATCTTGCAGACATGTTGACTCGGCAAACTTCAAAGCAATCTCCACGGCTACCTTGCTGAGCACTCTTCGAAGGATAGGTTCTCCTTTCACATCTGAGCATTCGAAGGCTAGAGTGAACAGTTTAGCCACCTCAAATCCATCGTCACTCTGTACCCTGCCTAGGCATTTTGCGATCTGTAAAACGAAAGCGGATAACTCTTCCACAAGCTCTTTCTTATTTTTATGCATGCCAGTTAAATATCCAAGGTTATGTATAACTGGTAGGCCGTGATGTACAGCCTTCTTGCGAACTCCCTTGCCACAGCTATCCAAATAGTTGATCAAAAAGTCCGATAGTAAAATGGCACACGCGCGTGTTGGCTGCAAGTCTAGCTTGTGCTTCTTCCCATCAAATGCAGCTTGTTCAACATCCCGCTGTACTATTGTGGATAGGAACGTCAATAGCTTATACATTGCTGAGCCTTTTGCCATTGCAAATCCGAACTTAGCGAAGTGCGAGGCGGAGAGGACAGTCAATATGCTTGTAATACTATTGCTGAGTGCAATAGAGATCGGGTCATGGCAATTGGTCTCCCGACCTGGCAAAGAGCTAGCAAAACTTGGTTCTCGTTCCCCCTTGAGACATTGAAGAGTTCCACGTTTTGACCGTCTTAGGCTCTTTAAGACCTTAGGAGAAATAGTCCTCTTAGAGCCAGCAGCTGCTAGAATTGCCGATGTGATGAGGCGTAGAGATGCAAACGAATGCTCATCGCCAGTCGAGAGGGATTGCAGGGCAGCAGTCAAATAATTTTTCATTGAATCTGTCGCGAGCCACTCCGCAGGCAAACGTCCTCGGTCCAGTAAGGATGCCATTTCCCTAAAGAATATACTGAGGTTTCCTGAGGACCTCACGTACGTCTCTAGGGTGTGCAATGCAACCGAATGGCTTGGTTTAAATAAGTCACTATCCAAGCGGATAGGTGGTGGGATAATGGGAGAAAGTGATAATAGAGCTGATAATAGCGCTCCTGCAGCGTCATGGGCAGAGAGCGCAAACGACTGCAAGACAATTCGGCGGCTCAGCTGAGGGGATAGCCATCGTTTGCGAATAGCTTCGCACATTAGATGGATGCCATGCGATCGAACAAGTTCCTTCAGCGGCTTCCACCCATCGCTGCTCATTGCATATGTCTTTTCCAATTCCGTGATAATAAAACCTGCAACATCTATCTCCTCCTCTTTCTCTTCCAAACTATTCACCCGTTCTTGTTCGTGTAAAATATATTCGGACGTAGTGTTTAAAGCCATGGATAATAAGGATTTTGCACCTCTACCGTGACTTTGCTGTGGGCTGCTCATTCTGAGGAACGTATCCCAAGCGGAGAATATGGTTTGCACGATCGCTACATACGATGGGTCATTGTATGTATCCTCGATTCCGTGCGCAATCTCGCTCAGACTCCAACTGTTCCCTAGTGACTTATGTTTCGAATAAGAAAATAGCTTTTGTTTTTGTGGCGGCTCTTTTTCCACGTTGCGGATATCTTCAGCAGCTGGTGTCTTTCCCAGGTCGAGCACGCGCCGTTTCCCCAGTATTAATGGTGTCGCAATTGTGAATTGCCCGGGCTGAAGTTTCTCGGCTTCGGGGCTTTTAACAACAACTTTTGAGCGACCGTTCGTACGAGGTCGCTCCCTTCGTCCAGAGTACCTGTGTTTTATCGGTTTCCGTACAGCATCACCCGGGACCCATGTTGGGTCTTCCTTCGATGACTCCGAGTCAGACGCGTTTGCTGAACCGGGCGCGGTCCTGCGTAAACCTTGGCTGCCATTAGAAGCAGTGGTGCCGCCATTGTATGCCCGCCGAATATACTCTTCGTCTCGCAATGGGGAAACTTTCCAGTGTTTTTCGAGTCGTAGATATATCGATGTTAACGGTCGTAATGCTCGATTGCACCACCTCAGGTTGATCGGAACTTGTGTAGGAGCGGGTTTTGATCGACAATATGTATGATTAGAAGCCATTTCCAGGTCAAAATATCCAATGCCCAAAAGATACCACTGCAATGATATCCATAAAGTCGTGGGATCGTAAGCTGATTAGCTATAAGGACCGGTTGACGCTATGGTTTATTCGGGTATTATATTCGGAAGGTTCGAGTGCAAGGGAGATAATAAGTTATACAAGAAACCGACATAATTCCAGCTGTGTTATAAGATATATGGCATGCTGGAGATGCTGGGTTATAGCCTCTTCGACGGCGCTTGAAGCTGTAGCTCCAGAGGTAAACAAAAGGATGTTTACGCCAAGCCTAGTCACGTGTTGTTATCTTATCTTATCGTTCCTGATAAGATCCGTGGATCACCTGGGCAAACACCTGAGGCAGGCTGGATTAACACAACAAGAATAATACCAAGAATACAAGGAACAAGATAATAATTCCAATTCGTCATAATGCATCCAAAAGTTAGAGAGAATCCTGGAGGGTCAGTCTCATAAACAAACAAGGAAAGTAAAGCAACACGTAAATGACAGCGCAGCTTGATATATGTCGAAACGAACCAAAAGGCGGAAGGGAAAAAAGAGTTTGAAAGTAGAGTAGAGATAGATATATACAATCCAACAAAAAATGAAGCTCCCCCGGCGCATAAATCGTCCAGGATTTTTACACGAGAATAGCATTGCTCATCAGCACCAACAAGACATCCCAACCATTGCATCTTGTATCGCAAACTTCACGCTTTGAAGGCCAGAATAATTATAAATAGGCAGAAAGATGCAATGATATATAGAAAACGCAAAGATCAACATGTATGTAATTCCGTAGGTGTTGCCTCGTCAGATGTCATTTGCTCTATGAGGAGTTGACGGAGGTCTGTTTTGAGCCACGAAGTTTAGGGTTGCGAGTAGTTCTCTTCTTTGGCTTCGAGCGGGTCGTATCGCCTCCCTCAATAAACTTTAGAAGTTCATCAATGCTCCTGGAGTCCAAGCTTGGGTTGGCATGTCCGTCGACACCGGCGACCATCTCCGACGTGGTCTGCCCAACCTGGGGCTGAGGCTGGGTGCCGAGAGAGGCACGGCCAGGCATCGAAACCAATCGTCGTCTGCGAGCTTGGATATCCTTGGCACGCTTAGCGATAGAGACGGCATTCTGGGTGAGTTGTTCAAGCCAGCTCTCTGCCTCCTTGGTGTTGCGATCCTCAGGTCCCAGCTCGTTAAGGAAGATGTTGTAGGCTTCACGCATGCGGTTGACCGCAGTCTTAGAGTCCTGGTCGAGTGCAAGAGCTTGTGCAAGCTGGAACAACAAAGTGGCTGTGTTGACGGACTGTCTTCCGAATAGCTCGTCGCATACAGCAAGCGAAGACTCGAACCATTTGCGAGAGTCTGGGTATTTCTTCAAGTGTTGGAGCATAACAGCTGCGTTGTTCATGGTGGTGATAGAGTCGGGGTGGCTTGGGCCATAAACGATCTTCCACAGTTCCAAAGCATGTCTGATATAGATCAGGGCCGTTTGGGTGTTCCCGGTGGCATGCTCGAACAAAGACAGGTTGAGGTAGCTAAGGATGGCATCAGCAGAATCAACACCTACTGTTCGTTCGGTGACAATAACAGCCTTGCGTGCCAACTCCACGGCGGCCTCCTTTTCGTCGGTTTGGTAGTATACCATCGAGAGCTGGTGGTACAGCTTAGCCACCTCAGGGTGAAGAATGCCGTAAATTTGCTCGTGTAGAGAAAGAGATTCCAAGATGAGCTCTTGACCAAGTTCCTTCTGGTTCTGCATCAGTGAGATGCGGCCGGCTTCGAAGGCCTCCTCAGCAAGAGCACTGCGTGGAGCTGCATCCTTAACAATGGGGACAACGTTCACAATGTCGTCGGGAACGAAAGTGAGAGTGGGTGCAGGAGCAGCAGGCGCAGCTGGTGCAGCCGATCCCTTCTTCTTCTTCTTTTTCTTTTCGTCTTGGGAGTCACTATGGGCCCCGTTTCCGGAAGGCGAGTGCTCCTTACCCTGAGCTTGGGATTTCTTGAACGCAAACTCTCTCGCTGCGAGTTGTAGACCAAGCTTGAGGGAGATATCCCTCAGAACCTGGAAGTGCTTCAGGCTTTCAGTCCAGCTGTCGTCGAGGGTGTATCTGTAACGTGATCTAATCTGCTTCTCGATATCGGCAGCCAGAGTTGCAGGAGTAACGTCCTCGAAGGAGAAGTCGCCTTCAGGGTAAATCGCCCTGAGGGATTCGTCAACCTCAGCACGAGGCTTGGGGTTGACGTCTGTACCGAGCAAGCAGTTGAGCAGGTGGGCTATGCAGACGGTAGCAAATGGAGGAGGGAGGTTTCGGAGGTAACGGTTAGCAGTATGCTTGAATGAGCGAGCTACCATATCCTGGACCACAAGAGCAACAAGAGAGTCAAGTCGGGAGCCCTTTTCTTTAGCAAGTTCTGCGACCTTTCCAAGGTATCTAACGTTGATACCACGCTTGTGGAGGAGCTGTCCAAGAGATTGGCCATCCATAGGGAAGCCAACCTCACCATTATAGAGATCCTTGATAAGCTCTGGCAGAACCTTTGACCTCAAGTGATCGCAGGCGTCACGAACTTCCTTCTCATCGCGTGCCCATTCCTCCTTTTCTTCCTCAGTCTGTGGAACTTGACCGCTAAACACATCGGGGTTCAATGCCAGGTGGAAATTGGAAATATCAACTCTCTCCTGGTCAGTGTTGTCCTTCTTCTCGGTGTCAGTGCCTTCGCCGTTTTCGATTTCCTTGGTTTCCTTGTTTTCCTTGGCTGCGCTTCTGCGCTTTTCAACTTCCTCCTTGACATATTGTCCCATTTTGTATCTCCAGTACGATTCCACTAGTTCCTGTCGGAGAACTGGCATTCTGTGGGGGTACTTATCATGGCCTTCGGCATCTTCAGTCCATGAGATATCAAGCGGGGTGATACGGTAAAGATCGAGGACGTATTTACGACCATCAGTACCCAGGAGACCCTTGGTCTCAACACTTCCCTCCAACTCGTGTCTAACGTTATCCTTGTCCCAGACAGCGTGCTTCTTAACACGGAGGGCCTTGGAAAGCTTCTCAAAGACCGGAGTGAATGCCTCGTTCTTTGCGACAACGTCCTTGCCCTCGACACCACCATAGTCAATCTGATGCTCGCCAGGCTCGCGGTGCTTGAAAATACCGGGAACAATGCTTTGACCCACAAGACGTTTGCCGAGATAGTCAACCACGACGGTTCCTGGGGTGAAGAGTCCTGGGATGTCGAGCTGGTTAACAGCCTTGACACCCATTACGTCCTTTCCAACGGCAATACGAGCAGCTTCATCGCCGCCCTCGGCAGCGAAAGTGCCCACACCATCTGCACCGAAGGAGAAGAAGATGTTGTTATAAACGAAAATTTGAGCATCTCTAGCCTCCATTGGGTTCAAGGATGCAACTTCACCCCTGGCAACCAAGATAGCGCCACGAACGGCAGCATCATTATAGTCTGCAAAGAGCTTTGATGTTAATCTTTCTCTGAACACTTTCTCCTGGACATTGTCCCGGGGCAGCTCTCGGGTGGTCTGGAACTCCTCATTCCAGTCTCTCAAGGTTTCAGAGTTGTCCACACCCGCAATCAAATAATTTTCCTGCGATCGTGTAGCGTCTGATAAATGAGCGGAAGCGTGGCTCTGAGATGCTGGTACGAGCCATGGGTTGTTAGGTATCGAGTTTTGGAAGGGGAATGTGGTCAGGAGATCCTTTTGGTTGTTGAATTCCTGAAGAGCCTTGAATGACTCGTTAAATGACGGGGAAACGAGAGATATCAAGGTTAATAAGGAGTGAGCGCTGTAGTTCTTAGGAGCGGGTCGTGGGAAGGGGTCGAACTTGGAGTTGGAGCATTTATTCACGTAGAATCCAGATACGTGAGATGTGATCTGGTGCTGTTCACCTTCATTAGTGGTCACCAAGAGGTACAGTAGGTGTCCCTTCTGGCGGAGATGGTATGGTGGAGGGTTCCACGGCGAAAGGGAAACAGATCTAACGGTCTTGGGCACCGCAGACTGGTCCTTGGGCAGGATAGTCGAAAGGTTCAATGGGGCGGTGACATCGTAGCCGTCCAATGCGTGACTCTTCTTGGCCTCCTCAGACAGGCCCTCACCGGCAGCAACAGAGTCGTGCAAGGACAAGCCTGCGGAGATTCCATGCAAAGTATCGACACGGTTTCCGGCAGCACCGATCAGTTCTCTAATCCTGACAACGTGCATCCTCGCTTCCTTCTCGGTGTACGGGTCTTCGATCAGGGTCACTTCAGAGTCGGCCTTCAGGTCCTTGACCTCCGATAGCTCCACGTAATCATTGATTCTGTTTCCATCATTTTCCAAATGGAAGCAGGTGTACTGGAAAGTCCCGGGAAGTTCAACGATTGATTGACGGACATCTTGAACTTGTTCTTGGCTCGAGACCTAGACAATTAACTGTCAGCCAGGGTAATCAATGCGTAGTAAGACGGTTCAACTTACCATAACCTGGATATTGTATGGCTCATGAGGGAGCTTTACGCTGATCTGGAAAAGACCTATACGGACACGAGCATGAATAAAAAGCCCTCTTCCAAAGACCAATCCTTTTTTTTTTAGCAAAAGCCAGTCCTACCTCCAGCATTGTTATTTTCACCCTGTTCCCCCTCTACATTATTTCCATTCACAATTTCCTTGCCGGTATTCTCAGGCTTGGTATCCTCCGGCACTTCTAGAGCAACGATATAAATATTAGCCCAATTGCACAACGCCACAGAATATCACCGCCTCCCGGACGAGAAACGGGGTCAATGTCAATTATCAACTCATAAGCCATACCTTTCGAGTGTTCCGGGCCTTTATTTTGCTGGTCCATTTAGAATGATGAGCCAAGCTACAGTTTCAAAATGTACACAGTTCGAGCTTAAGAAGGTAGCCAAAGAACCGGCCTTTGCCTTGAATGAGCGACTCGAAGAGAGAAGGGAGGGGTATAATTATACAATATACAGCGCAACGAAAAGAAAGAGAATTCCAAGAAGAGCGTGAAATCGGTATTTCTTGTCTGTGCAATTTCTCAAGCTTCAGCACCAAAAGAAGTTCTTGTGGAGGAAATTTCACGGAGTCGGATTTTCTCTCGGAAGGAAACGGGATTATCTCGGTGAAGCTTAATCTGTTTCGACGCCCAGTAACTTCGTGGGGCCGGAGGGCAGGCCGATCACAAGACCATATATATATTCATACGGTAGACAGCTAAGATATATACACGAATAGAGTATATGGGATTGAGGGTGCCCGTTACGGAGCATACGTCGCCCTGTTATATACGTCTCGGCAATGCGTGAGTCGCCTGTCTGATGATGCCGAACTAGAAAGACCTATCTGTCCTTTTCCCCAGCTTTGCCCAACCGGCAAGTCAAACTGGTGTTCACCATAGCTGATCCCCGCAAGCGGTTCTGCAGCAAGGGCAGAAGCCTATATATACGAAATGCAAATCCTATGCCTATCACAATGCCCTCCCATGCACTACCCCATAAAAATACCCTGATTATCCAGGACGAAACTCACCCACAGCATGTCTGTTCAACGTTATTCGCTGCTTCTGGCCGGTGGTAGGCGCTCGCAGCCCATGAGCCGGCACTAACGAAGTAGCTCTTCCATAGCCATATTCACCGTATATTATGACCATCTTGCCGGGGCATCAGAAGCGGGATATGTGTCCTCTGCAGCTCGATATATCGTCACTCGGCCTATAGAGTGCTCGTCGAGCCACCACCGTCGTACAGGACCCTCTGGCGGCTGCATTAATGCCATCTAGAAAGTCCGTCGAGAATACCTAGGTAGCTAGACGCCAAACATCGAAGACTTTTCAGTGTCACGTGATATCCCGATATGGCGAAGGGGACGGGATGCATGCTGGGCGTGTCGCAAAAAAGAAACGTTCGAGAAAGAAAAAAAAATCAGATCGCAGGCGATGTTACCGATGGCATTAGTGAAATCGTGAGCGCCGCCTAACTCACCTTTACCCGTTTTTCAATCCCTAGGAAAAATTTCACCTTTGACGTTCAGTTGGGTAGCACTGAACCCCCCCGCTGGTTGTTCCCGATTAGGAAATTTCGAGTCTGCCCCTGAAAATAAACACAAGCTGTCGGACAGCCGTGAGATATTTCGGGCTTGACCAGAGTTCTACGCAGTCAATGCGGAATCGTCTGTGATGCGCTTCAACCAGATACGCAATGCAAAAACCACGTTTGGTTTTGGGGGAAGTTTGATAAGGCCACGTCATGCGAGACTCCCGCAGCTTCGTCGACACTATGGATCTCAAGACGTTGCGCCTGGAGGCCCACCACAGCCGGGCAAGGAGGGCCCGGATCCAGATGAGTCGTCTCGAGATAAGTCGTCGGACAAGGAGGAACCTTCTCTGAAAGCGACGTTTATGCGGATGTTTGAGTCGTCGGCAACAACGTTCGCTTCCATAGCTGTCCTTGGGTATGTCATCCCTGGTGTTTGGTTTACTGTACTATAGCGGATCAGGTATTCTATTTCTGAATTGATTTCTAACTTTGGATTGTATACATATATCTCTTTGATAAAGTGCTGCTGGTTTTTCTTATCACAAGTATTATAAGTACCTAGTGCTGCAAAAAATGGATAACGCCTTTGAGCCTGGTGATCCAATGCTAGAGCTTGCCGGAGTTAAAGATCCTAAACAAGACCCTAAAGGGAGCAAGGATATGGAAAGAGACCCTGAACACTGGCTTGAACGTGACGAGCAGGGTAAAATCGACGAGATCATAAACGGTGCCATAGGCCACTATTATCTTCTCATTGGTGAAAAGGGAACGGGAAAGACCTCTATGATCCTGAATGCTATGAAGAAGGTTGACGGGTCGCGTGTCGCCATGTTCGAGGCGCACGCAAACCTTGAAATTTTCCGGATTAGATTAGGAAAGTCGTTGGACTACGAGTTTCATGAAGAGTATGTCCACGGTGTACCCTGCACTCAGCCCGCAACATTCGATGTACTAATGTGGTATACTTAAAACCCTGCAGCTATATAGGGAGTCTCTTCAGTATCAGGGGACCTCGTGATACCACTGCCTTGCTGGACATTGAGCGTGCTCTAAACAAACTAGAGAAAGTTGCCATCAAGCGACGGGATGTTGGACAAAATCCATTGATTTTGATCATAAACTCTCTACATCTAGTGAGAGATGATGATGACGGCAGAGACCTCCTTGAAATGCTTCAACAACGTGCAGAGCAGTGGGCGGCCAGCGGTTTAGTGACCATGGGTTAGTCCACCGTTCAACTCTTCATAGCATTAACATTCTAGGCTAACCTCCGTATTATAGTGTTCAACAGTGATGATTACTGGATTTATGAACGTCTAAAGCGCTACGCATCTCGGATGGAGGTCATTCCAGTTCCTGACCTTCCAAAGAGTAAAGCGCTAGGAGCTCTACGCCGGTATCGATCAAGATACTTCAAAGAGGACCCACCACAGGCGATACTTGAAGAAGTATACAACAAGGTTGGCGGAAGATTAACGTTCCTAAACCGTGTTGCCAAATCTGAAGATATGCTGGCAACTTGCGATGAGATCTGCGAAGCCGAGAAAACTTGGTTTTTGAACAAATGCTGGATCCTAGGTGAGGAAATGGACGACGATGTCATGGATGAACAAAAGTATTCTGTATGGACTCCACCTTAACCTGCGTTCACCTAATGTTGAACTTCTCTAACGGCTGAATCTAGTCTGCAGCAATGGTGCTAGCAAGGGCTCTGGTAGAGAAGGAGAAAGAAATGGAGAAAACATATGATGACGACTCAGGGCATATCCTACCAGAGTTACCTCTCCACAAAGCACGCCAAATTATGACACGAGCAGACTTCATTCAGTCCTATGACCATGACAACATCTTCACCATCGACTCCAAGGCTAGGGTTCGCGCTGATTCCGTCCCTATGCAAAACGCCTTCCGCGAGATATGCGCCGAACCAGGTTTTGACCAGTATCTCGAGGATACTTTGGATAGAATTTCAGCTATCGAGAGCTTGGGCAGGACCCGTGAGCTTACCGTCAAGGACTTCTGGAACCAGGGTAAATTCAAAGCAACCATGCGCGATACGAAGGGACGCGAAACCGGTACTCTTGAGATTGGCGTGGTTCCACCCGAGAAGGAAGAAGACGACGACTAGAAATTTTCATTTTGTATAATATATTATTTTCCTTTCTTGATGGACATAGGGTGGTAGACTTTCTTTTTGACTTAATTTCTTGATAAACAACCTATTTTAGCTAGTTAATGCAATACTGGACACTTCAGCAAAGAATACTTCAGCAGCACTATGGAGCGTTTTAATATATATCAGGCAGTTATCATGGCGTTTGTTTACTCTATAGCAACTACCCTTACAGATACATCACGTGATATACCATGACATCATCCATCGCTTTCCCTACCTAGCAAGGTTGCGATCAAAACAAGCCCAAAGCTACAGCTAGAACCAACTCACCGCTCGTGCGCCAGGACATAACCTCCTTCAATTGAACAGCAAGACTTCTGGTTGTATACCTTTACAATTTTCAGGATCCAGTCATTACACCTCCAATGGGCCCGAAATCAGCCTCCACCACATCCCCTAGGCGGAGAGGGCGACCGACTAGCAAGGAGACCACCACTACGAGCACGAAGACAGTAGCAGTCCCAAAATCCAAGGATATCGCGGTTGCTGAGACATCGTGTTTTGATAGCGCGTTGAAGTTTACGCTGCTTACTGCTAGCAGCCTACTTCTCAGCAGCGCGCTTTTCTCTCTCAGCATCCCAATTACGAAGGGAGATTTGGCATGGACGAGTAAACGCCTGGATACCTGGAAGGATGTCGTGGCTTTGCTATCATGGCGCGTCCTTGAGCTAGGGATTCCGTGGTTTTCAGGATATGATGGTTCGAATACCCTATCGTTTTATTCCTAAAGTCTCGATTTAGTGCTAATCTTTCTCTTCATCAGCGTGGGATGTTTCGTGTTTTATTGGCCTTATTCACCTCCCAACATATTCGCTCTTACTAAATTTCTATAACATTCGGCCCACGACGATACTTACTGTTGCGGCTATCACCACTCTATCGTGTACAATTCCGTTCTCCTACTTCCGCCCACTAAGTGCAGCTCACAGTGGCGGTGTCACAACTGCTAATCGGGCGATTCTCTCGGACCGCCTGACTACCATCTACACCACGGTAGCTTCGACCCTTGTGTACACCCTAGTCTTGTATCTCAGCTTTGCGACATGGCTCCCGGTCCATCTTGTCACTTACTTCACCGGGCTCCCTGATATTAGTGCAGCGCATGCCGGCGCGAAGGGATTCCTATCCCTTTTCCTTAGCCTTCTACCCGCAGGATATGGAACGAGAGACCTTTTGTTCGTCACATCAGCCAGCCAGCCCCAAGAAAAGAAAATTGAGAAGAAAACGACACGTCGACGCCTTCGGTCAGCAGACTCACAGGTTGAGGAAGACCTGCAAGAAGATTCCTGCATCGCCTCGCTTTATAAGAAAGCCTGGCTTGGATTGTCTCCTAACCTCAGGGTTCTTATATCGCGATCAGCAGTTTTGGCACTTATGACCCTAGCCAACACCTTCGTGCAGCTTGGGGGCACAATCAATGGGGTAGAGCCTAAGGGTGCCTTGGGATGGGGGGCCACTTGGTCACTCGCCACTCTTATCAATGCTGCTCTCTATGGATGGATTCAAGAAGCGAACGGAAGATAATAGGCAAAAGAAATGATGGCAACCAGACCCCTCCCGGCTATCCACCTAGCCAATAATGGTTTCATGACCTTTCTATTTCTTACCCGAACGCCTTTTCTTTTTCTTTTTTACGACATAATGGGGATGCAAACGTGAGGCGAAGGGAGGAGCGTGGGGGCCTATGACAAGGGGCTCGTCGAAAGCTGGTTTTCCCGTATATGGAACGAATTTGGCTGGACAAAGAGAGTGGGAGAATGGCCGACGTCCATTCCATTCCGCAGTAGTGGAATCCTGACACTACAAAGGGAATGCTTAATGTACGGAGGCTATTATTAGCGGAGTGCGGATGCCGCTTGTGGGAGTATGTTCTTAGATGTGATCCGAATGCAGGTTGTTATGCGCTTTCATGATACAATGTTTTATTTCAGCCTTCTCGTGTTTATTGAGGGGTATGGAATTATTTAATTTTATCAATAACTTTATTTAATGGCGTCTACTTTATAAAAATGACGATAAGATACCAAATCTAGATCTTGGAGCACTTCCTACCTAGGTATCCAAAGGCTTGCTTTCATTGGTCGGGTGTATATTACCTAATAATGATCACGTGTATAATTTGTCATCCATCTTAGTAAGCTTCGCGATTGGACATCAACCGTGGAAAGCGCGCGGAGGGTTGGAGTTGGATCTTGATACTCCGCACGTCTGCTGCTGGGCAGGGCCGTAATCATGTCCGGCGAAGTCACCCTCAGTGTCATTGATAGTATGTGTTCAGCCTAGGATCCTAAGCTGCGAAGCCGGACTTACAAGCTAACCTTTTCTCTAGGTGACCTGAAAGAGGTAATTCAAAACTTCTTCGAGATCCAATCGGCGGTGCATGGATACCTCGGGCCAGAAACACAACAAGAACTAGTCAGGAAGCTGTCAGTCCTCCCTTCAATCCATACTCTATGAGCTTTTATAGAGGGCACCGTCTTATCTGTCACTGTGAGCTAACCGGTGAACATATTGACGTACTAGGAAATCTCTCACAATATCTCTCAAAACCCTTTCTGAGCATACTACACTTGACCCTTCCCTTACAGACGCCGCATCGACACAAACCAACGTAAACTCAGCTCTATCACAGGCGGACCCTCCCTTACACACTATCCAACTTCCTCCTGAGATCGTTGACTATGTAGACGCAGCGCGTAACCCGGACATCTACACGCGAGAGTTCGTCGAGCTAGTACAAAAGGGCAACCAGGATTTGAAAGGGAAAGCAGAAGCCTTCTCTTCCTTTAGGGACACACTCGCGCGAGAGATGGCTAGCGCGATGCCCGAATGCAAGAAGGAAGTCGTGAAAGTCGTGAAAGCAACTGGCGGCGATGCCCAAAATTTATGATCAATGCCTCCATTACCTTATTTTCTTCCAGGATCGGCGCTTTAACCAGTCGGGGATACGGGAGTACAACGGTTTATATATGGAGTATGGAGTGCTCTCTGCTATCTAGTAGCAGGTGTCAAATAATTTCGATCAGGACTGATGAATAATTCTTATACGATTTCTTCCTTCACATAGCAGACTTGGCCATCATGAAGCAGCATATATCGGGGGTAGACTTCCCGATCCCCAAGCCCGAGGCTCACACACAAGTTTGTCGATGTATATATACAACTCAACGACGCCCCTTTAAAAGTCAGGCGGTTACCAACTTCCAAAAATAGGGTTAACGTGAAATGCCCGTTACCGAGCGCCACAATACTATTGCACAACGGATCTGGCTGACGCAGAACCCGAGTCGTGGGCGCACCGCGGTGTGGAGAGAACTACATATTCTGATCATCCGAGAGCTGGATGGACCAATAGCCAACGCCCATCGAGAGAGCAAAACATGCAAAGAAGCAAAAGCAAAAAGCACTTCGCCCTCCTTAATGGCCATGAACCAGTAGCCTTTCGCGGCGCCAACTATCATGTGCCGAGCTGATGAAGTGTAACAGGACCACGACCGACTACTCTATAATATTACGTTAGTGATACTATACGCTTTCGGAAGTTATAAGAACCTAAGCGTCTTATGTCGATCTTCAGTCATGCATCTCAGCCAGATTTCCATGCCATCTCCGGGCTGAAAGGAGCAAGGCTGAGTTTCGTACGAACAATGGACAAGGGCATCCTGGCAGAGGGTGTCATCTCGCCGAGGGAAGGCTTGCCAACACTCTAGATCATATGTGAATTCACCCTCGCTGTTGTCGTACGGTACAACCCCATAATAATTGCTCAGGCTTGGATAACACGGAAATAATTGTGGCTCACCATCGCCCCACATTATGCCAGTCGACTTTCCACCTTGCGGTTCAATCGCTTTAAAATGCTCCTGGGAAGCCCCATCGCTGACCCGAACCTCATACCCTCTGGTATGGAAGTGCTGATACCTTTGTTGATATCGATGATGCGCCTGATGCAGCCTCCCTACTGTTATTCATGACTTATCCCTCTAGAAAAGCGCTGCCGTCATGTCTGACGATGGGGTGACGGGTGCTTATAGGGGGGACCATTTCGCCATCAAGATCATAATCGCGACGTTCATCGGGATATCCTGGTACAATGCGTTGGAATTGTGCGTCCTGGTTTTTGTGACCTTCAGCCATTATCGAGGACTTTACTTTTGGAGTTTGTTGATATCAGCTACCGTTGGCGTCATACCCTATGCGCTTGGATTTTTACTCAAGCTCTTCCACTTGATGGACACGGTCTGGCTGTCGCTTGTATTTCTTACGATCGGCTGGTGGACCATGGTCACCGGCCAGTCCTTCGTCCTATACTCCCGACTCCATCTTGTTATCCGAGACCAGAAGATCCTACGCCGTGTGCTATGGATGATAATCTGCAACATCTTTATCCTCCACCTTCCAACGACTATTCTCACGTTTGGTTCGAACTCGAGTCATCAGCTCAGATTTGTTCCGGCGTACAAGATTATGGAGAAGATACAGATGACTGGTTTTTTCATTCAAGAGGTCATCCTTTCCACCCTCTATATACGGGAAACAACCAAGATGCTGCGGATAGCACCTAAGCACGGGAGCCGAAAAATAATGTATCAGCTGCTCGGTATCAACCTGATATTCATCGTCATGGATCTCGCGCTATTAAGCACAGCCTACGCCAATCTATATGTCATTGAAACGACCATCAAAGCCATGATATACAGCGTCAAGTTGAAGCTTGAATTCGCTGTTTTGGGGAAACTTGTCCATCTGGTCAACATACATTCCTGGAACCCAGAATTCTTTAGCGGAGCAAACGGCTACCCCGACTTCGTGGATCCGACTCAAATAACTTCAGATATCACTCGACCCCCCAAGTGCATCAACAGTCCTCCAAACCCGCCGTGGTCGTTCCCTGACGCGTTGCCAATTATGTCGGATCCGCAATTGGGCAGGAAAGAAGACGTGGCGCCTTCAAGCAGTGGCAGTTTGGCTACAACGCAGCTCGCTCCATCCACCCCCAACGGTATTCCAATGCCAGTGCCAGTCGACGTTACACATGCCATACCCTCCCAGATTATGTCACCCAAGATCCTTCCCGCATGGCCGAGTTAGCAAGGAAGATATTCTGGCCGTTGCAACCACGACACGCACCATCTTTCCTTCTGCCCAGCCTGGTGATATAACACCCAAAGGATTCTGAAACCCCGGACCCGGCTTATCACGCGGCAGGAAGGAAAAGCAACTTAGCTTTTATAGGATGTGTGGGTATATCAGCTCAAGCAAGGAGAAGGAGCTTGACTGATGCGTGTGGCTGAGGAAGCTACCCATACGCACAGCACGGAGTATTCAAACGTTTATTCAAGACAATAATACCTGTCGGTACCTGTCACGATAAACGCTGCCTGACTCGGGGGAATACATGAGGGAAGCTGTATATATGTACATTATCACGTCAAGCGAGGCTGGTCTCTGGCTTACATGAATTACGATTAACGATAGATAGCATTGGATAAGCAGGATTAAAGTTGTATATAGACTAAAGCACGCTTTTACACATATCATACTCTCAATATGCCTCCCTTCATAGTATCTATTAACATAATAGCCCGTTCATCTACAGAAGCTACCCTGGAGCTATGTGATGACTAAGCAGTATCCCCACCTCGTATTTGCACGTATCTACAACTTGAGACATCGACTCCTGGATAGCTAGGAAATGGACGGAGGGACGGTGTTTTGCCATGGTCATTGGGTCCTAACCTCTGTTCATGCGAATACCGATACATAGCCTACCGAGATGTCTCCCACAAGACGAGGCTGCAACCCGTTAGCCTTTACCCCTTGGCCAGTAACCATCATAACCTCGCTGGTGTATCTCGCCCTTCTCATCCCACTGATAGTCGTCCACCACGTCGTTCCCTCCGCGCCCAAGTCAAACCCAGAGGGCGTGGACCTAGATGAGGCCTGGCACGATCTACAGCACTTGACTCAGCAGTACCATCCTTACAACAGCCGCGCGAATGACGAAGTTCACCAATGGCTCCTCGAGCGCATCCACGCGATCTCCGCATCTTCGGCCCGTTCAAGCTCCAAAACCGGCCCTGAAGTCTTTGTTTTCGATGACAGACAGACAAATCTGACGTTCTCCAGCACTGGGGTTGCTGCAACAGCTATTACCGGAGTGTATTTTGAGGGCACAAATATCATTGTTTATATCCGAGGCACGGAAGACAGCCAGGAGGAATGGTGGACTTCTCCGGACGGTGAACCGTCAGGAAAGGGAGGAGTGCTCGTTAACGCACACTATGACAGTGTCTCTACTGGCTATGGAGCAACGGACAATGGAGTGGGCGTGATTACGACTCTACAGCTTCTCAAGTACTTCACCACTCCCGGACACTATCCTCGAAAGGGACTGGTGCTTTTATTCAACAATGGAGAGGAAGACTTCCTCAACGGCGCGTACGCATTCAGCCAACATCCAATGTCGAAGTTCACTCATACCTTTTTAAACCTTGAAGGTGCTGGTGCAGGAAGCCGTGCCGTTCTGTTTCGCAGTACTGACACCGAGGTCACCAGGTTCTACGCAAAGTCAGCTCACCCCTTTGGTACGGTTCTTGCCAGAGATGCGTTTAAGTTGAGATTTATCCGCAGCGAGACCGATTATTCTGTCTTTGACACTGTCTTTGGCATGCGTGGACTCGATGTTGCTTTCATGGAGCCCAGGAGCCGGTACCACACTGATCAGGATGATGTGAGGCACACGAGCGTTGACTCTGTATGGCACATGCTTTCAGCAGCCATCACAACGACCGAAGGTCTAGTCAGTTACACCGGGGACGAATTCGATGGAGATAACGGAAGGGATGGAAAGATGAATAATGGTGCTGGCACCTTGGGAGTCTGGTTTGATTTCTTCGGCTCTTCCCTGGCAGTCTTCCAACTCAACACTCTTTTTGGACACTCCGTGGCGCTATTAGTCGTCGCTCCGCTACTTCTTATTATTACGTGTGTTGCTCTCTACACCGTAGACAAGATGTACGTGTTCACTATGTATGCATATTCCTCGGAAACAGGTGGACAAGTATCGCTGTATGGCCTGCGTGGATTGTTCCGCTTCCCCCTGGTCTTCGGCATTCCCACTGCTTTAACCGTTGGTCTGGCGTTTTTGTTAATGAAGGTCAATCCCTTCATTATCTATAGCAGCCCATATGCCGTTTGGAGTATGATGTTGGCCACCTGTGTGTTTTTCGCATGGTTTATCTCCTGTGTTGCAGACTTTGCTCGACCATCCGCGTTGCACAGGGCATACGCCTTCTCGTGGATTTTCGACATCATGTGGGTTCTCCTTGTGATATCTACCGTTTACCAGAAACAGCATGGTATAGCGAGTAGCTATTTTATCGTATTTTACTTTGCCGGGGTATCTATTGCGACATGGATCTCGTACTTGGAGCTCTTTGGACTACCAACTACCCAAGAATATGCTCGCCAACAGAGCCATGTTGTGGACCGAGCACCCAGTACCTCTGATGGTCAGCTACTCGCACCCTCCGCAGATGAGCTTCCATCCAACAGCGGCGCCGCTGGGCATGATTTTAACCCCGAAGATATTGAAGATGAGGAGCCTACAGAATCCACGTCTCTTCTTCGCGGGCAACAGAGAACTACCTTTGCGAATTATGCAAGTGCCAGAGGCAGTGTCGAAAGTAACATTGCCAACCATGGTATTGGTTCGTCACACCTTGGAGATCATCGACTAGAGCAACGGTGGAGTATCGACTTAAGGTCGTCGGCTTGGGTATTGCAATTCCTTCTCGTCGCACCCATCGTTATCATTCTCCTAGGCCAACTCGGCCTCTTCCTCACGTCGGCAACCTATCAAATTGGCGCGGACGGAGGCTCACAGCTCGTTATATACATTGGTCTTGCCGTCCTATCAGTCCTGATACTCTTACCACTCTTCCCCTTCATCCACCGACTAACATATCATATTCCAACATTCCTGCTCTTTGTCCTCATAGGCACTCTTGTCTACAACTTAGTAGCATTCCCATTTTCTCATAGCAACCGCCTGAAAGTTGCATTCCTACAAGAGATGGACCTGGACACCGGGAACACCCAAGCATCTCTTGTTGGAGTTGAACCCTATATCCACGACATTGTTCACGCAATCCCTAGCACCGCCGGAAAAGACATTTCGTGCACCTCGAAAGGTTACGGGGGAAGGACTAAATGCTCCTGGGACGGGTTGAAACCTAAAGTGGCCGATGCCAAATACAAGGATTGGATTTCATACAACATCTCCCAACCACTGGATAGCAAACATGCTCGTTTTGAGATATCCGGGAAAAACACCAGATCATGTCGGCTACTATTCGACAGCCCCGTTGCTGACTTCAATGTCCTCGGATCGGTCGTTGACAAACGTATCCCCCACACTGGGCCTAAGGGTGTTTCTGAAATTCGGCTCTGGAGCCGAAACTGGGAAAATACATGGACAGTCGATGTCGAGTGGGCTAAGAAGAGCGACAATCGCCAAGGAAAGGTGATGTGTATTTGGAGCGATGACAACGATCTCAGGGTTATTCCAGCGTTGGATGAAATTCGCAATTTTGCTCCGGCTTGGGCTACAATTACCAAGCTCCGAGATGGCCTCGTTGAAGGTAGCCATTCATTCAAGCTATAGTAGTGCAAAGCTTCATGGAACCTGTGGTTTGGTAATTCCTGTGGAGTACGCCTTGTCTTTTTTATGCAATTCACAACAGTTTTAGCAATCTTTTTTCCACGTTCTTAGGCGCAATATTTCGGCATTATATCTGATTGTTCCCAGTCCCAGGCTAAGTCTATTTTTGAATGTTCATACATAGAGCTCTGCCATAAGTTGGCTTATGGTAGGACCTCCGAACTCGTTGCATATCTATTATACCACCGCTTTACTAGTATGAAACTGTTAATAATATTGTTGCATTCTATACTTGTAGGAGGATGGGGTAAAGATATTATCCATCCACAGCGTTTTCTACCAAATGAAAAGAAAAGCAAAGACCCTCGTAACCTCATTCTCGGGGGCAGTTCCTAGCACTGTCCGCCGCGCCTCGCTATGCTGTCGTAACTCTATGCCTGCGGGTAATAAGCACCAGTCTCATACCTCAGGGGCGAAACCAGGTAGAATGAGGGGGAAAGCTAATGAAACAAGATGTAAGGAAAAGGGGAGAGAAAGACTGGGGTGATAAAAGGAAAATTCTTGAACGAAGGGGTAATAGGGGTAAAAGTAGAAAGAAATCCTCTCCAGGCCGGTTTAACCTGCTAGGGTGAATGGTATAAACTCCCCAAACCAAAATCATATCCTCCCTTTCCATTCCGTTGAGTACGCCTGGTTCGCCCAAAACCCATGCCATGCCGAAAGTCGTTATTGTAGTTGATGGATGTAGTTTCCACGTCAGGTAGGTTAAATATGTCATACTTGGCATATAGCGTGGGTATCGAAAGCATCGGCCGTAATTGCTGAATCGTAGCAGAATACATTCACATCATGTAGTATTTGGTGTATTGAGTTAGTGATGTGGCCCCGTTGCCGGGTGATCATCTCCCTCATTGATAGCTGTAGCGTTCAGGAGCCCAGTTACCGAGGGCTGGCTATCGACCTCATCAGGCGATTCGGCATCATCGTACATTGTCACTACCCCTGCAACTCGTTCTCGGAGTGCAGAGTGGTTAAGGAAGTCACGTAGACGTCCGACGCCATCACCACTAAAAACACAGAAGACGTCTCGTTGAAGTTGAGTAAAATCTGGCGGGGCATCCCGACAAAATACAGTTAAATCTTCCCTCAAAAATGCGTGGACACCAGTTAAACTCAGGTGGGTGAGTCGTGGACAGTAGTTTAGAAGGGAGTGTATTCCCTGGTGACGAGGAGTGGTTAGCATATAGTTCCTGTTTAAATACTAGGTGGAGTAAATACCTCTAAGGTTAGGTTGACACAGTAGCTCAGATGTACCCGCTCGAGGCCACTGACTAACGGATGTTGCGGAATTCTAGGCTTTGCCAGTGCTAGTATACTTCGATCAGTGATAGCCTGGCACTTGACTAGGCCTATCCTTCGTAGCTTTGGTAATGTTGCCAGTTGCTCAACACTTTTATCGGTCAAGCGGTTGCAGCAGGCCAAGTCAATGTAGCGAATGCGGTTGCACGACTTCACCATTTGTATGACTGCTGCGTCTGTGATATTAGAGCAATGGCCGAGATGAATATAGTGAATATTCTTTCCTAATTTACAGATAGCATTGACGGAGCGATCTGTGATGAACTTGCACTTGCCGAGCACGAGGTTCCTTAGCCTGGGTGCCGAGTCAATAATTTTTTCTACGGCATCGTCTTTGACTCTCTCACAAGCTGTGAGGTCTAGTATTCGGAGGGTATCGAATATTAGATTATCAGGAAGCTTAAGGAAGGCTTCATCGGTTATTTGAACACAATGGGCCAGCCGTAGTTCTCGTAGATTTCGGAGTGTACCGAGGAGGGCGGTGACTGAGACGTTGGTGATATTTCGGCAACCATGAAGGTCAATCTCAAGCATTGAAGGGCAGTTCTTAGCGAATGCCTGGATAGATCGGTCTGTGATTTGGACGACACCGTTGAATTTAAGCTAAACCAGAATTGTCAGCAAAATAATAACATAACATAATATACCTAGCAAGGGCCCATACCCGCTTAAGCTGGCGGCAACTCTGCGCGAGAGTTACCAGAGAGTCGTCAGTGATGTTAACGCATCCGGTAATATTTAAGCCCTGCAACCTGGAGCAGTTTCCAGCAACAAGGTTCAAAGAATGATCAGTCAGGGCATCAAGATCAGAGACATCCAGTGCCTGAAGTTGTCGGTTCCCTTCTACTAGATCGGAGATGCCCTTGTCCGTCAAGTTCACGCAGCCGGTAAGAGTCAACCTTTCGATCCGTTTGCACTTGACGAACGAAAATACGGTTCCATCGTTGACTTTCGACTTGAGGGTAGTGAGGTTTAGGCGTTTTACGAGGTCGTAGTATGGGAAATAGCTGTCTTCATCCGATATTGAGTGTGCTATTTTGAGTAGGTTGTCCCATGTATTGCATAGTGGTCGGTGCCATAGTATACCCACGCAATTCACTGCCCAATTTGACGAGACTTTCATGCAGTTTAGCATATCAACCGGAGACGAAAGCCTTGAGAATATAGCGATGAGGATCTCGGGAGGTAGTTTGTATATCGGTGGAAGTGGAGTATCTCGGTCTCGTTCATGTCTAGAGTTCACGCGGAGGTCTCGGAAATTGCCAACACCTATCGACGACTGCGAGTCGTTCGCCTCGAGCATAAAGAAGTCGTTATCTTCATCGATCGCTCGTTCTGGTGAAGTGGAAGATGAAGATTCGCCTCCAGGGTCCCGGGGCAGCGCACGCGAGCGGCTGGCCATCGTAGTAGAGAGGAAGTCGGTAAAGCGTCCGGTTCGAGGATGATAGTATTGTTCTCAGGCAGACAGTCGTAGTGTCTTCGTCCTGCCCGCGGTAAGAGCTCAAGGACGCGAGGTTGTGAGGCGAGCTCTAGTTCTCGGGTTGTAGGATGAGGGTGGGGGATCTCCGCGATGTAGTGAATAAACTGAGGCGGTATTCCGTTTCAAAGTGAGGTTCTATCGTCGTCGTTGTGCATTAACAGAGCTCAGATTATTATTTAAGAAAAAAAAAGGCAGTATTCATAGGATCGTGGTCATGAGGAAGTTGGCGCCGGGGCAGCGTTTAGAGCGTCAAGCGATAGGTGCGGCTGGCAGCGAGGTGAACGGCGTAAGGTATCAGCGGTCTGAAAGGTAACTGCTTTATGGCACGAGGAAGGCAAGATTCAACGAGCCAAAGCGATCGAGCTCGTCGTCTTCGTGGAGAGGCGTTTAAATAGTTATCATTTCATCCGGATTGATTTCATTAGCTTCGTTTCCAACGGCGCATAGAGGCCAAGCGAAAGTTATAGAGAGGATAGAGGGGCACAGCTGAGGATCGCAGGCAGACAGTGACGACAGAGAGCGAGAGCTGGCAGGTCTGTATCCAGTGAATCCGAGGACGACGGCGGTCTCCCTGCTGCGAGACGAGATGTTGTTGTGGTCCAGAGGGCGAGTTTGTTGTAGTGTCGGAGGTTGAAGATGGAACAACCTAAATGGGGCTGTTTTTTTGGCGGCTTGTCGATGCGATGTCACGCGTTTACAGAGAGCGACCAGCTGTGCAGACAAGAAGAGATCAGGCCGGCTGACTTGTGCTGTTTATTCACTTGAATGACCTGGATGAATGGCCGAAATGTGGAATATATTCTAATGTACGGGTGGTTCTACTGAGGCGCTAACCAAGCTCTACTCTAGATATCGCTCTACTCTAGATATCGACATCTAGAAACAAACGACAAGAACAATGATAAGATGAAAGCCTTTTACTGTGAGCGATCACCTCCCTTTGCCCATTCTCGCAGCACATTCTTCTTTATCTTCCCTGTGCTGGTTTTGGGGAGCTCCGAGACCACCTCGACCTCTCTCGGGACCATGAATCGACTGATTCCGCTGGAATGTTTGGCCCATGATATGATCTCTGGGCCGGTCACTTGCTTCCCAGCTTGGATCGTAACATATGCCTTTGGTCGTTCGCCCCAGTGCGAGTCAGGAACGGCAACGACGCCGGCTTCGAGGATATCTGGGTGAGTGGCCAACATAGCTTCGAGGGCGACCGACGATATATTCTCTCCTCCTATTGGGACGCAGGTTAGCATTGCCAAGGGCTTCTTCATCATTCTACCACCAATAGTCACCAACTTACCGCTGATAATAATGTCCTTGGCACGGTCTAGGATTTGGACTGCGCCGTCTGGGTGCCATACAGCCAGGTCCCCCGAGTGCAAGACGCCGCCAGCAAAGAGCTTGTCCGTAGCTTCTGGGTCCTTGTAGTAGCCTCGAGCACAGATATTGCCGGTAAACACGATCTCACCAATCTCCTTGCCGTCTCTGCTGACTTCAACGATGGTGCTTTCGGGGATGTCCGTCTTGATTACACGGGCAGGCAAACTTGTCAAAAACCCGTGGCCCTGTCTAGCCATCTTTTGGTACTTCTCCTTGACGGGTATCGTATCCCATGCAGGCATATAGTATCCCTTTGTAATTGGGCCATATGTTTCCGTGAGCCCGTATACATGGACCGGGTGCAGGTTGACGCTGGTCATCTGCTCAAAGAGATGCGCCGTAGGCGGACTGGCGGCAACCGTGACTCTGACAGGTGCCGGAAGTCTCTCGGCCTCCTTTGCGGCGCAGAGAAGGGTGTTTACGGTAGGTGCGGCGTTGAAATGAGTAATGTTCTCCTGCTTCAACATGCGCCAAATTTCAGGGTAGTCGATCTTCCGTAGACAGTAGTGGGTGCCTCGAACTGCAGTAACAGACCATGGGAACGTCCATCCTATTCTATCAATCAGTATAGTCCTGGGAATTGAAAATTTTAGTGGTGCATACCCATTGCATGAAACATCGGGAGAATCCATAGATAGCCACATCGGCCCTGCTGAAAGTTCAATCCCGACTCGATGATATTCGCCAAAGCAGCGAGATAGCAACCCCGGTGAATATACTCGACACCCTTCGGCCTGGCAGTCGTGCCACTCGTATACGCAAGCGCCATTAGGGATTCCTCGTCCGCAGCTTGGGCCTCCAGACCCTCCCACCCCGTGTTCCCCTGTTCCTCATCATATTTCAGGCCTTCAAGCACAGCAGCGTCAAAGTCTCCATCGTCTGCGTCGGTGTCGGTGTCGACAATCAGCGGGACGTGTGGATTGAGCTTCCGGTACTCGTCCAGCAAGGGTACAAACTCTTTGTCGACGATGATCGAATCAGCCTCGGCATGGGTGAAGATGTATGCAATATCTTCGGGTTTCAGACGATAGTTGACGGCTAGAGAAAGTGAGACACCAAGGTTTAGTGACGTGCATTATATAGTTGTAAGATCAGCCGCGTATTCGGCAAGGGAGGCCCATACCAACATTGACTGAGCTGGCGGCAGCGATTCCGAATATCGACTCCAGGAACGCAGGCGTGTTAGGACTCAGTATTCCCACCCGTTTAAGGCCATATTTCTTGACATAGTATGCCAGCCCCCTTGCCCGGTCTGCGAACTCCTGGTACGTCTTCCTCACGATCTTGTTATTCGTAGCAAGGTGGTAGATGGCTTCGGCCTATCGATAGAAGAAAATAGACTATTAGTTTCCGTCCGAGCTAGCCAGAACAGGGCAAAGGGCAAAGGGGAGGGTTAGTGAGATGGAATTGTACAAACATCTGGCTCGATAGCGGCCGCGCGAGGCAGGAAGAATGTTGGTGACAGGGTGTGTCGGTTGGTATTGGTATTGCGAGCCTGCGAAGCTGCGTCCCCCTGGGGGAACAATTGCGCAGAGATGCTCTGCAGCCGGGACTTTGCGCCAGACATGTTCTTCGGAGGATTTCAGGGCAGATCAGTGCAGCGCCGTGCCAGAGGAGAATGGAAGAGTCGGCCCTGACACGGCAGCCATGGTCCTTTTTATATGTGTACGCTGGGCCGAGGGGTAGGGGGCCGGTCTTATCTCTCTACACTCGAGCATCCCATGGCCCAAGAAATATAGTCGGCCGGGCCATGGCCGAGCTAACTCCATGTGCCGAGCAGACGCCCACATCTTTCTTTCTATTGAACCGACGTCGAATCAGAGCCAGAGGCGAGACGTATAGAACACGCCTGGAAAACACTCACGGGACGGAGGAAGCACGTAAAACGTTGGGAAAGGAGGTTAGATTTTTGAGATGTTGTGTGTCTGAAGGCGTTTTTTCTGGGCTATCATAGGGGCTTGGAGCGATGCAGTAATAAAAGAAAACAGGAGCTAGTTAATAGCCTCTTCATCCCAAAACGACGCCCCAGTGTACAAATTAAGAAATCTTTTAGGTCTTCACTTCCGTCACAAATTATCCCTGAAGTCATAAAAGGGGTGTATTGTGTGAACGGGAAATGTACAAATCGATTGGCTTGCCGTGTACAACATTTTGCTCGTCATTGCCCACAATGCATCCTGGATTTGACCCATCCACATCAACCCCAACAAGGTATCTAATAACCGTATTGTGCCAACTGTTCCTTGGTCTTTTTGTCCACATTCGCGGTTCTCTGAGCCTGGAGAAGTTGTCTCCTGGCAGCCTTCTTGCGCTCGAAGTATGCATTGCCCTTGACCTTCCTCCTCTCTTCCAATCTGTAGACATAAGTTAGAGATATATAATTCGAAATAATGATGGCTGTGGATATGAGAGGCAAAAGGAATACGAACCTGGCGACAACGTCCTGGTATTTCCAGCCAACCTCGTGGCTTAATCGGCCGACTGTGCAGTATTTGCGGCCGGGCTTGAGGCGGAGAATGCGGAGAGCTTGGGGAACGACGACACGCTTCTTCTTGTCATATGGCTCTGGGATACCCTCGAAGACCTTGAGTCTCTCCATGGCGGCGGCACCTCGGGCGGTCTTGTGTGGAATCATGCCTCGGACGGTCTTGTAGAAGATGCGCGAAGGAGCACGGAAATGGAATGGACCTGTGATGCCAATGCTTTAGCCAGCTGCCCTCCCTTCATTCCACCAGCAGTGTGCGCTCAATCTTACCTCCTCGGGTTGGGTTGAAACGAGTAATCTTCCTGAGGTAGGCGTGGTACTTCACTATAAGACGAGTCGAATTAGCCCTCCATTCTCATGTCCGGTCTCTCTCTCCCTCTTTCTTTCCCCTTTCTCGCTATCAAAGGATCGGTAGATGCGTACGTTTGGCACGGAAGAATTCGCCGGAGATGTTAAGGGCTTCACATCGGACAACGACGATCTTCTGTCCGTTGAGAAGCTGCTTGGCCACGGTACTGGCGAGGCGACCAAGGAGATGTCCCTTGCCGTCAATGACGACCTATAATCGGCAGCAGAAGAAGTCAGTGAATCGCGACCGGCGAATGCAGGGTTGAAAAGCGTCTGGCACAGCGCCGACCAGGAAAAAAACACGCACCACTGGCTCGAAGGTGGACATCCTGATCTGTCACCGGTTCACGAGGCTAATATCCAGGGAGAGGAGGAGCTCTGCTCTAGGATACACCTTGTGTTGGAGGTTGTCGAATTTGATGTCGTTGTGATCACTCAAAACCACCAAAGTCTTCGTCCGTGATGCTAAGCGAAGACCTTTGTGGGCGGAGTCGGAGGGTCCCAGCCCTAAGTTGCCCAATAGGCGTAGGCACGTGATACGACACCACCACCACAGAGAAGACCTCGATATATAGATATAAAGAAAGGATGTAAGGATAGAAGAGATATACGGAGTAATAGAAGAGAGAGAGAGATGGAATCACTCGTTCAATTGGTCCTGTCTACTTGTCTACCGTCTGCTGTCTGCTGTCTGCTGCTGGTTATGTCTACTACGTCTACTGTCTACTCTAGACTCCTGGCCAACTAACCCGAACACATATGGAAGTCCATGCCAGCGACTAGTATGCCACTGCCATGATACGCAGTGTCTATACTCGATGCACTTTCTCGCTTTTCTCTTTCTCTTTCTCTTTCTCCGTGATGGCAACCTGAGTCACCCAGGCTGCATCCAAGTCCGAGATGACTCATAGTACGCTCTATCCAGGACGTATAAATATAATTAACCCAGGACTGCTGGACTGTTCATTTCTTATCCAACTATTCAACTATCAATATTATATACGAATTGCTGATGGCGAATATATAATCAACCACAATGGTCAAAACAAGATTCGTCTGCGTATCCGACACCCACGGGTACGGGACACGCGAGGCAGCATTCCGACTGCCAAAGGGAGACGTCCTTATCCACGCAGGAGACATCACCAACAGAGGAACGGTAGAGGAGTTTCGCAGGTCAGCTCAGTGGATCCAGGAAGCAGACTTTGAAGTCAAGATTGTCGTTGCAGGTTTGTGAATTTATATCTTGACACTTATGGTCTCGCACTTCTCATCCGGTCTTCTCTACATCCTGGGCTGGAACCGTCAATTTAATGTTATTTTTTCATGTTATATTTTCATGTCCATATACACAGATGACATGAACTAATGACATGACCAAGGCAACCATGATGCTCCGCTAGACAGAGAATACTACTCCAAAAATACGGAATTCTTCCACGGACCGAACATTGAATCACCCCAAAAATGCCTTGAACTCATCACCGGCGAGGGGATAACGTACCTGGACCACACATCTCAAGAAATCCGTCTAAAGGACCCCAAGGGGCCAAAAACTATGTTCAAGGTGTTCGGCTCAGCGCGACATCCAACTAGCACGAAGCGAATCCTTAGTTGGAATGCACCGTTTGGATATTCGGCAGACTCGCCTGATGAAGCACGTCAATGGTGGAGTCAAATTCCATCTGACGCAGATGTGGTTATTACGCATACCCCTGCTAAAAATCATCTTGACCTGACAGCTCGTCACGGCAATATTGGGTGTGAGTATCTCCGCCAGGCGTTGTGGAAGATTCGGCCTAGGTTATCCATCTGTGGCCATGTTCATGAAGGCCGTGGCTACGAGAGAGTCAAGTGGGATACCAACGAAATGGAGCTTGATGAAGGCGGGACTTTTGGCGAAATCAGTTCGACCCCTGGAAAATTGCCTCCACGAGAAAGCAAAAAGCAATCCCGCGTCGATTTGACTGGCAGAACATACCCGAGGCTTGCAAATGAAGGCCCGATGGATGCAGCAAGGGACGAGACCTGCTTCATCAATGCCTGCATTCTAGCAACACACTATCCTCACGAGGGAGGGAGGAAATTTAACGCGCCGATTGTGGTTGATATCGATCTTCCACTCGACGACGAACAAGTTGAGAACTGACGCGGATAACTCTATAAAGGGAAACTCATGAACAAAATATATACGCTTCCAAGCTAAGCAGGCCCCGGCTCCCTCCAGCGACCTGTTGATACAGACTTGGTCCTTGACACCGTCGTGACGGACACTCGTTTAAATTCTTCTAAATGTATGGGATTCTACCTTTTCCTTACATCCTGAACTGCTACCGATAATCCTTGAATCACAGGCTGACTCTCTTTAGTGACCATACGTACGATATTACAATCGTCACCAAACATTCTTTACGTCATTTCTATATTCTTTTCTTGGCCTTCGCCCGTTTACTATGATCTAGTAACCTCGCTCAAAGTCGGCTCGCTACTGGACTTGCTCAGCTAAGGCTCCCAGCTCGTGTAGAAATTCAGATGCCCTACGCCGTACACGTGTCGATCAGCTTGAGGTGGTATGTCTTGTATACTTAGTCCAAGGCAATACGAGATCAAAGGCCGCCTTGATCCATTCGCTTTCTTTACGTAGTTACACATAGCTTAGGCTTAAAAAGACGCATCACTCATTTGCTTCGTTTTGTCTTATTTCTCATCACCTGTGATGCTATATAGTTTGGTGTACTCGCAAAAGAATGACCTGCTGTTGGCTGCATCCTACTTTATAGGAGGAGGCATTGACTAGACGCTGTTCTAGATCTCTATTAGGCTTCTTGTGTAGACTCGTAAACGAAGCATCAAGTAAAATGACCGATATGGTCGAATATATGCGACTGTAGCATCAGCTGGACGACAAGTACCTAAATTATACATCTTGACATTCTCGGAAGGTGATTTGCTATGCTACCAGTACACCTAGTGAATATGTGAGGCTGAGTATATGCTGAAGAGATCACACGAGGCAGCCAATCAGACACCACACCTACAAACATATCGACAACTCCTTGGGGTAGTATTGAGCGGCCCGTATACCGCGATGCGGCGCAGTTGCAGGATCTATATTATAATGCTACCCGATCCTGAGGTTCACGGTATTTGCCCAAATAGGCCATGCCGAAAACGACCGGGTAGGCTTAGGGCATAATGGAATCCTACTGCCTCGTTCCCCTTCTAGCCTTTCAGCGTGTTCCCTCATTACCATGACAGCTCATCACATCCTCAAGCTTTACTAGTAAGGCCCCATTCGAAAATATAGTACAGGTTGAGAGTGGGGACCTATCAGTATAGATCACCACACCCTTCCAAGTTCCAAGTCAAGTGCCTCTAGGAACCATATCCGATTATAGCCACATATCGAAATCTGTCCTTGTGTCCTGAATTTATCATTAGTTCTCTCGCATTAAAAAGTTAGGTGCTGTAAGGAGGGTAACCACTTACAGCTACACCTGGTTCGATCCAGTCATGTAACCCTTCCAGTCCAGTCAAGCCATCCCGGGGGCTGCTGTCAGCAAGATCGTTTTGGGTATCTGGTGAATGAACTCCCATTTCATCAGCCCGAGCCTTGAGTTCGCAGTAGCTGTAATTCAAACTCTCTCTAATTGCGCCAGTGATGGCTTGCTCTGCTGGAGTATTTATTTGGAGGGCATCAATGTGTGCGAGTAGACACGAATAGAGTAGGTGGCCTCGAACGTTGGTCTCACCATTCTTTATTCTCAGCTCAAGAAGTTGGACGTATTCCTCCACAATTTTACGCAAGTCCTGGCGAGGAAATGAACCAGAGACTGGTATAAAGGAAGTCCTTTCTTCTTCAATTTGGTGAATGAGCTCCTCGCAGACGGTGTTAATAGCCTGTACCGATACATCTCGAAATATCCCAGTGCCGGTCAATCGAAGGCGAGTGAAGGCATCATCAGATGAGTGGTGACTGCTGACCAGCTCCTTGGGGGAAAGAAGAGAAACAGACACCTCTAGGCTTATTTTTCTAGAAAAGTATAGGGTGGGACTGGTCTTAGCCTTCATCGCGAAAGGCTGATGGAGGGAGAGAAGAAACCGATATGTTAATAGATCAAGTAATCTGATCTGGAATGTGCTGGGATGCGGACTGCTAGTGCAGAATGATTGCATAAGAGAATGATTAGCTTGGCAGAACGATGATAGATCTGATGTAAGCTGGAGTGTCTCTTTGTATGTAGTTTCTGAGCGGAAATCGTTCAGGAGCCGTGCTGTCTCTAGTCTTAAGGGGAATGACTTCATTAGCATAATCTGGATGGACGTCCTGGTATATTCTTGTACAGATTTCGATGAAGGAGCCGTCATGGCCTTGCTCGCCTCATCCAATTGTTCGTCATCAATATTCAAAGGCGACTCAAAATCGATATCTTCCATCCGGATTAGAGGTAACCCTCCCGAATCCATGCTAGACTGTAGGAGTATTTCTAGGACGGTAGCCCATAACCTCCTCCGGATCTCTTTGTCGAAAAAGGATACATCTGCTAATCGTGATGGGCCAATGTGAAGACCTATATGCATTGCTGTCCTCAACAGAGATCCTGCTGAAATCCAAACAAGGTCACCTCTCACGCCGTTTGCCAGGCGAGCCAAGAGAAGGAGGCAGTATACTTGGATACCCGAAATATTGACCCGGCACTTTTCGAATGGTGAATTAAGCCAAGATTGGGCAGTCCATATCCATTGTGAACAGGATTTATGACTAAAGGCCATTTCATTGCGGCCTGGGGAGACACTCAGACCAATGGCCATCACCAGAAGGAGCTTAATGATAAATTCATGGCTAGAAGAGCTGGGATTGACCCAGTGGCTATTGAATTCCCTAAGAAACGATGGAACATGTAGGATCCGGAAAACTGATTCGAAAGTTTGGAGATACGCCTTGACGAGCTGCTCGGCCTCTTCCTTCGATGGGACTTGATCAAGAATCGTGGCATAAAGCGGCTGTTTTGTAACCTCTTGGGCTTTAATAGATCTTGCCAGACGCTTACATTTATGATAAAGAGCATAAATATCAGAATTTTCGTCCGCGTCAAATCTCTGAATGACTTCGTAAACCTCGGAAAACTGTAACACATCAGCCTAAAATGCTATATAATAGCTCAGTAAAGCCTACTGAGGTGCGGTAGAGAGCTAGATGGCGGCATAGATGTAGTTCTTTTTTCATAGAATGCCTATGCCAGCCATCTAAGGATCAAGAAGAATCGATTGTGGTTGTATTTCATACTTGGTACACACTGTTCATCCAATGACTTGTACCGAAGAATCTTGTCTTCGAAAATATCCCGCGCACAGTGGAAGGCTCCTCGTGGGTTGTGGGAGGTGAAGCGGGCGCAGTATCAAAATCATTTTCTCGTGTAAGGGATTCTCGGCCCGGATATAAAGATGGGGCAGCACCATGGTGGATAGGCAGGCTTTTACCATGCAAAGCACCTCGATCAAGTCCCAGTGTCGGGACTACAGGTCCAGGATCTGGCTGGGCAAGGCTCGCGGAAGTAGAAGGATTCCTTGGGCTAGGTGCTATGTGGTTGTTGTTTCTCCGCGGTTGTTTCACACGGCCAGTTGCGCGACCAATTCCCAGTCTGCCAGTCAGGTCATCGTTATCCGAAAGGTAGGTGCATTGCTCATTCTTAGAACTGGAACATTGCTCGCACGGGAGGCTCCTATTGCATCTGTTTGAGTCACAGGGAGATTAACAGTAGTCCATTGCTCTGGCGGCGCAGGAGTTCCATTGACCTGATCTTTTTGCGTCGACATGGCTCACAGGCCAAAGTCGGCCTACGACGTCGACGAGAAGGGGCACGAGCCAGCAAGTCAGTATCCATATGTATAGGTAATGTTAGATGTGCTAAATCAACGAAACGTGTTCCATGTCGGCTGCGTAGGTAAGAGAAAATGTAGGATTTCAGGCGAGCTTCCGTCTGCAAAGCAAGGGATTGACCACCAAGACGGGAATTTTTGTTTTCAATCCGCAAGGCCGTATAGGTGGATCCTCCAGAATACTATGACATGGTCTCTATTAATTATTATGTTATCCTAGCCTAAAACGAGTTAGTTCCTTGTTAAAGCGTGTGTATAAATAACGATCGTTTTGATATATTAATCTGTGCCAGACTTGTGCTTCTTACTATGAGTTCTTTGGTGTATTCCGTAAATTAGTTTGGTATAATGGCATTCCAGGTCAGAGTGGCCGGAGCTAGTGAGAGCACTCCCAAAGGGCTTGTCATAGACGGTAGGATCCCTGGTCTATATTGCGGCAAAAGCTGCAGAAAAGTGTAAGATGTTACAATTGACATGTTGGATGAAACATTGTTGAGGTTGGATATGGGTAGTTGGCGTGTTTATTTCTGGTTATGGTTCCACAGCCGTTTTTTAATTCCTTGGTCCAAATAGTTATCTCTTCTTCGACCACTTCAAACCAACGACAGACCACATCACTGTGGTGGGACCACCGATTGTGACCAACGGGATTAGAAATCGTAAGAGTAGCACCAAAGAGGCTCTACGTTTCAAAAACGCTCGCATTTGGTGGTGTATAACTCTCTTTCTCCATACCTATAATTTTCTCAAAGTTAGCAATTATTAATATCTTTTTTGCCATCCGATACCATGATTGGGCAATGTACTATATAGATGATAGCGGTCATGCTAATGGTAAACGGTAAAACAAGGAGCATAGAATTGATGTCCGTCCTGTTTGGTGGGCATTGGCAGCGAAGTTGAGCCCAGATTTTCTTTGGATGAGCTGGGAAAGAGTATGGAGGCAGGGGGAGTGTGATCTTGCCTCTCTCTTTGACTAGAGGATTGTGTTGAAATCAGGTTATAACATAGAGAAACGTACGGAGTATAGATATAATAATTGTAGACGGGGAAAAAGTGGGACAATGCTAAAATAGAGTTACCCCATAGCCGCATAGTCTATTTTTATTCTAACAACCTCCTCCACTTGACATCCACAACAACTACGGGAGTTCTAGCGGTGATGAAGAGACTGTTGATATATTAAACAGTGAGGAATTACCCATGTCAATGATTACCATTGCGTAAAGCTTGTTTGAGATGTACTGTGGCTATGAGGTTAATTGCCTG